CCCCCCATGTGTAACAGCAAATTTGACCCCCAGGCCATACCTGTCCCTGGTTGTAGCAGCCAATGCCATCCCCTACTCACACATCTGTCTCCCATGTGTAACAGTGAATTTGATCCCCTCTCCACATCTGTCCCCAGGTGTAGCAGCCAATGCCATCCCCATGCATATCTGCCCCCATATTTCACAATGTAACAGTGAATGTGATTCTCTCTCCCTATCTGTCTCTGAGGTGTAACAACCAATTTCATCCCCTACCTTTATCTTTCCCCCCATGTGTAACAATTAAATAAATGTGATCCCCTCTCCTTATTTGTCCCCCCAGGTGTGGCAGCTAGGTTCGTCTGCCCCCAACTTCACCCTTGAAGGCCATGAGAAGGGGGTGAACTGTATCGACTACTACCACGGTGGAGACAAACCCTACCTGGTATCAGGCGCTGACGACAGACTGGTCAAGATATGGGACTACCAGGTCTGTGCTTTTCACTTACAACTGTACTTGATAGTGTTTATTGACTATAGGTACAATCAATGTATATGCTGTATTTTTTGTAAGCCCTGATTTTGCAAACAATCTTTTCTATAGCGTGTGTTCATTCTTGTATTCTTGAGTTTGCATCTGGATGATACATGTACATTGTTACTTCACATGTTAGAGTTATTCACTTGTGGACATCAGATTGATAAGACTCTTACACAACCAAGTGTTTTATTCATAATAGAGTCTTTTTATTCAGTGAGTGATGAAACTATTCATGGATTTTACATCTGTATGAAAATACATAATATTTATTCTTTGCTTTCATGGTCGTACGTCACATTGCAACTTTTTTACCTGGATTCAGTTGTAAATTAGGGTCAACAATTTAATCTGTTGAACCTGTACTTCGTATGAACATACATGTAATTAAAGTTGTCCTTTATTTCATGGAACTACAATTATTTACATTTGTTCACTTTTTCTACTCCTCCCCCCTCCAGAACAAGACATGTGTGCAGACCCTGGAGGGCCACGCACAGAATATCTCCTCTGTCAGCTTCCACCCGGACCTGCCTATTATCATCACGGGGTCCGAGGATGGTCAGTTTTTTTTCACATTTGTTAGAATTGCAACATGATGATCCAGTATGTCTATGAAGGTTAGACATCCAGGTGAACAATATTCATTGATCATTGCTTGACAAAGACCGGAGTTGCACAGTCGAAAATTTGAGTCGAATGTCTTGTGTTGGACATTACAGTTCAAACTTGTTTCATAATGACTTCTACCAACACAGATGAACTTTCAAGATAATATTCAACTCTACTAGTGGATAAATTACGGAGATTACTTCTGGACGTTTTTAGCATCACTAGATACATTACATGGCACCACAAAATACTAATGTATGCAATACTGTCAGAAAATAGCATTTATGAAATTATTGGAAGGACTAACTGGATACTGGATTTAAGTGCATGTAAATAATATTTTAGGTTCACGTAGTATTGTATGATGATTGTGTACATGTATGATATTGATAATAGGTACATACACGTACTAAAAGGGCAGTGTCTTTCCTTATGTAGGAACCGTGCGTATCTGGCACGCGAGCACGTACCGCCTGGAGAGCACGCTGAATTACGGACTGGAGCGGGTCTGGGCGATCGCCAACATGCGGGGGACCAACAATGTTGCACTGGGGTACGACGAGGGCAGCATCCTCATCAAGGTATGAGCAACTGAGTTGACATGTTCAGTCATGTAGGTTTTTTCATGGGATCAATTTAAAACAATCTTTGCTTTCACAAAAACTTTCTGAGGAAAAGTAGCTTTACACACAAAGATTTAGCTACTACCTACCTCAAGGAAAGGACTTTGTGATGTCAGAGTAAGTAATATATCTCCAAAGTTTATACATACTGTAAGGTCCATTCCGTGAACAAGGCTGAAGGAGTCAGTCGAAAATTTGGGGTAAGTCCCAATTCATTCCAATGTTGGAAAGAAAGCTTAGTCTGTACCAACGCAGATGAACTTTCATGCTAACCAGAATGGTTTGTTCTTGTGTTTGCAGCTTGGTCGTGAGGAGCCTGCCATGTCCATGGACACCAACGGCAAAATCATCTGGGCCAAACATTCCGAGGTACAACAGGCAAACCTCAAGGCCATCGGAGGTGGGGAGAAATTTTTCATCATAGTTTAACCTTATATTTTCTATTTTGTGTCTATTAAAAGTACTTTGTACATTATTATAACAACTGTTTTTGCTGTGATTCTTCTTCTTCTTCTCCAAATCAAAAAGGTCAATGACCTGAACCAGACAGCTGTCACCATAGTGTTAGGTTACATGTTGCAATTTTGTAGCAGGAAGGATTTAGACTCCTGGCTGACCATGCATTATACATGTATAAATATTAAATGTGTTTGAGTAAGAATTAACAGAGCAAACCATAAGCAAAGGTAAACATTATGCAGTTGCTTTGCAAATGTTACCTTTCTAGTACAATAAGATATGTTGACAGGTTATATACAAGCTCCTTGAGTGAACAATACAGACAGAGATAAATTTTCATTGTACTTGGGACCATCTCCTGCTCCAGTAATATTATCTGATATGATAATCTGGAATGATGCTATCTGGAGTTACTTAGCCTGATGAATGTTTGTGTTCCAGATACTGAGATAAAGGATGGAGAACGGCTCCCGCTGGCTATCAAAGACATGGGCAGCTGTGAAGTGTACCCTCAAACCATACAACATAACCCTAACGGCAGGTAAGTCCCTCAAATAAACAAACAAACAAACAAACATACAAACATGTAGGAACAAACTGTCCCATATAACATGTAAAACTGTGTGAAGTGTACCCTCAAACCATACAGCATAACCCTAATGGGAGGTGGGTAGAACAAACAAACAAACATGTACAAGCAAACAAACAACAAATTACAATGTACAATCCATGTACAAACTGTCCTGTGGACTGCTGTGAAGTATGATTATACAGGTCCTGGAGGACTTAAAAGTACTTTTAGGAGGAAAGAAACAGTTTAGTATTCATTCACCTTGGGAGATGACTTTGGCACTATATGAAAATTATATTTAGCACACAGGAAAACACCCAAACACAAAAAATATGTGTCTTTTCTGTAAACCCAATTATTATGTAAATGTTGCAATCAAAGTGGCTTATGTAGTTTAACACCAGATGTTAGTGGTGGCAAAGACATCACTGAGACTACTTAGCTCATGTGAAAAGTTTGCTGTTGTTGATTTGTTGTTATTTTGTTTCCAGGTTTGTTGTTGTTTGTGGCGACGGAGAGTACATCATCTACACAGCCATGGCCCTGAGGAACAAAAGCTTTGGTTCTGCACAGGAGTTTGTCTGGGCTCAAGACTCAAACGAGTAAGTCTGCTAATTATTTATTAATCAGTCCTGATCAGAGCTAGACATCCTATCTGTATCTGTATAGCTGGTATAACCGCCTTTCGGCATAACACACCAGCTTCGCAGGCACGCGGCGCGGCGGCAGCTGGCTATATTACACCAATCAACTTGTTACACCTAACCCTTGAACATCTAACTCTAGACACTGTTTAAAGCTATCTGTATATGCAGGTTAGTGCAGGTAACATATCGAAGCTGTGCAGTTTCTGTTTTGTCTGTTTGTCCTGTTTTAATGTTGATGTACCTGTACTTTCCTACAGGTATGCTGTGCGAGAAAACTCCACCACTGTTAAACTCTTCAAAAACTTCAAGGAAAAGAAGTCCTTCAAGCCTGACTTTGGAGCAGAAGGTAACGACAAGATCTAAGTTGCAGTCTTCAAAAATGTCTTGTACTTTTTTTTTTAGAAGACCAGATACCTACAAATGTAACACTAACACCTCTAGGCAACTTGAAAAAAATATCCTTGAAATTTAGCTAATAGTGAAGAATGTAGACATGATTTTAACAGCTTTGTCCCCCATTCATGATTATGATTATAGCATCATAGAAATTTCTTGCCATAAGTTGAACTTCATTGCCCCTCTTTGACACTAAGATGCCAAAGCTAGGTACTAATTTTCATCAAGTCAAGTAAGGAAATACCAAAGTGTAAAGTGCCTTCTCAAGGGCATAGAATTGGAGCCTGCCGGCCAGGCATTTGAACCCAAAGCTAAATCAAATCAACCTCCCTAGCTACCTTTTCACAAGGTTCTCTCGGTGTTAAGTGCCTTTCTTGACATATTACTGCTGTCTACCAGGAATTCGAACCCAGAACCTTTAGATTCCAAGTCGACAACCCTGACCACCAGCCCCCCTTGTTACAGGTATATTTGGAGGTTTCCTGTTGGGAGTGAAGTCTGCTAACGGTCTGGCCTTCTACGACTGGGAAAATAACGACCTGGTCCGCAGGATTGAGATCACACCCAGACATGTAAGAAAAAAAGTTCAATAACATTATTTTTATGAGTTGTTGGGAGTCTTTAGCAATAATATAGTCTTTTGTTGTTGGTTGAGATATGAAAATAACATTATTTAACCCTTATACTCTCTTTAACCTTCTCCCTGCTGCCTAACACTGTAGCCAATACAGAATAAAATGGATCTGATGTTTTCCCCAGATTTTTTGGTTCTGTACATGTAGATAGGAATGAGCCATCCTGTTTGACCTGCGCAGTTAGTCATAGTCTCTAGAGACTGACTGACATATTATTATTATTATATTAATGATGAGTTGGTAAATCATATACATGTACCTTGTTTTCTTGGTTTTAATCCATCTCATGAATCTCTGATGTTTTTTCTCAGATTTTCTGGTTGTCAAATAATGTTGAGTTGGTAAATCAGATACCAAATTTTTGTTTTCTTGGTTTCCAGCCATTTCATGAATAAAAAATCTCTCTGATGTTTCTCCTCAGATTTTCTGGTCGGAGAACGGAGAGTTGGTGTGTATCACGACAGACGAGTCTTTCTTCATCCTGAGTTACTCTGCGGAGAGAGTCTCCAACGCCATGGCAACCAGCGAAGGGGTGACGGAGGACGGCGTGGAGGATGCTTTCGATGTGAGTTGTCATCAGCTGTGGTCTGGTACTTTTTTTATTTCATCCAGTACATGAAACCTTTGCCTTGTGATTCTACGTACTTTGTTGCTTCTGCCATTGACAGTGTGATTTCTGTAGTGGTATATTTGCCAGTTTAAGAGTAGAAGTTGAAAATCTTTTAAAAGAATGCCATCATTTGAGTACAGAAACAGCTCCAGGTTTTTTTTAAAAATGTATGTTCAATGTTTCATTTAAAATGCTTTCAGTTGTACCAGCAAAGCTTGTCAAAAAATCTTAGTGAACCCAGTAACAAAGAATCTAAAAGAATAATGACAATGACAATGAAGTTTATTGTATACTCGTGCCCCAGTGGGGCTAAATGCACTACTTTAGTTACAAATAGCAATTATGTATGCTACATGTATTTGTGGATACAAATAAACTCAAACCTACTTGAAGCAGCTCATCTTTCCTGTGTCCCAACTGTGGTCGGGACTGCCATGCGAGGATAGGGCTGATTAGCCACACCAAACGCTGTCCTCGGCCACAACACCAGACCTAGAGTGCTACCATCATCTTTCGAGATGGAAGGATGCCTACTAACTTGAAGAAAATAGTTCTTGGAGGTGTGTTGATGCTTTCTTACTCCGATGTTTGTGTGTGTGCAGGTAATTGGTGAGATCCAGGAGGTGGTACGTACAGGACTCTGGGTAGGAGACTGTTTCATCTACACCAACTCTGTCAACAGACTCAACTACTACGTAGGAGGGGAGATCGTCACCATCTCACACTTAGACAGGTCAGCAGCGGCCAACAGACTGTCTTTGCTTGAAAGTTTTTCTGTGTTGGTAGAAATCATGCTGAAGCAAGGTTGAATAATTGTAAGTTCTAGCATAAAAATTGGGCGTACCCAAAATCAGCTGACCAATTTCAGTCTTAGTCAAGAAACGAGGTCTCTTAACATGACGAAAACTGAAATTGGACAGCCTCGCTTCAGATTAAATTCTACCAACACAGACAAATAAGTTTTCTTGCTACACTGCTTTTGTGCTGTTCCAAATTGCTGGTAAATTCATGCTGTTTCACTTTAGAACGATGGCTTGTACTATTTGGTTTCTTTGCCACATTTTGTGCTGTTAAAAAATGCTGTACAATTTATGTTGTTCCCCTTTAGGATGATGTACTACTAAGTCTTGGTTGTACTACTAAGTGCTGTTCCAAATTGTTGCTCAATTCCTGCTGTTCCCCTTTAAGGACGATGTACCTGCTTGGCTACATTCCCAAGGACAACCGGCTGTACCTGGGGGACAAAGAGCTGTCCGTGGTCAGCTACTCTCTGCTGCTGTCTGTGCTGGAGTACCAGACAGCTGTGATGAGGAGAGACTTTGACACAGCTGACAAGGTGCTGCCCACCATCCCCAAGGAACAGCGCACACGAGTGGCCCACTTCTTAGAGAAACAGGTTGGTAATATTTGTGGTAAGGTAAAAGGTCCCACAGACTATTTGATACCATTGTGGTGGTGGGTTTTTAATCTACTGCGTCTAGGAGTCCATCCCTCTCCTTACATTGCCTTTTACCTCCCATCTGAAGTCAGGTACCCATTTTACACCTAAGTAATTGAAAGTCACATAAAGTGTCTTTTCACAAATACAGCATCTAGTTAGGAATGTTAGGAATTATTATGTCCCATATAAATATTTCCTTACCACTTAGCCATTGACGCAACACAATTTTGTCCCCTACTAGAACTAAAACAACATGTGATAGTCGACTTCACGACATTGCTATTTCCCTGTGCAGGGTTTCAAGCCCCAGGCTCTGGTGGTGACCTGTGACCCTGAACACAAGTTTGAGTTAGCCCTGCAGCTGGGAGAACTCAACACAGCGTATGAACTGGCACAGGAGGCACAGGTAAGCAGGGCCAAGAGTTTGTATAATAACAGCACTATGGACACATAGAAATCTTTATTGACCTAATGACAAACAAGTGGAAAGAAATGGACTTAGTACATGTATAGACATGAAGAAAAGACTTGGTTGTGTAAAAAGAGTCTCTTTACTTAGTGACTTACCAACCTGATGGAACTATTCATGAAAGTGAACTGTACTGTTTCCCCCCCAGCATGAGCAGAAGTGGAAGCAGCTGGCTGAGCTGGCCACGTCGAAGTGTCAGTTCTCGCTGGCGCAGGAGTGTCTGCACCACGCGCAGGACTTCGGCGGGCTGCTGCTGCTGGCAACGTCCTCGGGAAACGCCGGGATGGTCGACAAGCTGGCGAAGAGCGCCGAGACTGCGGGAAAGAACAACGTCGCCTTCATGTCATACCTGCTACAGGGAAAGTAAGACTAGAACACTGGCATAACTGTGTGATATCAGGCCACATATGATGTACACATTAGTATATGTGATGTACAGTCTATAATTGGTTGCACAAAGTAATAGTATTCCTTAGGCCTCATCTACATTTGCCTGGATTTTTGTAAGTACATGTATTTCTTTCACCAAAATGAATCGGAAGAGAGTGTGTTCATCTGTCCTGTAAGTTACTAGTATGTAAAAGACGCAAAGCAACACTGTAAGTTTTGTTGCAGCTTTTTTTGAGAAAATTTGGTCTTTGTCAAGTAAGAATCCACCATTTGTGTCATAAAATTGGCCTTTAAGCATGTATCTTAAAATTAAGCCAGAAATAAACTATCTATTTTCTTTATTTTCAGAATTGAGGACTGCCTTGAGCTGCTGATTAAGACAGACCGTCTTCCTGAGGCAGCTTTCCTCGCACGTACATACCTGCCCAGCCAGGTCTCAAGGTAGGGTTTGGTTCTTGTGTTTCATCTTTGTAGAATTTAAAATGACAGGGAAGCTACATGTACCTGGATGCAATCTTATAAACATAATATTATATTATGTTTATAAGATTGCATCCAGGTATATATAGTCCCTGTTAGCATAATGTCTATTTTGCATTGTAGTTTGTTTGTTTCACATAACTGGTAGATTACCTATTCAGTAAGACCAGATGTAAGGTTTGAATCTCGCACACTGGGAAGGAACCCTACTCTTTTGGGGTGTCTGGTGGGATTTTTAATGTGCTCAAGATATGTCTCTCCCTAAACACGGGACCTCCGGCTTTACATCCCATCCAAGAGGAAATTCCTAACTGAAGCTATTTTCAATTGAGTCAAGTTAGGAAATAGGTGTAAGGTGCCTTTCCCAAGGACACAACACTGGGGCCTGCCAGGCAATTGAACTCGGAAAATTCAGGCCCTGTGTGAACAACCTTAACCACAAGGCCACCGTACCATAGTTGTACAGCAATGAGTCAATGACAGAAAGGCCAACCAGAAAGTAGCAGACTTGCTAGCTTACACCTCACAGTGGTGAGTACTGATGATCTTCCTGGAATGACTTGAAAATTCCATACCCACAGAGTTGTGCAGTTGTGGAAGGAAGGGCTAGCCAAGACCAACCCCAAAGCGGCTGACTCACTAGCTGACCCAACGCAGTATGAGAACCTGTTCCCTGGGCTGAGAGAGGCCTTCGACACAGAAGTGTACGTCAAGGCACAGAGACAGGAACTGAAACCAGCCGCAGCTTACCCTACCATTCCTGTACGTTTGTCTGTCAAACCTAGTTACCATCTCCTGGCCATTGTGGCTACTAAAATAAACCCCAGCATTAAGTTACTAAGAATCTTGTCTATAGTGACCACCTGTCTATTGTGATCATTTATTCTGGTCCTTTGAGTGGCCACAATAGACAGGTATGACAATGACAAGATATTTTCCCATTGATACAAGCATTAAGAATCCTGTCTATAGCAGTCACATGTCTTTTTGTGTGTGTGTCTGCATGTGTATGTGTGAATTTGTGTGTGTCTGTGTGTGTGTGTGTGTGTGTGTGTGTATATGTGTGTTAATGTGTTATGTGTGTGTGTGTGTGTCTCTGTGTGTATATCAGTGCACAAAGTACTAACCAATGAGGGAGTGAAGTCTGCCATCTCTGATTTAATTAAGGTATCCAGCTGATGTGGCTTTTCATGTGTTTCCTTCCAGATGAACTTTGAGAGAAATCTATCAGAAGAAGTCCAGCAGGCCAAAGAGTCGGGAACATTTGGACAGACAGTGAGTATTTATTCTGTGATGTACATTCCAACATACACTTCACACATGTACAGTTTAAATTGTACTGCTGCGTAAAGTAGACTGGGTCTACTTCACACTGCAGCTAGTAGGTACATAATTTATAAACTATTTGGTTGTGTACAAGGAACTTTGTAATCCATTGACAGGGGTCGAAATAACCCTCTGTGTGCAACTTGGTGCAAGTAAATTTGGTGTCGTGCAACTAATTTTTTGCCTGCTTGCACCATGGTGCAAGTTTGCTTTATCCACTGTTACTACCTGTAGAATTACCCAATAATATTAATTAATAAAGAACTGGAGTGGAAAGGAACAAAACCAGAATCCATGAAGTTTTTCTTCATTTTTTGTAAGTAACAGAAGGTTACTATCTACGTCGCTGCCAGCGGATGTTTCCCATCACTTCTGTATTTTTGGAGGGTGCAACTGTTTTTCTTCCGGTGCAAGTATTTTTCTTTTCATTTGCACCAGTGCAAGTTGGCCCCAAAATCTATTTCGACCCCTGGCATTGATGTATCAACCAGATGAAACTATCTAGAGCTGTACGACTCTTGTCTCTTATGTCTATGTTTATGTAGATACCCTTTAGGCCCCTATTCCTTGTACTGAGAACCAGTCTTTCTCTATTTTGAACAGTTTCGTGCCTGTGAATTTACCTCAGTGATATCTGTAAAGGCTATCTGAATAGTGTTACTGGTATACCAACAGATTAAGAAATTTTACAGGCTCTTCGTCTTTGTGGTAAGGTGGCCAACATCAACTTGTTGATGGTTCTGCCACACAAATGGATTTCTAGTTCCTAATGATGTTGATTTTCCTGGAGACTTTCCACGAGGGCGGTCTTGTCCCAAAGCCGCCCACACCGGATGTCCAGCCACAAATGACCTTGGCTGGAGGTGACCTTGACCTTGACCCCTTCATGGAGCCCCCCACCCCCAGCAGTGATGACCTCTCCTGGGACCATTACGAGGAAGAGGTCGATTGATGTGAATTAAAAACTAAAACTGTGCCCACCTAACGTCATTTGTCCCCCATTTCTCAAATAGATTGGTCCAAGGCATGCAGCTTTCTAATGGCATGACCAATGGCTGAAACCATTAACGGGGGGTACTACATCTCCCTCGGTGCATGAGCATTGAAATAAACACTTTGTTGAAGACATAACGAGTAGGATCCACATTGTAACATACAGGGCTCCATGTAGGCTGGCTACCTCAAACTTCAACAGTATGATTTAACAGAAGGAAACAGCCCCACCAGATTTGAGTACAATGCTCAATGATACTCAGTCAATGTTACTACCAGTATGCTGTCTGATTTGCACAGCATGAAGTTTCATATAGGACCCTGCCCCCTCCCCCCTCCATAATTGCTTTACAAGCATGAGAAAGTCTTCTCATTTCAAACAGCTGCAAACTAAATGTGGTACAACTCCCACTACTAAAGGGCCCCAAGTTTTGCTGTGTTCTAAAGTTCATTGCGTTCCATGTGTCTAACAGTTTATGTTCACCACATTGCGTTTTCAACCCCACCCTACGTTGTCCTATTTTCCATATTAAAATTTAATGTTTTGTTGCTTTGCCTGTTTTCATAACTTGATATTTTTGTATACATGTATTTTCCTTTCAGTAATGATTTTTCCTCTTTCTTGTTGTACAGTTTTTCTTTGCTTTTTTTGTTTATATTTTGACCCATTTTTGTCCCAAAGCTGATTGAAGCCGACGCGGGCTCGGCCACAGAAAAAGAACCCGAGCCAGAAATCCCACAGCAACAAACTGAGGTCGCTGCCCCAGAGGTCAGTGCCCCAGAAGTCGTTACCCCAGAGGTCGTTGACCCCAAACCTGCGGCCTCCGTCCCACAGGTCAAAGAAGACTTGCCCTGGGATGATGATGATGATGATGTTGATGATGATGGTTTCGTCTTGGAGGTTTTTACTTTTTGTGACCTTCACTAATGCTGGGTGTGGGAAGTTCAAAATCTAAAAGGGCTGTTCGTAACACATCGTACCGTAGTTTTGGCAAAACCTGTCTAGACTCTGTAGGTGAAACTTGCTGGTTTATGATCAACTCTGTTGTAGCAAAAGGATTCAAGGTTTGATATCTGGTACATTGTGTACCCAGATTTACTCACAGTATTTTAATTCAAACCCAAATTTTACAAAATGTTGAAGACATATTTACCTCGTATATTCTTTAGTTCTGTCAAAGGCAGCTGTTTCTTGTAAATTTTGACCAAAGCTTTTTTTTTTGCGGTGAAATCCCAGCAAATGCCAAAATATCAATGTAGCACTGCTCCATCCTTTTTAGTCTTCCCCTGACCCCCCTCCCCCATCAGGTGGCCGCCAGCTCTGCTTGGGTTGCATGGTGTAGGTACTGGGGGCATCAATGGCAGGGTTAGCATTGAGAAATGTGGTTTCTGTCCAGATAATTGGCTCCAACATTGGCAGGGTTAGAGGAATCAATCTCCAAGCAGATCCCTTTCGGTGGCAAGACAGTACCGGTATCCATTAGCCAGAGGAGTTTGCATGGCCATTGGATACTGTCTTGCCACCAGGAGGGATCTGCTTGGAGATTAAGAGGAATATGGGTTCTGTTGGAAAAGTTTGTTCCCACATGATGTGTAACAGTTGTTTTTCTTGTTACAGCCCGCCAGTGGAGATGCACCGCCTGAAGCAGCAGCGCCCCCTATGCAGCAGGAAACAAAGGTAGGAACTGCAGCTCAAACAAACCTTTAATGTGTTAGGCGACTGCCATAGGTTTGGTGGTGCTTCTGTGGTGTCTTGTCGGCATGAAATAGCACCTGTTCTCATAAAGCAAACCTTAAATTAAAACAACGTATGATGTCTACATTGATGTTTGTAAGTCCCTAGTCATTGACACATTTCAAGTCACAACATTGGTAATGACATGTGTTTCCATCTGCAAGAAACATGCACATGCTTTTCTTCTGTGTTGAAGGCACATTTTCTGTTCAAAAATGTGGTTTACTTTAACATCTACATGGTTTGCATTGAAGCTTTGTAAAAAAAATGTGCTGTTGCTCACTCATAATCCTTGTGTTTTTTGACTCCATGTTTCAAAATTGTTGTTCCTCAACATAATATTTCTGATTTTTAACACCATTTCTCCTAATTGCAGACCCTTGATCTCATACCCTCCTCTTGACTCCAGTCTGCTCTGTCATGAGCAAGTCTTGACCATGTGGTGTCTTTGTTCAAACCCTTTTCAACACGTTATCTAAGGCTGTTGCTCACCCAAAATCCTTCTGACTTTTAACACCATTTCTCCTAATTGTTGACCATTGAAAAGCACATTTCACCTCATATTAGTATCTTCCCCCTCATTACGAAGCTTGGCCAATGTTTATTACATTAGTGTTTGTGTAGTTCCATGATTTATAGTTGCTTCCTGTTGCCCAACTCTTCCAGGGGCCGGCCCCCACTAACCCTAGCAGGAAAGACTCTCTGGTCAGTATTTACATAGTCTTTAAACAATGTCTTGGGACATTTTCTTTATACCATGACTATGGTCGCTGGAATAAGGAAAATACCAAGACTTTTGTTTGAAAACTTGTGTTTGTAAGATGACAATCCTGTCTGTTTTTCAAATGCCCCCACATTGTTCGTCACGTGTTGAAATTCATACTGACGTGTTGGTGTTGAGTTACTTTTCCCCCATCATCATCACTTGTGAAAAGGAACATACATTAGGAAACACTAGGATCTTCATGTGTCCTTAACAGAATACAAAATCAACTATGAACACAAAATGATTGTCAATGGATAAAAAGTTATGTCCACTTCTGACTTTCTCTGATAAAAGATGTACAAAACTGTATATTGCTGAAATACATGTACAAGTTCAACATTGATTTGTATATTGAATGAGAATGTTAACATTAATGGAACATACAGCTTTTGTTCAGTTCAGTTAACGTTTGCCAATTCTACATACAGTTTTCACATCTACCGTCTCAATCCAAATGAATTGACTTTAAGTGACCACCTGCTCTCGCTCTCATTTTGATTTGCCAGTTTTTTCTTATTTTGAGTTTGCATGTTTTTATTTACATTGCATGCCATATTAGGCTGTAATTGATTCTGCTATATCCATAGTGACTTCCACATTCTTATATAGAAAATTCCCATTTGTGACCAAAGTTATAACCTACGGGGTACAATCTTGTGACCTTCGCCGACCTTGTGTTGCAGGACCTTGACCTTGACCTGGATAACCTTGAGCTGGACGAGAACATCGACACCAGCGACATCAACCTGGACGACGACTTGTTAAAGGACGATTAACTCCACATAACCCCCCCATATTGTACAGTGGTATCATCCAGATATATTCTAGTAGCAGGTAGAACTGGAGTAGTCCATTTAGATGAAGGGTGGTGAAGATGATAAGTGTAGAAATCTAAAAAAAAGTGATCAGTAAATGCAAATTGCTGGGGGGGGTGTAGCAAAACTTGCCAGTGGTGGAAATATGTACACGTACGTTCCAATATATTATGCGATAGGAATGCCTCAAAATTTGTCACGTCTAAAAAATTCTACGCATTGAGTATAAACCAAGTGCCGATATACATACACTAAACAAGAGCTAGGTCAGAAGTACACTAAGTCTATAATTATGAATATAATGATATTGAGTCTCAACCACAAGTTAAATGTATCATCATTTAATATGGACGAATGCCTAGCTTTTTTTAGGTCAGTCATGTCTATGTTTCTACATGTATGTGTCCATACAGTTTCTGTATATGGCAAAGACTTTTGTATTGTTAAGTGATGTCAACGCTACCTACATGTATTGACAAGTCCTTGCAGAAATTTTCACAGGAGCTTGTGAGAATAAAAACAACGTATGGAAAACTACTGCATGTACCAAGGAGGTTTTCTTTGCAAGTACTACCAATAGTATTGATTCTGTTTTCCTCCACCAAAAGTTGTAACTGCATCATGTTTAAAAAAGAATAAAATCATGTTTGAAAAAGAATAGACATACAGAGTAGCCCCTACCAGGCTTCAGAGCCAACTGGAAAGGGAAGAAATTGACAGATAACATGCCAGGGGAGTTAGTCCGCTAAAGGAGTACAGCCACATAAACTGATGAAGAGAGCAAATTTACAAAGACGTTTTTCGTATGATCTGATGATATGAATGTTTAATTTATTGCACAAAATATGAACACCAATCATTTCATATCCCTTCCAAAAAACAGGTTCAGTTAGAATTCTAACAGATAAGGTCAAACCTGTACAGGACCACCTGGTCATTGATATAAATAGTCAAACCTTTACTTAGTGAACACCTCTACATAAGGATCACCATGTATGTGACCACCTTTTGTTGGTCCCTTAAATAATTTTTCCCACTGACACTAGCATTAAGAATCCTGTCTGGAGTGGCCACCAGTCCACGTAGACCAGATTTTATCAGTCCCGAGTTTTCTTCCACAAGTCAAGGAACAGAAACTCCTGTTGTCACAGGTAACTCCTCCAAATCACTCAACTGTCTTGGAACGAGAAGACGGAGGTGTCTATCCTCCTCAAGAAGTCGTCAGAATCAGGGTGATACACTGGAGTCATGTCCCACTCTGGTGGGTGGAAGAAGCTGTGAGCCTGGTCCCTCTGCTGCTGGGTTAACGTCCCGCCGCGCTCCATCGTGTAGAAGAAGTAGTGGAAACCGTCGCCGAACTTGTCCGTCCGTACGGACCAGCCGTACTTGTCGTCGGCGTACAGCGGGGTACGGAAGTGAGGCTGGGCGAAACTGATGGAGATGAACCGTCCTCCCGGGCACAGGACTCGTGATACCTGGGTTTAACAAACAAACAAACATCGATAAAGGTTTGACTACTTCTTGGCAGAACAATAAATTCTATGAGTGATGAAAGATAGTGGATGCTACAAAATGTTTATATCATTATCATCTGACCCCAGTTGCTTGATACTAGCCTCTACCAGGACACACAGATAACACAGGGTTCTCACCAGGATTTTTTCACAGCATAGGGGTCAGGTACAGAAGGGCAACTTTCCACTTTCGCTCACAGTGCAAGACGTGCATTAAGTTGAAAAAGTTTGAATCTCATTACCCCTGTGACACTATATTTTTCACCTAATGACTTAATTGTAAAGTTAAGGTTTTCCCTTTGCTATAGCTTCAATCTTAAGTTAAATTTTCATGTTTTGCCCCCCCCCCCCCAAAAAAAATGCCCCTATGCTGGTTGAACGACAGCACATTGGGTATTTTGGGGTCCAAATCACAGCATAGGGGGACCCTATGCTCAAAAGGCCTGGCGAGAACACTGTAACGTGCCAGTGGAGTTGGTCTTCTAGAGTAGAGAGTGAAATTGAAGAAGAATACCTCTTGTAAAACCTGATCACAGAACTGAGCAGTTTCCTCAGAAACTGTCCAGGGGCTTTTCTCCACCACCATGAAGGCGTCCAGCGTCCCTTTCTCCAGAACAACGTCAAACGCTCCGTCCGGGAAGGTCAGCTGTCGCGCGTCCATCTCCAGCCACGTCATGGCCGCCATGTCGGCGTGTTTGTGTCTCATGTGTCGGATGCACGTGGAGGAGTAGTCCATGTTCGTGATGTGGTGAAAACCGTCGCGATACATGTCTGCGCTCAGGGGGCTGTTACCACAACCTGGGGAACAGAGGAAAGTCATTACAGGTGTAACAATGGGGGGTTTATAGGCGCTACCAACAGACTCGACTGATGGGTCTAGACCTTTTAGCTGATTCAGTAGGAGCGTCAGATTGTAAGCTGCCGCCCGGGGGTTCGAACCCCGGCCCGGGACCAGGAGGGTTTTTATCTGTTTCTACTGCTCGCCTCTGTTTCTTACATAGGCATCGAACATTGAAAAGTGACTGCACCATTTAGAATTCAAGTATGGAACACTAAACAAGGATGCAACCCTTCCAACTTGGCATGCATGTATATACATTTGTACATGTAAAACAACTGGGAATACAACTCCCAACTCTAGAGGCAGCCTCAATGGACCATCAATGACTGCTACCAAGTGGTCAATGTATTCATACCTTGACACCTTCTTTGGGATGAGGAGGCTTCAAAAATAAAATGTTGGCTAAAAATGACTCTATGGACGTCATATCATCCAGCATTAATTAAACTTTAGGGTGCCACCAAAGAAATGTCAGTTTTGCAGCCTGGCATTCATGATTTATATACTAGCAAGCATTACACAATGTCCTTATCTAGTAATATTCTGGTAGTTGCATGGTGCGAACGCCCTCTAGAGTTTTCAACTAACATTGCAACAGGTAGTAACGTTACATGTAGTAGGTAGAACAAACCGGTTAAACCGGCAAGTAAATTATACTAAGTAGCCGCACTGTGCTTCTTCAAAAAGTTAGTTCATAGATATTCATGTTAAATCAGCATAAGCATTTCATGAAGCTGGTCATCAGATAAACCTTTCATAGGAAAAATTATAGAAATGTTTTCAGAAAGTACACGTGTACAAAAGAAAAACATCAGTACCCAGCATCAAGATTTTGTCCGTTTTCTTAATGCTTTCAAGAACCAGATGACGGAAGGATTCATAGCCTTTGAACCACTCGAAGGAGTCCTCTTCCTCGTACCGCCGGTCCCAGTACTCCTTCTTGGCGTATTCCCGGACATCTTGAGGTACAAAACTGTTGCTTTCTTCACTTTCTGAGCTCCCAAACTCCGCCATACTTCCAGTAACCTTTGGCCTTTGATTAGACTGCTTCATTGAGGCCTGGGGGAGGTAAAAGTTGTCATGTTTCAAAGTTTTATATTATTTTGACAATTTTCTTACAATATAGTAATATTTTGCCCTACATATCTTCTTAATAGTCACGTGAAACTTTTTTCTTATGATTTGTTATTGTAAATTTCCACGCTTTGTTGTTTTACAATTTATGTTCCCCCGTTTACAAGTGGTCTAGTCTGCTCATAAAAAAAGACTTCTTGGTCTTGTTGTCGGACATGTTGCTGGCGAAGTGAAAGTTCTTGAAGGAGATACACGGCTTCCTCAGACACTTCCTTGAGACTTTCTCCTCCCCAGGTACGTCTTAGACCTTCGTCAAGGTCGTCTGAGTTCGGCAGGAAGTACTTGTTTACCTAATGACGTCACGGTAAACACGTCCTGCCGGCTTGCCTCAGTGCAACCAAATACTCCACATTCCTAAGGAGATTGTGTTTAGAGCGGCCATTTTCTTTGACCACCGGTCGTCTTAAGGTCTGACCTTCAGCATTCTCCACATACAGGGTCGTCAAGACGTCTTGACGTGTCTGTGGGGCTTCCTTAGGCGGGTTTGAGTGACTTGCGTGGGCCGAGGGTTTACAATCCCACGCAGTTTTTCCCTGACTCACTCCAACTCCTTGGACTTCAATCTTACCATTTTTGGGCATCGGGAGGTTCAGATTACCACAAAACTAAGACGTTCTTGCCAAGAGAAGTACTCCCTCGCGTCGTCACCTTAAATCCAGGTCCAAGACACGACTTCTAGTGCTTTTAAGGTAGGTTTTCTCGCCTAGTGTTGCTGTGGGGTAGAAAATGATTTGTAACTTGTTTTCAGGTGGTTTTTAGGTCGATTTTAGGAGGGGGAGGGGACAAAATTTTACGCGGTCACAAAATCATGGTCTGGCGCTGTCAACTTTCACGGTTTCTCCTTCTTGCTGCTTTGAGAATACGGGGAATGAAGTCTGTTGGGTCCTTGGGGTCTTCTGGGGTCACGCCAGTTTTATTTTTTGCCCCGTTAAAGCAAACAAAAATGTCCCCCGCCAGTCGTGAGAAAGATTTACGAGCGAAGATTAGGTCCACATCCTTACCGGAAAATCCACATATTAGGCTAGAATAACACCGACTCAACATGGAGCAACCCTTAAATTCCTGATTCACTGTTATGGAACTGAAATTCATCATAAATATAGCAGCAAACTGATTACTAAAACATACCAGAACCCTGTACTGTGACCTAGTTTTCTTATAACTTCAAGCAGATCTTTCAGAGCAGAATAACTAACCGGCAAGGCAGTATATCCAATAGGCGCATCATTTTGCCCCGAAATATCTGCTTAGAAGCTATGTTGTAAAGTTTCTTAAAAGTTAAAGGTATCCAGTACAATTTCAGGGGAGCAAAGTAAAAAGCAAAAATGAATATAAATTCTGGATGACGTGGACCATGGAGTTAAAATAATAAATTTAAGCTCCTTCGACAGGCCCACAAGTCAGACTACAGGACATCCGCATGTCTGTTACAGAGACGTACAATAGGTGTCAGAGCGTGAAATTAACAAGTCCTTTGTTTGTACAACGTGTCCAGGTGAGATAATGATATCCAGCACATTTGCATCAGTCTGGAAAAGGAAGTGACACATTATTATGTTAACTTAAACAATTTACAAGTCAGAGACTCAGACAAAAGTAACCTGCTGATTCATGGTTAGTTTCAAAATTTCCCAAGTTGGCAGTAAAAATGGCCTTCAGTCACCATAGTTGGTACCATAGCTTTGTCTTAGTAGTCTTACAATAGTTACATCAATATCATGTCTACGGAACAAACCTTAAAAGACCATATGACACCAGGAATAGCACTGGAAGTGAAATACAAGAAAAAATACAAGAAACGTTACATGTACGACTACGAGTATTCTCGAAAATACTGGCAGTCAAATGTGATATGTGTTCAATGAACAAAGACGTTAGAAAATACACTTTTCTGCATGATGTTATGGAACATCAAATCTTGCAAGTCATCCTTCTACTTCCAGTCTGATTTCTGAGCACTGCCAGTTATTCCAGTCAAATTCTGCCAGTGATGCACAGTGAGCACGGCAGCATGTTCAGAACTTAGCACCACTGCTCGTAAAAAAATGTTCCTTCGAGAAGCAGACAATACAAAATTATCATACAATTGCAAGGTAGATTAATGTTTGATTTTGTTTCGAAAGAACGTTTTCACAAGCCATGATGCCAGGAGTTAAACAGTGCTCCATGTTACTCATTTGTAAACAAATAGTACATGTACATGTATGTTTTATCCAGCAATGCACAATAAACCCCAAATACAGGCTTGCTTTGATGTTATTTCAAAGTGTTGACACATGTACAGCAAATTGAAGTGATTCATCGCACAAGTTGCAAATTGAATAGCATGAAATCTGCTTATCCCCATCAAGTGTAGTGAACCTGATATCATTATCAAGCAATGTGATCTCCAGTGACACGGTTAATCAAATTTTACGCACAAATTTAATCAGATAAAACTTTATCACCCCACAGAGGGCCTGAAATTATATTTTACGGGCAATTTATATTAGCTGTATGATCAAATCAAGTCTGTATGCCAAGCATGCGAATATGCTAAATTGTAGGGGGAATTATTTTGTAATGATCTGCCAGGAGTCTTCATTGTTTTAACAATCAACTTTGTGTTTTACATTGACTCGCTGGATTTTGTCTGTTTTTCCTTCAAATTCAGAAAATAAAATTTGACTTTTTTGGCAAATTTTCATGACAAAGCAGAAATGTCTTTCAAATTCACCCAATCTACATATACTATTGTGTGACTTGTTAAATATTGTTGATATATCCAGGTTGATAATGTTAAAAAGACTTTATCCTTTTAACAAAAACAGATGTTACAGCACCTCAACTAGTAACTCTCAAGGGAAAATGTCACTTCCTACAGTTATTCATCATAAGAATACATGATGGATGCCACAGTGTTATGAGGCACATTGTTTGGAAGTGAATGGAAGCTACGTTTTGCTTCCTAAATAGAAACATGTACATATGTGGGTCCATGAAAAATTCATGTCATTGTTGTCTGGGCCTTTTGGAGAATCAGTCTCAGTAGACTTGTCCTACACTACAGGACAATCTCTGTCAATCATTGCAAACTGTCTCTTTGTGTGATAAAAATGCAGATTTATCTTGTAAAGAACAGCAAATATGGTCCTATTGTCTAGATGTATATTAAATGATAAACAAAAGATGACATTGTTAATCATTTTTACCTCAATAGCTGACAGGACAATTGTAGATTCTTCAGTTGTTTTATGATTATGTTCACACAACTCATTTCAAGTCAGTTTCAAGTCAACATTTATTTGTCACATTTAGTACACTTCTGAAAAGTATATGTCGGACCCTTTTTAAAAATCATGTTTCCTTCTAGAAAGCATTATACAGTTTAGCTGGAATACTGTATTGTTTTTGGCTCATGGCCAATTTTTGCAAACATTTAAAGTCCACAATTTAAAGCTTGCAACACATTTGCAAATTGTGGCACGCTCAACTTGCAGTCTACGACAACTGTTGATTCAAATCTTCCCAAAGTTGCAGCTGCAGGAAAACATTCGCATGACAACCTGACATTGAACCTTCAGTTCTAAGCATGATGTCATAGACTGGGAATGTCGTGTGGAACATTCAGAGGTTGTTGTTCACATCCGAACCAACAATCTGGGCCCCACCTGTTCCTAATGTCGTTAGAGTTACTGTAAACTCATTTATTTTTGGAGTAACTTAAATTCGAGGCTCTTACAGAATGAAAGTTTTTGGTGTGTGTTAAGTTTAAACAATTCTGTAGAACAGAGTACCGTGGAAAACTATAGGTGCAGCATCTTCATTTTGCAGTAGAGAGATCACTGTGAAATAAATCCACTGCAAATATTTCAAAATCTACAGCATAATGATTGGTACATCAAAATAGGGGAACAACATGTGGTGTAGGCACACATTGTCTGGGCAGAAGTCACTGAGTGACAGTTATTAAGTATGGCCACCTGTTAAAGCAAATTATGAAGGGTCTCATTGTCATACAAAGGTAGAGTCAGGTCAGGCCTGTACAGATTTGGTTTTGTAGATCTGGGGAGGGTGAAAACTCCCGTCAAAAGAAGCAGAGTTTGGTAAATGATTGTTTGGCATGTTTTTGGTTGAAAATGTGTTGCAACTTGACAATTTTTTTTTTCAATTAGCCGGCATTGGCTTTTCAAATAAGGGGCGTGATAAACAATGGTGTCAATGGGAAACGGTTTGGGTTTTCACAATTCTTTTCAATTAGCAGACTTTTTCTTATAAGCGTTTTGCAATTAACTGGCTGCCACTGTAGTTACTAGTACATATACATTTGCATAAGGAGATCACTGTGCTTCAGTATGATCATAAAGGACCTGTCCCTAACCCTTTGAAGTTTGAGGCATGAAAGTACATTTTTGTACAATGAAGGTTTTTTTTAATCAGTAATGCTCCTTTCTGAAACACATTTTCGATAACTCGAGTTTGGAGGACTCACCAACTAAAATATTGCTGAAAATACCTTGGTGTCTCCGAGAAAAGTGTTACTGAGAACTTTCAGGTGTGTGTACATATCTGTGATCATGTTAGACTTGACATGTTGACACCTGAAGGTAGCCAAAAATGCTGTGAAACCTTGAAGTGAGTGGCAACATGGGAGACTGAGGGTTAAATCAACAGGCTAAAGATAAAGAGTGTGATGGCAAATAAAGATCCCACAGGGGGTCCTTATTCAAGATAACCTACCTAAAATTTTCTGTTTTCCTATGATAGTATGTAGCAGTCTATATATACATATCAAAACCCACAGTCAAGATTTTAAAAGTAGTGTTAAGCTTAAATCCTATCATGATGTGATCCGTGAACATTTCAAACATTGCTCATCAGAGTTACACCCATGGTATACTTAGTATGTCCCCCTTACCCAGTCCACTCCCATTGTGAGTGCCCCAGCCAGACGCCACTTGACTCAGATATCACATGTCACCCTGTTGTCCAACTCACTTGACTCTGGAGCTGCTGCTATCAGCTCAAGGTTAAGGGGGAGGGGAGGGCTGTACTTGTGCTACATCACAGAACTGTTCATTCTGTACCATTGTGAGTTAATGTGACCCCTTAACATGTAGGACTAGCCTATTTTCTCTGTGGTACATGTACTACAATATAGGTGTAGCCCTAACTGGGGCTGAATCGGAAAACTCATATTTTCAAAAGTCAGAGCTATGGAATGATGAGCCACTGCTGTCAGCAGCACTTAGACTAAGTTAGAGAGGAAGGAAGGGATGTCCTACTCTCCAAGCAGAGGTTGTGGGGGAATGATCGTTACCTTTTTATATATGGCTGTTTTTTTTTGTCCTGATCCCCACCAATCCCCACCCGTCGGTGGCCGCGGAGCTTCTCTGGCTAATGGATACTGTCTGGCCAATTTGATACTGTCTTTTTGCCACCGAGAGGGATCTGCTTGGAGATTAGGGATGTCCTAGTTTTAAATCTACTATCTTGGGCAGTGTTGACTCTAATAAAGTAATATCTTCCCTTTTTCACCAGTCTTTTTTCTATGTGAAAGGCCTATCCATGTGTCCCATTGAAAAGTCTGTATTTTTGAAGTTCAGTAGAGAGACCTGCATGTAACTGCTGCTCCCATGAGCTTAGTGTTGCAACCTTGAAGAACAGTAAATCTAGAAGAAATATGACCCAAGGACAGGTCAGACAGTTTATTTGTTCTACCAGAAGTGTACACTCAAACCACTGACCCATTTTCCAGGTAACCCAGCTTACTACAAGTTACAGATACAGAAGTTCTAAAATGTCTAAATCTATTTTACTTTAGCTGCTGAGCTTCTTTCCTTTTTGTCTTGCAAATACACTTCTGAACTGACCATAGTTGATTCTATTTAATTATACACCAGTAATACCTTTTAGACATCTACCTTTCATTATGTAGATTTCATTTAGTTAGATTTTATACTCTGTTTCCATGTTCTTTTATGTTTGTAATTTGCATTAGGCCTTTGTGCATGAATTTGCAATACATTTTGTCCTCTTTTTATTAGAAAAGACAGAAGACACTCAGCAGCTGAAATAGTTGTAGGTAGTTTAACAATTTGAGGTATTAATAGTACAAGACTCTTCAACTTTGCGTGTACAAACTAAAGTGTCTGAAGGTGCGATGTAAGAATTTTTCAACAATACACAACCGAGTCTTGACACATCCCAGAACAAGTCCCTCGGCCTTCACAGCCGGTCTGCGATTGGCCGGTCCGTCCAAGTGGGTCCTGAATTCCTCCCATTCCCCACCTGGCTGGAATGTGCGGAATCTCGGGGCCAGCGAAACTCAAACAGGATGTGTTGTTTCTGCCGACCTGGGCTGGATCAAACAGGAAGTCAGACGACCCTTGACCTTGACCCAACATTGACATACCCCCCCCCCTCCCCTTACTGTTAGCTTGGCGTGCAGACATATGGTACGTGTGTGTGAGTTGTCCTCCCATGCTTGACTGTATACTGTGCATGTGCCGCGCTGGTATGTCTTTAATACATACATGTACACGCTGTACGTATAATGTTTTTTCTGACCGATTTCTCGTTCTGTGCATGCATGATTTTCTCTGTGATTTCCTCGTTGTAACCACATGTTTTTTGAGCGCTTTTTTTTCTCTCCTGTTGTTTCGGAATTGCAGATCTCGCGGATATGCCAGTGTAAGGTTGAATCGTTACTGTCGCTTCACTGAACAAAACCCCAATCCAGAATGTTAAAGTTTTCTAAAACAGGCAAGACAGGTGTGTATTTTTTATCCACACGTTTTTTTCTGCGTTTTCGTAACCTGCACTGTTCTGTTTGTTTGTTTGTGTGTTGACGACGCTTGAGTTTTAACGCACACGTTGTGTTTGTGGTTGTTGCACACTGTGTTGAGTTCCGTTAACTGTAGTTGCTGACAAATATCATCATTTGTTTTAACGATTCACCATAATTTTTGGAAGATTATTAATTTCATTTTATATGTGTACATTTGTTCAGTTCTTCTATATTTCTCACATTAATTATCAAATGCACAACATTTCTGTTCCAATTTTTGGACATTATCTTATCATTTTGATGGCATCTTTGGGACACAATCGACATCAATGAAATACCTTCTTCCGAAACTGGGTCGGGTTTGAAAGTCTTGATTTCCCAGAAGACTTGTGAGAAGTGAAATGAAAATGTGGACGTAAGACAAAACTAGATCTACTCTTCCAAAAATATTCTGGATGAGGAAATCTGTCTGATATTGACATTTTTTGCCATTTCCTAAAGCACATGTTAAATATGAAATGAGCAACCGTTTTCCATCAGTGACATTGCATTTTTGCCTCATAGTCACAGATACCAGTTATTTTGCTATGGGATACCGGTAATGTTACTTACTACATTTATTTCACTACGCAATTGAAGATTGATTTTGAAAATCCAGTTTTACTTCTTTGAAATTGCCTAAAAAGATAACTTGAAGATTGTAAGCTATCGCTGATAATGGACTTACATGAAGCCTTACAAAAGCAACTTTGTATGGCCGCGGTAACAATTTCCAAATGTGTACTAACTTAAACTTTTAAGGCATTTTCATTGTTTCATTTCTGTACCATTTGTTTTGTCATGTACATTTTTGCTTTCAACAAAAATCCAGTAACTTTAACAGGAAATTCCTGAATACCTAAACTGTATGTGTGTATCTTCCTGTTAATTTTGGCCATGTTTTCCAAGAAAGGAAATTCCCAAAGTGTTTTGTTTACACATGGCCACTGATCATTTGCGGAATAAACAAGGAGCGCCCGTCACTTCAAATTTGAAAAGGCATTGAGAATTCAGACAGTCTGTGTGACTTTGAAGCCAAATATCTCAATAAAGTTGCAACAAAAAAACCTAGGTGTATATACATAGAAGAACCCTTGCTCTTTCAATTGTTTAAACAAGTTAAAGTACAAGGTCTAGATTCAACTAGATGTTTCAAATTCCTGATGCCTAAAATGACCAGTGTTAGTAGACTACAGGGAGAAACCAACACAGTGTGCAAATGTCAAACAGTGTCTGTGCTTTAACAAACAGAACAGGGTTCTGTGGTTGTTGGACCTTAGATCCAGTGGTGTAGCTAACCTGTGCTGGTATAGCTAACCTGTGCTGATACAACTAACCTGTGCTGATACAACTAACCTGTGCTGCTATAGCTAACCTGTGCTGATATACATGTACCTAACTTGTGCTGGTACAGCTAACCTTTGCCGGTACAACTAACCTTTGTTGGTACAGCTAACCTGTGCTGCTATAGCTAACCTGTGCTGGTACAGCTAACCTGTGCTGGTATAGCTAACCTCTGCTGGTACAGCTAACCTGTTCTGCTATAGCTAACCTGTGCTAGTATAGCTAACCTGTGCTAGTTACACAGCATATAGTGTGTTGGTGTAGCAAACCTGTGCTGATTCAGCTAACCTATACTGGTACAGCTACCTAGCTATATATATAGTCTGTACTGTTGTACGTACTATACAACTAACCACCCCTGGTAGGGTACAGCTAAGTCTGTTGTTGTGACAGTCTAACCTGTGTGTGTTTGTGTCCAGTGGTCTAACCTACTGAGTGTCCCCTCCCCCCTCCCCCTCAGTTTGACCTTGCTATAATGTCTCTATTTGCTGCTGACAGTCCCTCCTCTCCCCTCCCTCTACAGAACACAGTAGAGTAGCCCAGTATTCACCCACTAGTCTTACAGGTGGTGGTGGTTCTTACCAGTTTTTGAGGTGGTGGTTTGGATATTAATGATTTGTCATGTATTGTACTTATTGTAATGCATAGTTATATTTTGGGGTTGTGGAATAATTGAACTGCTGTTACATAGTGCTAATATAAAATTTGACTAACCAACTAAGTGTTTTAGAGATCAGAACAGATTGTTCCATGACTCAGTCATAAGAACTTTAATGCTAATGCAATGATTCTATATTATTAGAAGCATGGTATCCTTCCCTATTTTAGCTCCAGTCTGCACCTATGATTGTTTGGAGTTTTAGACAACAGCTAGAGTAGTGATGGATACCAAATATATTTGTATTGCCAAGCCAACAACATTTCTTGTTTCTCAAACTTTTTAAATTGAAAATTGACATAGGAGAAAGAGATCAACCTAAAAAAAATATGAAGGAAATTTCAGGCACATTGCCAACTTGATAATTCAATCAACTCATATTCAGAGCAACTTTGACATCTTTCATGTTTTCTGGGTTGAGAAACATGTTGAATTTTGTTGAAAGGACCTTATGATATATTTAACCTTCAACCTGCAACCATACTTGTCTGAAGGTGTGATGTTTATAGCAACATCTTCAGGTTATATCAGGTCTCTCCTACAAGGCTTTACATTACAATGTCGTAAACTAAAGAATTACAAATTTCACCATGTTCCACCCCATCACCAGCATTACCCTGGGTGCCATCTGGATACAGGTGGACTATCCAGAACCATGCCTGAGTTCTGGATAAAGCATGGTTCTGGATACAGCAGGCATCCAGGCTAGCAGCACCCCCCCTCCCTCCCTCCCTCCCTCCCTCACGGGAATTTCTCCCATGTTGTTCTCTGCCCCAGTTTGATGGATGGGTGTTTATTTCTCCAGTTTTAGTTATGTCAACAGCTCGTCTGTCTTCTCATCAGGCCTGTACAGGGAAGCCTTTTTACTCAGGACAAACTAAAATGGCTAAAGTCCTAGTTAATCGGTTAGTTCCCTGTGGGTACATGTTTTGTAGAAAGGGAAAAAAGTTTCAACCTTTCCTGTCACTGGCCAATCTTTAGTATCAATCATTTTTTCTGGGCATATAAATTCTACCTTAGTGAACAACCCTGCTTCTCTCAAAGGTTTCTGTTTAAGATAAACAATGACAAATCAAAAGGAAAAGTCACAGTTGTTTCTTTTAGTTACTGTAAAACAATTTATACTTATATAAGTATGGATCTCAGAATGTATAGCTAAATCTCATTTTCCACCATCCATAACCGTAAGGAAGGCCTGGTGGAGACTCCTATTTTTGCCAAATTCTTAGGAAGGTCTGGTTGAGGCTACTATTTTTCCAAATTCTGCTGTTCACAACCCCTTAGGAAGGCCTGGTATAGACTACTATTCTTGCCAAATTCTCCTATCCATAAGGAAGGCCTGGTAGAGGCTTTAATTCAGAAAGGTCCCAGGCATTGCAACCTGGAGTCCCTTCTAAATTGTGACCTGATCCATCAGTAAGTACTGTACATACCTATCCTCTACTATCAGGCACCTAATAACCCCAGCACACATGTCTGTACCCTGCCTGGAGGGAGAGACCCAGTACAACAACACCAGCCAGGTTTGTGTTGGCTATAGTATAACCCGTTAGGAAGGCCTGGTACCGGTAGGGGCTAAGTCAGAAAGGTCCCCAGGCATTGCAAACTGGAGTCCCTTTTAGATTGTGACCTGATCCATCACGTATACCTACCTACCCTCTACCTATCTGTACCCTGCCTGAAGGGAGAGACCCAGTACAACAACACCAGCCAGGTTTGTGTTGGCTGTGATCCTGTCACAGTCACCCCGCTGTGAGCACTTCTAGAACTGCCTTCTTATCTTCTCCAGCGTCTCAAGAACAACTCCACAACACCAGGATGTCCTCGCAGCGTCTCGAGCAGGACATGGGGTCCCTCTCGCTGTCCGACAAGTCTCGCCTGCCGCCGACCACCGCGCCGACGTTCTACAGCTCCGGGAAGAAGTTTGCTCCGGTCGTGGCGCCCAAGCCGAAAAAATCTCAGGTCCAGGCAGCGTACCAGGCACAGAAGACCACGGAATACTCCCCAAGTGGGGCGGGGGCAAGGACGCAGGAGAACTATGCAAGTATGTGGACGTGTTTTTGTTGTTTCTCTACAATATTCTTCTCATCAGTGTTTCTTTTTTTTTGTTGTAACAATGTGTATCAACAGGAATCGTTGTTGTATGAAACAGATTGAAGTGTTGAACCATATCACACATATACACACACTACACACAAATTATTGCAATGTCTCAAATGTCTGTTGTTTGTTTGTTTGTTTATGGATGACATATAACCACTGCCATTAGTATTAGCAAAATTTGGGTTCCATAGAAGAAAGGGGAAGAAGTTTTATTGGGGAAACTGCAAGATAGTGTCCCTGTTTCTTGTTGGTTTCTTGAAGCCATTCATCTCTTAACATTTCAAGCAGGTAAGAATTACAACAATGTAGATCCATTCTTTACTAGAGCCTGTTCCTGAGATAACTGTCTGACAGGCTTAATTTGATACCCAACACCCTCCTTAATTCTCACACTTAGTAACCTGATACCAATCTTACTTCCCTTCATAAACAGGCTGAGAAGTAGGGGTCAGGTAGGGTCACGGGTTTTCAACACTTCTTCTCAATCTCACATTCAAGTTGTAACTTCTGTAAATACCAAAATAATTTTCTTTTTGAAGTCACTTTGACAAATTGCCAAGGACCGTTGTCGTTTTGTCAACATTTATTGATTGTTTTCTTTATTCCAACTAAGAGTTTGTTATGTTTTGGATAATGAACTTCAAGGTCTATGAGATTTTTTATCACTGCAAGGTACAGGGTAATCACCTAGCAGCTTTGAATAGTACTACCGTAACAGCTTCTAGCAAACTTATGGTTGTATTAAAGATGATTTTGAAAAAGATCTTTTTGACTAAAATGCAAAGTGACAGCGAAGTTTTTGGAAAAGTTGCCAGTCTAGGAGCTTGTGTGAAGATTCTTTCTCCCCCATTACTAGTATTAACTTTGAGTAGTCAAACTTTAAAAAAAGGAATGTAGGATATTTTGGACTAAAATGCAAAGTTTGCAGTTTTGACATTGAGTGTTTTCAGCAGAGTTGCCAGTTTCCAAGCTTAAACTTTGGCTCTTGGATAAGTTCAGGAATTCCAGAGGACCATTTGGAAGGTCTCAGGTTGTAGTAAACTTGGCCGGAATCCCAGTCTGTAGAAGGAATGTCAACCACTAGGTAAACCTCAGGTCCACATGACTATATATAGTCTGAAAACTTCAACCAGAAAACCAGTCAGCACAGAAGATTTTTCTCAAAGGTTCCTAATGGATCTAATGAACTGAAACTGGTTGGCAGAGGACCTTTGGAATGCAATTCTTTCTGATAATTAGGTAAATAAAGCGAAAGTTGATTAGGTAAAAGTTAAATGGGGTCATTCATTTAAGCATGATGAAGTACAATGTATAGCACTTTTTCAAGTAGGTCATAGCGCATTTTTAGCCAAGCACGTGGTCACCTCTACTCTTCTCAATAAGTGTGTTGGGTTATTTTACATCCAGAGGTTTGGGTCCTGAACCTAAACCTCTGGACTTGAATCCAGACCTGGACCAGGACGTGGGTTTAGGTACACAGCACTAAACCTTCTCCCTGCTGCCTAACCCCATAACCATTCAAATTTAGTGTCAAATGGCTACCTTAGCAGGCTGAAGGTTAAATGCAAAAGTAAGTTGATATGCACTAAAGTATGATTATTTAGGCCCTATGACTGGACAAGAGTCTAAACCTCCCATCTCTCAAACCTGTCCTTTTTAAGTCAGACCTGAATGTTTGGTTGGTCTTTCTTGACGTCAAAGCAGGCCAAAAGTCAGGTAAATACACCCTGCCAGACGCCAGGAGGTCTCCAGTTTCTTGCGCTGACAGATCCAAGTGTTTGTCAAACGGTACAACATACACAAGGGCCACCTCAACACCATATTCTGTTTGCTGAAGTAAAAGGTAAAAGAAAAAAAGCTACATTTTGTCTCTGTGCCACTTTGAGTTCATTATGTTAAAAGCCGCCAAAATGTTCCTGAAAAGGTTTGCTTTTATTTGTATAAAGTATTAAATTATTATTTCCTTTCTTTATCAATTATTGATTCAAACACATGCTCCATGTACAGAAATATTTTCAAAAATACCTAAAAATTCAACATTTTTTTAAAACTATCAATGCAGTTTCTTGACTAAAAGTTCATAATTTATTTGTTGACTTTGTTGCTCCTATGATAGCATTTGGGACTATCACAAAATGCCTCTTGGCCTTTTTTTACCTGCCTGCTTCGTTGATTTCCTGTAAAAATCTAAGAACCACCAAATCACATTGGTTCGGCCAAGATAATGTTAATATATAAAGGGTGTCTTCACACTCAAAGAAGTAGTGTTAAAACTGGTTGTCTTTACAGAAATTTTGGTGCCCCAAAAAAGTAGACAAACTTAATGTTGTGTTTGGGTGAGTGGCTTGACGTCACTTGACTGGTACCTCCATCTGTGTCTTGTCATCCTTGTCTCCAGACAAACGTCTTAAATCCTGTTGATGTCTTAGGCAAAGATCCAAATTCCTTCATGTTTGTCTGTCTTACCACGGCGTCTGGGACCTGCCAAGGTTTATACTCGGTCCTCGACCGCCTTAGACTTTTGGAGTTTGGTGTCAGTGAAGAAAGAAAAATCATCTTAAGGTGTTGGCTTTTTTTTTAGTGTTGAATTTCACAGGTTGTGTTTTCACTATGGTTAAGTGGTTTATTAACGGCATCGCTTGAAACATTATCATTATTTTTCAAGTTTTTTAATCTTAAGTTCGAGGATGGTTATTCCCAGGTACAATGGTCTTGAACTAGAAGCAGGGCTGAAAATACATGTACTGTACCACATGCATATGAAGGTTAGCGCAGGTAAACTTCAACCGTGCTGTGCCGGTATTTCTGATCACATGTATGAAGTGCAAAAGAAACAATCGCAATGGTTTCTGAATCTGAACAGTTTTTAGTGTGATCCATACTTGATAAATTCTGAGTGGTGCAGGTAATTTTCAATGCTACCTGCTCCAGTGTACATAGGACGGGTATGCAGAAAAAATTATTTCGAAGCCCTGCCAAGGAATAGATTCAGGGGTTAAGAATTTAATTCAGATCTGGAGAAATTTGTTGCAGATACATGTACATGTACATGTATGTCCATCAGAGTTGGGAATGTTTGAGCCTGGGTGATGAGCCTGACCTCTGACCCCTACTGGAATGAGCAGAGGTCAGACATGTGACCTTCAGGAGGCTTCTCTAAACTCAGACTCTGAACAAACAAACCCAACTGGGAGGAAGGGAGGGGGGGTCTGGAATTGGCAGGGGGGGTCTCAGGTGGACAGCAGGGTCTACTGATAGGTTACTGGGAATCATGTGACTATGATGTCATTTAGAGCCACCATGTTGGTACATCAAACAAACCAATGAATGAGGGGGGGGGGTCAGCTGTGTTTTGTATGATGGATGAGTATACATAGTTGTGCTGTAGATGTTTTGATAGACAAGTGCCACTGTAAATTTGCAATAGAGATGATCTTAACAATTTATACAAAGAAACATACTACAACTGTAATAGTACTAGAGACGTTACTAAAGCAAATATTATTAATCAATATAACAAACTCTGCTTAATAATAATTGTTTTTCATCCAGCTGTTTCTTGTATTAAATTCTTTTGAGACTTGGAATATAGATTTTCAAGCTGTTGTTATTTTGCCTAAAAGGAGTGAGCTACATATGGTAAATGGAGCAAGAATTTAATTTGGTCAAGCCTATAACCTAGCAAGGACACTAAATGAAATATTTGGATACAGTAAAATCATTGCAAAGTCAAATACTGACTATTGTTTACAATGTCCTTAGGCTGTCGCTTTCTGACCCCACGGATTATTTTACACACAGGATGGGAACATCAGTTGAAGCTGAGATACAAAAGAGTGGCGCCATGTTTTGTTATTGTTTACTTGTTTGTAAACAGGATCGAGCAACGGTTTAACCCGAGGAGACAAGGTTCTGTAGCATTGGTGCTTGTAGAATGTCGGAGTCAGAGCTTGACTGGCGCAAAACAGATGGAGACAAATCTGTGGCATTCACTGTGTCTCACGTATGGATACTCCTCTGTCCATCCAGCCAACTTTGCACAACGTTCACATACAATTACAGTTTATAAAGCACACATTGATCGACATAGATGTCTACAGAGGTTTTTGGAAACAGGAAAAGTGTAGCACTGACCTGGAGATGTTTCCCCACCCTCCCCATGTGTCCTGCTGGGTGGTTGGTTCAGAACTGGGCTGGTATGCCTCTGTTTGTGGAGCGTGACCTTTCCCAAAATAAAACCATTGCAGAGATGAGGAGGAGAGCCCAAAAATAAAACACAGGGCTGGACAAGGGAGGGCCAGGACTGTCTGTCTACGTGGTCAGTCGGCAGATCGTTTGATTTTTACTTCCCCGGGTCGCAGAGCGGAGGGACCCATGGCGGGATTCTATTCACGACAGTTCACGGGGAGAAGAGGTACGGTCGCGGGAACTTGGTGCTTTCTGCGCGGGATATTCTGTAGGGAAGACTGTGGTTCGCATGTATGAGTTTAGATGTGGGGAGGGGGGCGTTACAGACAGCTGGGCTGTACTGTAGACTGATGCCTGAGGCTGATAATTTTGTTGTAAATCAAATGTGCAGCTGCTAAGGCGATGCGTACAAACTGCTGCAGAGGGAGGGGGGTAGACTTTAGGGAGGCCTGTGACAGCAACATACATGTACATGTTCTGTTTATGCTGTATCAAAATGAGTATGTACAATGTATGATGTCTAACCTCTTTGGGGTATGAATATTTTTTTTTTTTGCAAATTGTAGATGATTCAGTAGAGGCATTATCATTAGATAGCTTTAAGTTTAAACAATGTTTACAGTTAGATGTGCAAAGGCTAGGTATAAAGTCATTCAGTGCAATATAAGCCAGATGCAAGATCAGGTGTGTTGCACTGAGGGGCAGTTATACCAGCTATACAGAATGCAGGTAGAATGCACTACTAGATATCTGTATATGAATGTATACCATAGAATAGTTTTCTAAAGGCCTGTGGGACACTCCTACCTGTCGGAAGGCCTGCAGGGTGATGTGGAGAAGAATGTTGGGTATTTCCTCTGTACTTCCCAGTTCTGGTCTCCATGTGTGAACATCAGACAAACTCTGACAGATTTCTTAGGAGATTTCAAGGATGTTGACAAAGTTTTGGCAACATTTCCAAATTGTGTCATATTTACAAGCACATACTTCAAGATCATACATGAAATGCATCAGGATTTTTTCTTCAGTTAGAGGCTAGGGTTAAATGTAGTGTGCGAAACAATTTAAAATAATTATTGTAAAAGGGAGTTATGAGGACGTAACAGTGTAGAGCAGCAACATTATTCCATTGCCTAGCTAATAGGGAGAATTGTGCATAATCTATCATATTATAGTGCTTTGTATGTTTGCCATGTTTTTTACCTCCGGGGAAGGAGATATCCTTCCGCGAGGAGGTTTTACTATTGTTCGAAACATTTCTGTCAGCAGCTGTTTCTCACGGTCGGCTGGACGGATTTGTCTGTGGTTCGGTATACGTATTGCTGTTGGGCTGCAGATGATGCAGAACGTTTTTGTTTAATTGTATATGTGTTTATGGGCGTGGAAATAAAAGGTTTTTAAGTGCTCCGGACACCCCCGCCATGCTGAAAATGGAATTTACCATGTTGTTAAGGAATGGGGAGGTTTCAGTTTTGGGTCTTACCATTTAAAAGGGGTCAAACAGAGGGGTGTCTGCTTCCGATATGTATTTTGAAATATTATCGCAGTTGTATCTCGCGTTGGGGTAGACTGGACTCGGTGTATGTTCTTCTAATGGGCTGTAGATGGTGCAGGTTTTTTTGTTTTTATTGTATATGTGTTTTGGGGCGTAAAAATCTGAAAATGGTCGCGCGCGGCGCTGGGCTGGCTGCCAGCGCAACTTCCGGGTGGGCCAATGGGTCAGGGGTCAACGCCCTCTTGCGCAATCTTGGATGTTTTCGGCGTATAGTACGACTTCTTAACTTACAAATACCGTGGTATACTGTCTCAGACGTTCTCGACATGCATTTTTACCGTCGGTACATGGTATGGGCTGCAGATGAAAATGTTGACCAGTCCTGTATTAACACAACCAGGAACGCTAAATCTAACACATAAAATTCAACACCATCAACTATACAGAACAAACAACATGGAAAAATATACAATAAAAAGCCCGGAGGTATAAAATCTCAGATTTTACTTGTTCAGTTTTCAAGTCAATTTTGCGAACTTTTGGGAAATCAAATTTCTTGTTCAGGAAGACACAAGCTTTTTGAGCAGAATGTTGCAATAGCCTCCATTGACCATGGTCAAAGCCTAATTTGCATCAACCCTACTGCATTGGCTATGGCTGTCATAAAAGAGTCCTTTATGTCTGAGAATAACAGTCTCTGCCACATAAGACACATCAGATTCTGTAAGCTAATACAGTTCTGTCTATTTTCTGTGGATCTGATTTTCTTCAGCGCTGCGCATTGGTCGAGCTTCTCATATTTTTTCATGTATACATATTTATTTTTCAGTGATATGATTTTTCAGAAGCCAACTTTGTGATTGTTTATTATTATTTTAAGTACAATACCTCAGTACTAGTCATTTGACACTGTATGTTGTTTTGTGCTCATGCATACGTGGCTTTCACCTCATGCATCTGCTTGGTTTTTTGTTTTGTTTTTGCCAAGTCTCAATGCCTGAATTTCATCATCGTTGCAGCTCTGTAGTCTAGTGCATCCGTTATCTTTCTGTTCAACTTTTTATTATGATTTTGGCTTGATAACCCTGTGACTTTCTGTTCTATGCCCCCCTCCCCTTCCCTTCCTTCTCCCTATTATCCTTTCCAGGTTACTACTCCACAACAAGACTTTACATAGACGAAGGAACAGAAGACGACCTTCCCCCACCCCCACCTCCCGCTTTTGAAGGTCGGAGCGCAGGAGTATTCCGTCTCGTTTTTTCATGTCCTTGTTTTTTCGCCTACAGAAATTTGGTGGTTGCATGGAGAGGTTTGGTGACGGCTGACCTTTGACCTACTTACCCAGCATGCCTCAGGCTGTGCATGTCGGCCCATAATTCCCAGCAATGTGCCTCTTTGAACAGCTGCACACATTTTATGTACTGGACTCCCCCGTTTTAACGTGCACTCTTCTGAAATCATACACACTCAAAAGCACAAGATTGAAGTGTGCCACATATGAACAGGGGTGCCTTGCACTCAAATTCAAAATGATGTAACCATTTGAAGTTTTGTTTTTAGCAATTTTTGTTATGATTTGAGATTTGTGCACTTAAAACTCAGGAGGCCACAGGAATTCTATGGGCTGGAAGGGAGCAAACATACCATAGACCAGTTCTGGAAATGGCATTTAAAAAATGATACCTTTTTGTAATATCAATTGGGTTGGGAAATGTGTGATTAAATTTCAAATTGTTAAACTGTGCTGTAAGACTTCAAACAAAGTAAAAGTTCAAACAAAAGTTCAGACAAAGTAGAAACCCAATAAAAATTTTCAGTTCATCCCACAAGTAGGGACAAAATCATCTCATTTTGGGGACTGGTCTATGTTGGGGGAGACACATTTACACTGAGTGACATCTGACATAACTTCATGTTACTGTTAGGTCATAGTGTTGTTTTCCTTCTGTCATTTCTTGGTGTTGATTTCGCTGTCTCTGCTCTGAAACTTAACGCTCCTGGACTCTATCTTAAAGGTGACGTGCTACATTTTTGAGGAATTTTTGCTAAAATCTGGTGTACAAAGTGCAAATACCAATAGTTAAAGCTGTTCCAAAAAACAGCACAAATTGTACAAAGTGCCCCTGGCCAATGCAAGTCATTTTAGCTGCAGTTTGAAAATTGGCAACAGGGGGTGCTGCTGCACAATCAAAAATGTCTTAGAATTGAGGTCTGGATAAAAAAAATCATAACTTTTTTGGACAAAAGCTAACCCAATGTATAAAATATTCATAATGCATCATGCACATAACTTTCTTTTCTTATCCTTCTAAAAAAAAGGCAAGATTAAAACAGGAGCTTTTATGCTAAATCAAACATGGATAACACCTGGTAGAGTCCAGAAGCGATCTCTCTGCTGTTACTGTCTTTTAATGATGTTAACTTTTGTCTCAGCGCCTTTTCTGACTCATTTTTCTGTTTCTTCCACTCCATTCCATCCTTTATCACAGCATGCAGTGGCAAAGACCTACTACACAAACTCTTCCAGTCAACACAAAACTTTTCTTTTACATTTTCTAAAACGTTTTTCTTCTTTCCACCTCTCCAGGAGCCCAGCCCACACGATATGATGATGATGACTTCCCTCCGCCTCCCCCACCACAAGAGATGACGTCTTACTCCAGCGAACCGCTGCCACCCCCGCCCAACGTCGCCGATGATTCCTTCCCTCCCCCTCCTCCCGAAACATCCTACTCCAAACGCTCCAATGGCTACACCCGACCCCAGGATCAGTACACCCCCTCCCCCACCAACCTCCCCCTCCTCCTCCTACTCCCCCTCCCCTGCACAATCCTACTCCCCCCAACCCTCTCGTACATACACCCCCCCTTCCAGCACCCGCTCCTACTCCCCCACCACCCCCTCCCAGTCTACCTACAACCCCCCTCGTACCTACACCCCCCCTCAGAGCAACTACACCCCCTCCAACACCTACAACTCCTACAGTCCCACCAGCACCTACTCTTCTTCATCTTCCTCTTATTCTACTCCTGGCTCCTATAACCGCTCGCCGGAGAAGTCCACATCCCAGCCTTACACCCCTCAGCAGCCGAAGGTTAACGTTACAGTGTCCCCGTCGTATTCCTCGCCGAACTCCAACATCCCGTCCTTCAACGTGTCCGTCAACTCGCCCGTGGCCAACCCGGCGTCGCCCCAGCCGCAGAGGTCAGGCGGGGTCACGCTGACCAAGAGTCCCGAGGAGGAACTGGACGTGCTGACCAAATGTCTGGTGGACAAGATGGAGAACCCGGAGACTGACTTCTTTGGTGGGTAACTTTTTCTTTAAGTCTTGTTTTTAGCTCTAAGATGTTGCTTTTTACAGGTTCTAAAATGTTTCCTTGTTTTTGAATTAGTTTACTAAGATGTTGTTCTTGATGTAATGATTCTTTTAGAAGGGCTAAAGAATTTTGATTCAATTTGTGTTGTCTTATTTGTGTTGTATTTTTGTAACTGTTAAACTGCTTAAAATTTCAAGAAAAAAGCTGTTTCATGAGTTGCTTCAAAATGTTACTGTTGGTTGTCAATGTAATGATTCTTTTAGAAGGGCTTAGATATTCTAGCATGAACGAATGAAATAAATCAAGCTATGCACCAAATGAAATGACATTTTTTTCATGATTGGTAATAAAAAATACGGAAGATTCTGGATGGTTATAATTTGTTTTGCAGGAGGTGAGCACGTAGCAGACACAGTGACATGGCACGCCAACTTGCACGGACATTAACCATAGCTTAAATCCACACAGGCTACTACATGTACATCACGCTTCTAACAGCCCTTCCTATCAGGCCTATAGAAGCTTGATGGCCAATACCTCAAAATAATCAGGACTATCTCAGACATAAATTACATGTGGGCAAAAACCAGATGGTGCAAAAACTAGGCGAGAGTACGAAAATGAGTAGGAAAGTCAAATTTTTGCTGTGAGTCCCAGAAATCGGCCTGCTTAGACATAAGACAAGATTAGGACAGCATTCAGATCTTATGCCAGTGCTTCGCGCAAATTCTACAATTTGAACATACATTCTTGAATAAAATTACCACAAAACTTGCTGAATTTACACTATTTGTCATGTACAACATAATTCTGCAGTTCAGCAACCCACTTTTTACCAAAAATTTATTTTATCAAGTAGCAAAAATGGGGAAGGCAGAAAAATTTTGTAGAAATGCTCAGTGTTGGCCTGTGTGGATTTTAAACTGCAACATCCGTTTAAAACACTCATAATGCTCAATATAAAGTTATGAGTTGCAGAGGATGCTATCTTTCATGCACGCGTTTCACTACAGAATAAGTATGTTCTTTTATTTTGTTTTCCCTTCTAAGTTCAACAATCCTCCTCACTTCACCAAGCAAACTTTGTTAATCTTTGTTTTTAAATATTTTAGCCCTTTTTTAATCAGCAAAGTCACTGAAAAACTTATCTGTAACAAAAACTCCTCCTTTTTTACTATCTAAGTGTGTGTGTGTTTTTTTTAAATAACAGCTAAAATCTATAATTTGAATGTATATATTGTGTGTTCGTTCCCAAGAAGCTCTTTTTATTTTGCACATTATATTTTTGTACACCTACAACAAATTGTTTCAAATCTAGTGTCATTTTTGACATTTCTCCACGAGTAAAATATGTTCCATGAGTGGAACAGAAAGAAAATTAGCCTGAGTGCCATCCAATTTGTACCGGCAACCCTGAAGTCGTTATAAATTGGATGGCACCCGGGCTAAGACAATTTATGATAAATGTAATACATGTATTTTCAATCAATCAGTCTATACCAGTAGACAAAAACTGTGAAAACTGAATGTTTGGATTCAGATTATCTGGAACATTTTTGTGAAAAAGTCTGTACCATGATATGAATGGAAGCACTATGTCTCTAGTCTAAATTGTGTATATTTGTGTGTGTGTGTTATGTAGGTATCTGTGGTAACTGTGGACAGAAGGTGATTGTGGATGAGGAGGGCTGTTCTGCCATGGACAAGGTCTTCCACGTCAAGTGTTTCACCTGCACCACCTGTGGTAGGTCACGACCTCAGGTCAAAGGTTGAGCTCCAGGTCACCACCTGAGGTCAATTGTTTTAGCAAACTGCCACAGACCAACTGTTGATCTTTTCTGTGCAATGGTAGAATGTGTCGCTACATAGAACTGGAAACAAATGTTCTTGCTGCCTTGCCTTGAAATCCACTTGTCAGTAAGGGTGTCCTATCACTTCTTGCCTTGCCTTATGTTTCTTGTCTATGCATGTCTTCCAAAAATTAGTCTAGAAGTAGAAACCACTGTGTGGCAGGGTAACCATGGTTACGACCTGTGTGCCTTGGTAACGACCTGTGTCATGTGGTTACCGTGGTAACGACCTCTCTCTCCTCCTCTGCCTTCCCAGGGGGCCGTCTGAGCGGCAAGCCCTTCTATGCTATGGAGAACCACCCGTATTGCGAGGAGTGCTACATCGTAAGTAGTGGTACACGTCACTTGTCGCTCATGTGCTCAGCCTGTTCATTGTGTGTCCCACCATCTTAGGTGCCAAGCTGCACGGAAAATCGTTTTACGCAGTCGAGGGCCAGCCGACGTGCGAGGATTGCTACATCGTGAGTAGGAAGGGGCCGCCCAACGGAATGTACCCTTTTATTTTCCCCCGAATCCGTTTTTCCTTTGCCCCCCCCCTCGTGGTCTGCAGTTTCTCCCCCCTTTTGCGTGGATTAATGGTACATTCCTTGGGTGTATGGCATGCATGTGGGTCGGTACACTTCAGTTGCATGGGGGAGCCTAGCATCAGAGTGTAGATTCTTTGTACAAAAAAAAACAAGGAAACTTGCTTCTATTCTGCCTTGTTTTTCTTACCCTTCGGCAAACTAGTGTTAGAAACTGGTGAGCATTGGGAATGGAAAATTGGTAACTGCAAAATGCAAAAATATGACAGCCAAATGTTTTGGTGACTTTGGTGGATTCTTTATTCTTCCTAGCAAATTTGCTTGCTACTCGTGACTTTATGATTAGTCAAACTTGATGTCGCTAAATTAACAGATTGATTACACTAGATTGAAATTACACTACTTTTCTTTAAAACTACTTGAAGAAAGAAAATTTAATGTTCTGTACATTGTCATGTATATCAAACTATCCTGAAGAAAAGAACTCATTAATAAATTTTTCAAACTAACCAAAAACTTTATATAACACAGTACTAGACTACATGTAAGTGTAAAAGCAGTGATATCAAATTCTAAATTGACCTCTTATTGAGCTATAAGAACAAGGGCTTTTGTTCTTAACAGCACAATAAGTGGACAGTTTTAGAATGTGATATTTTTGCAGACTGACGAAATCTAAAAACTTGACTACTAAAATTCTGCAGGTTCCCTCCTCTTCTGAGACCTGGTCTGTGGGCATGCCACCCCTTCTGCTTACTTGTAGATGGTTCAATCCTGTGACCTCTGACATTGCATGCTGTTCTGTAGTGTACTAGTAACCCGATACTATCAGAAAAATGTTGTCGTCAAGTCAAGTGGCTTTCTGATAAAAAATTAATTTTTACTTTATTGAGTGCTTCAAAAATGCCTCAGTCAACACATTTATCTCATGATCACTGACATCACCACATCCTGTGCACAGGAATCTGTGATGTCACTTTTGAAGAGTGATGTCACTGATTGCTGTGCACAAGATACAATTATTACACCAAGTCAGCAATCACATTTTTTAATGTGGGCCACTTGAGAATGTGTAAAGTAACCCTTTCACTGTTTTCCTAGCAAGGCTCAAAGCAAGTGAAATAAATTTGAAATCACCTCTCAGTAGAACATATCTAAGAGCAGCATTAAAATACATGTAATTCCTTGATTGCTGTGGTTATAAGAAGTAGATCTTGGTGTGATAAATTTTACAGACACTTGTACATTGAGCCCTGCAGTTTGACTCACATATGGTTGATGAAAACCCCTGTTCCTGCCCCCCTCCCTCCATTTTACAGAACTCGCTGGAGAAGTGCTCTGTGTGTTCCAAGCCCATCATGGAGAGGGTAAGTGTGCTGTCAAACTATCACAATAGTAGCCTTCCATACTTTGAATAATGCTTAGACATAGAAACTAGGGCTTAGATTGTTTGATAGAATAAGACCAGATATACAAAATAGATACAGAAGCCTGCAGGGTTGGACAAGTCCCATGGCCCACTTGCCCAGGGCAAGTAAAAGCACTGTTCGGGCAAGTGAATATCCCCCTGTACTTGCCCGATTGGGCAAGTAAATTTTTTTGATGCAATGGTTGGAGCAAAATTACATATCATTTTGAAATAAAGATATATTATTGATAAAAGTAAAAAAATATGCCCTTTCGTTGGAAAGGTCTCAGACTCTAAGTACCCTTATTTTGGTAAATAAAGCAAGCAACATTATAACCTTTTTTTTTATTGAAAAATGAAAAAAAAATCTTTCTGCAAGTAAAATGCATAGAAATACGTCATATTTCGGGCAAGTGAATAGTTGGTTCGGGCAAGTGGAAATGACCATGTACTGGCCCAATAAGGCAAGTGGATTTTTGAAAACTTGTCCAACCCTTGAAGCTGGTGTGCTTTACACCGAAGGGTTGTTATACCAGATATAGAATACAGAGAGTCAGATACAGAGGCTGATGTGTTATGCCAAAGGGCAGTTATACCAGCTAGAACATTGTATATACCATATCAAATGCAAAATACAAAAGCTGGTGTTTATTTGGAAGGGGGGTTATACTGGCTAATATTATACAGATACAGAGGCTGGCGTGTTATGCCAAAGGGCGGTTATACTTAGTAATACAATACAGACACAGAAGCTACCTTGATGGTTCCATGCTAACCAGATTACTTTTGTTTCATAGATCCTGCGAGCCACAGGCAAGCCTTACCACCCTGCCTGCTTCACCTGTGTCGTGTGTGGGAAGAGTCTGGACGGAATCCCCTTCACTGTCGACGCTACCAACCAGATCCACTGCATCGAAGACTTCCACAAGTAAGTCCGAATTTCTGAACAGTATGACTGTCACGGTTTTATACTCACTTAGTCACTATCCGGTTTATCGTCTGTTGTTCCCCGTCGTCCGAGGGTTAGACGTGCTTGCATAGCAATACCGTGGATTGATGGCAGCCCACCACTTGCCTCTATCCTGTAGGTTGTGTCTTTTAATTTTTTTTTTTTATTTGCCCCACTGCATTGATTGAGAAATGTGAAATGGTGATAAGTTGCTGTAGAAACAGTAAAATGAGGGAAAAGCTCAACGATTCAGCAACGTTTATTAGGTCCAGTGCTTCCAGGAGTAAGGTTGCCTTTTTTGTGGGGTTAAAAACAAAGACTTACAAGTTACAACATTTTCTTTTGAATTTTGAAGTCACCTCCCATAACCGTAGCCACTTCTGGTATTCACTTTCTGGCGTACTTGTCCTTAGGCCATAGAATTGCATCCTCATTGGGATTCAAACCCAGGACATGTAGATTCTGAGTCCTGCAGCCTATACCACTATGCAACCTAATAATCAGCTGCACAGTGCAGTACAGTTTAAAAAACTAACCAAAATTATGTTTAGAGTTAAAACTTTAGATCCAACACAAAAAGTTCTCTCACCTAGAGTTTCGACCAGTCACTCTGGTCTTCCTCAGTAGACTACTAACTCTAAACATGTAATTACCAACACAGATGAACTTTATCATGAAAATTCATCTGTGTTGGAATAAAGTTTAATGTTTTACTACAGATGAACTTTCATGCTAACCAAAGTTGTGTTTGATTGTTGTGTCTGCAGGAAGTTTGCCCCGCGGTGCTCAGTGTGCCATGAGCCGATCATGCCGGAACCTGGTCAGGAGGAGACCATCCGCATCGTAGCCATGGACCGCAGCTTCCACGTCGGCTGCTACAAGTGCGAGGTACGCAAAACTTTAACCCTCAGCCTTCTTTTTCGTGCTTTGCTCCAAAATATTAGTCGCAATTGACATTATGATGATTTAGACGGTCCAAACAAGTTTTAACACAATTCATGCTAAAAATGCAATTGAATTTGCTGAAAATGCAGCCATTTTACACCTGGGTGAAGAGAAAAAAGTTGTGTAAAGTGGTTTTCCCACAACGTCCAGCCAGGAATCAAAGCCATGACATCTTGATCTCATGTCCGCTCTGTCATTCGATATATTACATTCCACATGCTACCTTTACTTCTTCAAGTTTTTCTTCATAAACTTTAACATAAAACGTAAACTTTTGTTGTAGGACTGTGGAATGGTGCTGTCCTCTGAGGCAGACGGGCGGGGCTGCTATCCCCTTGACGACCACATTCTCTGCCGCGACTGTAACGCCAAGCGGATACAGGCCCTGTCGGCACGGATATCCACAGAACTATAGAACACCGGACAGAACAGTGGTGAACTCTACTTCTGCGTTCTAAAGAACATTTCATCACGTCCTTACATGTTCTTTAGAATAGCAGAACATTGCGACATGTACCTAGTTATAGAACACCAGACAGAATGGTGGTGAGCTCTACTTATGCCTTCTACCGAACATTGCATCTACATGTATACATGCTCATTTGATATGTACTACAGAATAGCAGAACAAGGATATGTACAATTTATTCTAGAACAGCAGACCAGAACAATCTGTGCTACAGAACTCTACTCCAGAATTGCAGACCTCTAGAGCCACACTGTATAGAACCGTGTATATAGCTCTACTATAGAACAAACATTTACGCATAATAATGGCAAGCAGAATAATTGAAAGGGCTACAGATTTGTAGAGTACATACACATTGCACTAGAAAGCAATTTGCTAATCACCAGAAGACATGACAGTTTTAGCACAGCACTGAAAAGACAGGAAGGATCTTACTGTTGAAATTTCATATTGAAGCCATAGTTGAAGAAATTGAAGCTATGCACAGGGCAGAACGACTTGTATACATTGAATACAAATATAGGGCTTTTAATCTGAATAATGCAAAACTGCATATAGTAAAAGCTATGCATTTCACTGGAGGATAAATTTTTAAAAATCTTTTAAATCAAGGAATTGCTAACTGTAACACTAACAGTAGATTTACAGAATATAAGACTGCACAGACAAGTACTGTGTAGAAACAACAAGACAAAGCAAGAGAAGTCTTGCTAGAAAAGAACCCAAAATTAGCATTTTATCAAGTACAGTGTCAAGGACTGAAGGAGAACTATATTTCTACCTTAAGCAACTAAAGTAAGGTGATAGTTTGACAGATTTCAAAGACAGAGAATAAGAATTAGATTGTGCCTTGGAAGAAAAAAATTGAGAAGCCAGGATTTTTTTTTACATCTTTGATGTGATTTTGAAATGTTGCACCATTTACGAAATGGAGGGTTTTTTTATGGTTTTGCAGAAAAATTGGAAGACAATTTTTGCAAGGTTGAAACGTTCTCTGATAATAAATAAACTTACTACAATACTCCTTAACTTGATAACTAGGGCTAGTAGTGTTAACTACTTGCTATTTAGGTTTCTTGACATAATGAAAAGCTTATTGATCATAATAATTTGTATCAGAATTAGAGTTGTAAATGCCAAAATGGCTGCCAAAATCGTGGAGAGAGTACCTTTGAATGTCAAAGGCGGTTTCCATAATGACTAATGAATATTGCATTAGCACAATCAGAACCGCTTGCCTCAACTACACGTTTATATGTAACTGCTGAACAATGTTTTAGAAAGACGAGTCTGTCAGCATTTACGATAAAGAAGTATAGATTTTATCCAGGTAATGAAGGTTACATGGACTATTGAGCAAAAGCTAGTAAATCTTCACCATATCACTGTATATTTAACTCCCGACGTAACCAAAGCACCCCTGTTTTTAAAGTGGTATTTCCCAGACCCCAAGTTTCCTGACTTGGACCATTGCACTTGGCATTTATAAATGGGGGTGTTTTGTAATTTTCAGCAGCTTTTGAACTATGCGATATAACAATCACTAACATATAATTAATATGATAACCTTACATATCTTGCTCGTTGGTATATATGATAGTATATTATGTTATATATACGCAGTCAAAGTGACAAGACTTAGAGCTCTATCTGATCTGTATACCTGTACAGTTATATGTACAATGTACTTTTCTCAATATACCCTCCAAGCCTTATTTGCATGCTGTATGAATCAGGATTTTTAGGGGGCTGATAATGTGTTTTTTTTTATCCATTCTAATTGTTTTCTTTGTGGGATAGCCCACAATAAATTCAACATAATTGAGTACAGATAAGCCTATCTGTTAGCCTAAAAAAACCTGACTCATAGAGCTCCCAAAAGAGGGTAACGATTAGCTGTATTATTAGCAGACCACAACACCCAAAATTTGCCCATGGTTTCAGCCTAATTTATATTGGTTACTTGTTAGAAAAAAAATCTGGAAACAAAAGGTATGGAATTTTTTTTAAACAAGTTTGTGTCACATGATCAGTGCATTTCTGACCAATCAGGATGTTTAATGTTGAATATATTATAGAGAATGTTGTGATTGGTGAATTTCCAACCAATCAGGCATCGAGGGTAATGTGGTCAGCACTAGTGTTTCTTTACTTGTCAGTTCTAACCTATGTATCTGGTAAATAAAGTGTTTTTGTCCCTAGGAAGAAAAATGTTTTAATGGCAGTTAGATGACTGCAAAGTGAATTGTACTTAGTGTTTCTTGTATGGGAAAGCAAGAAATGGAACTTATGTAGCTTTGTGTATGTCTGACTTTGAAACCTGTTTTTAGTTTTTTGTCTTATAAACAGGTATTGAGGAGGAAACTAGACTCGTGTCCTCACAGTTGAGCCTAGAATGACAGTTATAATGAGTAAGCATTTCTTTTGAGAACATGAGACTCCATGTACTTGCCAATGAGCTAGGCTATGTATTGTATACTTAGCAGTCACAGCTTTGTACTAAAAGTATTTTTATTGATTGTGCCTAGCTTCCTGTGTTAGTAGCATCTGTGGTGATATGGTTCCGTAATGGTGATGTGTATCTTATGTTATGTTATGTTAGATGTGCTTTCAGTACCGCAGAAAAGTGTTAAAAACACTTTCTTGGAACACTTCGGTGTTGATCATTGTAAACAGCTTCGAATATGTATAAAATGTTATGCATTTCCTGAATAGATATCTTGCTATCAAAGTCATTTTGTTTTTTGTTTTCTTTTCTGTACCTTAACGTAGGACAATCCTGCAATAATTGCCGTAACGTATACCCGACATGCGAACATGTAGTACTGTATGTGGGTAATCAGGTGCGGGGTCACAAGGGTCATTGAAAAATGGTGGCTGGCGTTGGGCATGTTCTCTCGTCAGGGCTGGGTCATTTAGCCTCTACCAGGCTCCAAAAGCAGTTGGAAAGAAAATAATATAGAAATTTGCCAAGTAGACAGATGGTCTACTAAGTGAAGTAGCAAGCTGTACTGCTTTAGCGGACCAACACCCCTAGCATGTTTGGCCAATGCCTCTAAACTAAAGGCTTTTAATTAACTCTTCCACTCGCTACTGAAGACTTGTAGAGGCTAAGGTCTTCACGATATATTTAGGCGTTGTACAAGATGCCGGTAAGTGTTCACTATCATAAATGTATTTAGTGCACTCTGTTGCAGCTATACTTGGCTTGCGTCAGCGTTTCTTGTAACAACGGGAGTTCGGCCACTATGCACTACGAATCTTGGGTCTACCACCATTACTTGATTTAAATTATATTTTGCATACGAATTTGAGTTATTTGCTTACCGTAAACCACTTTTACCATAACATCATGAGAAGGACATTAAAATATTGGTATTGTTTACTACGCAACCATGTTGAATGAAGTAAATGAAGCAAGTAATACATGTAACATCAATGGCACGCTCAGTCAAAACTGTTTTATTATAGCAAAGTCAAATGTATATATACATGCATGCAAAACGACAACCAAGTACAATAGCAAACGAAAACTGCAATCCTGCAAAACCACATTGCAACATTGTTCTGTACATTTGGCTCAACGCGTGGCGACACGGGTTCGATCCCTGGGCGCCTGGAGATTGTACTACCTGTCCCTGTACCATTTCACTAGAATGTGGTAGAAAATGGACCCGGGAAGACTTTGTTTTCTAACAGGAATAACTGATCTGACATCACGAAAAGATTTAGAATAAAAGTGTCAAGGATATCGTCACTGCGGAATGCCGCATTCTTCCAGGAACTTCCTATGCGACTCTTCCCAGTACTTTGACGCCATCAGTTTCTGTTTGAGTTCTTTGGCAGCCTTAAACTCCTTACTTCCATTCTCCAGTATCTTCACGATGCGGTCGGCCAGTCTTGTCGTGTCGTTCCCTTTGATTTTTACAATCGGGCGGTCAAAGATGACGTCATCTTGAGCTTTCAGGAACTTCGCAAGCCCTGATTGGTCGGAAACGATAGTCGGCACACCTGCCGCGATGGCCTCGAGACCGACCAGTCCGAATGGCTCTGCGCGTGACGGCATCAGGACGACATGAGCTTCTTCCAGGTCTCTGCTCAGCTGGTCCTGTGTGGCGTACTTCAGAGGAGTAAAGTGGAATATACCCTTCTCCATGTTGGCTTGGATGATTTCCTTACTTTCTAGGAAATCCTCAGCACTGACGCCTCGGACTCGCCATCTTGCCTCAGGGAATCTGCCTATGACCATAATCATGGCCTTCGCGGCAAGATCGTAGCCTTTCAGCCTCTCAGCACCCTTTACCCTACCTATGGACAACACCACTTTGGTTTCTGTTTCGACATAGGTCACGTTCATCTGACTGAAGATGTCGGATGGCTTCGGCAGAAACAGGTAGTGTGGCCTTGATAGTCTGATCTGATTCTTGTAGTAATCATGCATTGTTGGCCCAACGGAGAACACAACGTCGGCCTCTTCCGTGTCTTTGCGGATAGCGTCCATCTTGTCTTCAATGGTCATGACCTTATCATCGCTCTTGTGGTGCTCGGTGTCTTCTGGCATTACGTGATTGAAGAGGATAAACTTGGCCAATGGAAGACGATCTTTCCTGATGTTTCTTGCCGCTCTGCTAGTGATACTGGCATGGCCAATGATGTGAGTTATATCTGGTGGCAAATTTGGATATCGAATCTGATGATCCCACGTGAGCCAGTCAAGGGTTGGCTGCCTTTTGTCCGCTTTGAAGCTTGTTGGAAATACCAATTCTACTCCGTCGGTCCTTGCATCGTTTACGTCCTCTTCGGAGGCGTTCAGAACAGTACAGAGAGTTTTAGCTCCGGAGGAACGTAATAGTTTGGCCAGCTGGCGATTTATTGTGGAGATTCCACCCTTGGAAGTTCCATATTCGTCATTGACAAGTAGCACGACAGGCTTACCAGAATACGGCATGTGTTGGGGGACTAAGAAAGAAACATAAGAGCAGAAGTGTTAATTCCAATTGTTTTCAGCAGTTGCCGTAATCTTCTTAAAGGAATTTACGTATCTTCTCGACAGCTATTCTGCTTATGCATCAATATGTGCTGCAACGTGATGTGCTAAAATGCGATTGATTTTATTATGATTGCATTAGAACAAAAATGTATGATATTTTTAAGTGCTTATATTTATAGTACTAGTATAAATAATGACTCAGTATTTATACTAGTACTATAAAGCGGAAATGTCTTGGTTGTGTTGAAAAATTCAAAGTTAAAGTCTATATAGTATTACATTAAACAATCAAATGTCTATAGAACATTCATGGTATGCTATAGGAGACGATAATTATGCAATCGAGTCACATCATACAGATCACTGTCTTAAAACAGCTTAAACAAGTGGAAAAACATCATACCGTGTCCTCCTTCATCACCTTGGGCCCAGAAACCGTGTATGTAGCCTGTAGAGTAAAGCTGAAATGCAACTGCCAGGGCCGCAATCACAATGGCAACAAGACTGAGAAGATTTGGCCAACCTGTGTAGAAAGATATTTTTTTTAGAACAACTCATAGAGACCGGATGATACAGTCTAGCCTTTATTAGAGGCACGCCAAAAGCCTTTGACAAAAAGTTGATGAAGAAGTTGCGTTCACCACGTTTTAAATGTACCTCTGCTGGCAAAAATCGTTTGCTGTCGCTCCTTACAACATTGAACATGACAAAGAGAGTGCAAATAATGATAACTTATAAGACATTAATCGTGATAAGTTGCACATTATAGTATTTTGTAACCTTCAGGTCTACTACACAATTTTAAAAGGGACTGTCCGCCACACATTCATTCAAAGCTCTATTCTTGTTTTATGTTCCAGTATAATGTACAAATATGACACAGTGATAATGTGAGATTAAATCACTGTGTCCCGTACGTAAGAAAGAGAGTGTGGTGAGAAAGTTAAAGCGCAGACAAGGACACTGTGCTCTCTGTACATGCATCTTACAACACTCGCATTTTCCATGTAAGTAATAAAGAGTACAGATCTTACCTTTACGCCGCAGTTTCACAAAGGCTTCGAACTGTGGCCTTTCCGCGGCCCCTGTCTGGTTTGCTTCGTCTGTGACTGTGAACTTAACTTTTCCTTCATAAATAGGCTTCTGTGGCACTGATTCTTTCACCCTAAGCCTGACTGAACGTCTTGTAGGAGGACGCAGAGGCATCGATTCTCCCTCAGGTAAGTCCCGAGGGTCAGGAACCACATCTTCATCCTGACCAAATGTAGCCTCTATTGCCTGGTCATTTGTCATTTCTACCCGCTGCTTTATTTGAGATTCAAATCTAACACCGGGTGCCTGGAAAAGGTCGTCAATATTGTCCGTTTGGCGCATGGAAATAAGATGCAGAGTTCGCTCTGGGAGAGTGTTCACGTCCGGCGTGACGATGACGTACACCTTGTTCGCAATGCAGCCATTATACGTCTGCCGTGCCCAGCTGACTTCATTTCCGGACCATAGCAAGTTGCGCAACAGAATTGCCCAAAAGCTGCAACAAAAACATGCGCGCTGTCAGCATGACAAAATATCCCTTAGAAAAGTCCTATCATAGACAGCCGCTGCACTAATTATGCCAAGGAGTCTAGAAAATGAAAAACCACCTTAATTGATATAAAGTCACATTGAGGTGCACTTGATATGTCAGTGAAAACATACCTTTGAAAGTGATCTGTGTGAAACATGATGCCACCATCTTCCTGGTGAGCGTCTGTTTTGAAGACCGTCCAACCGTCGTCTCGGCCGTAGTGTAGAACTTTCGTTGTCGTTTCTTTACCCGCCGCTGCTTGAGTCCAGACCCAGGGCAGTCTGACGGTGACGGGCCGGAGGAACCGCTGTGGGAAGTCCTGCTCCACAGTCAGGACGGCGGACATGGCCGTCAAGTTGGTCCGGACGTCCTCGGTAACTGGCACGGCTTCAACCTGTGGGTGTATTTAGACTGATCATGCAGGATTTGTAATGACAAGAAAAGCAAAATGTTCCATTGAGAATTTAAAGAATTTAGACTTTTTGTAGATGCAAGGTGATAAAATTGAGATGAGTCCCGAGAGGAATTTACCTCGACAGAGATGAACCGCGCGTCTCTAACACAGCCTGCAGGAAACTCCAGTGTCACACCGCCGTGCTGAACAGTGCAGCCTCGCGGTCCTACTGCAAATGTGGGGATGATGGAAGGGACTGACAAGGTCTGCGAGTCTCCTTGAAAAAAATCAGAGTCACAAATGGCAAATGTAAAGTCTTGCATTGGTATTCAAGTTAAGCAATTAGCTGAGTATTACACGTTCCTCTCTAATCATTGCAAAACTTTCGGAATAGCAATGTATGATTGAAAAAGATTACGTTAATTGAATGTTACCCACCTTTCTGTCTAGCTGGCTGAGTAAACGTGGAATACACCAGACGGTAGAGCAGTCCAGGCCACTCTTTCAGAAGTGTAGACAGCTTGTCTTTCAGTGGACTGATGACGTTGTCCCAAATCAGCTGCTGCGTTCCCTGTACTGCTTGGGCTGGGACGGTGACATTCACTATGATGTTAACCTGATCGTCTTTCGTCTCGCGGTAAACAATCACGGGAAGGTTTTCTGTAACAGCTACGATGACGTCTTTCCAGTCCTGTCGGGACGTGATGAGTTTGTTTACCACAACACTCAACCGCTCAAACAGTCCCCGTGGGCAGAACCCGGCTATTTCACACGTCAAAGTGAATCCTTTCTTTTGTCGTTTTCGGACACCTCGCATCACAGACTTTGGTTTCTCCTCCCGTATGTACCATGGGATGTAGTATCCAACTGGTGTTGCCTGTTCGTCCTGTTTATCAGACCTTTCCGTGTAGCACAAACCAAAATGTTCCATCAGGTCAATGATCACATCCACGTTTCCTACCGGTGTAGCGTGTGGTTCCAACAAAGCGATTACCACATCTCTCGGCAGAAATCCTCGGCTGGACAGGGTTTTCCGAATCTTTTTTAGGTATGTATTCGAGAAGCTTTTGAGACGTGGATTTTTGTTGGTGAAAACCTTCTTAAGGTCGTGATGAAACAGTTCTTTGATAATTTCTATCAATCCTGATGGATCATGAAATACCAGATCCTTGAGTTCCGGTATCTCTGTGTACCTGAGAATGGTTCCCACCTGCTGCAGGTAAGACAGGGCTGATCCCAGTCTATCTGATGATAGTCCTGCAAGCTGCCCTAGCATCAAACAGTCTCCCTCATTAAGCCACTTTTGTTTACTGTGGATCCTCGGTGCTGATGACTTGACGCCGCTGTGGCTACTTGTTTGGCTACTCAGTGATGAACTGTAGCCTCGGTCACTACCTACACTACTCAGTGATGAGTTGTAGCTTCTGTCAATTCGGTCACTACCTACACTTCTCATGGATGAGCTGTAGCCTTGGTCACTACCTACACTAATCGGTGATGAGCTGTAGCCTCGGTCACTACCTACACTACTCAGTGATGAGCTGTAGCCTCGGTCACTACCTATACTACTCAGTGATGAGCTGGAGCTTCGCCTTCGGTCACTACCTACACTACTCAGTGATGAGCCGTAGCCTCGGTCACTGCCTACACTACTCAGTGATGAGCTGTAGCCGAGGTCACTACCTACACTACTCAGTAATGATGAGCCGTAGCCTCGGTCACTACCTACACTACTCAGTGATAATGAGCCGTAGCCTCGGTCACTACCTACACTACTCAGTGATGAGCTGTAGCCTCGGTCACTACGTAGGCTACTCCTTGCTGATGAGCTGTAGCCGCGGTCAGTACCTACGGTTGGCCTATTCCGCAGGTCGTGAAGCTCCTGTTTAAAATCCACCCATTTTCGCGGTAGGATCCTTCGAAGATTTGGAAACACTTTCGTGTCATTTGCTGTTTCTATCATGTGACTCTTAAGTGTGTCCAGCCCAGATGTTGGTTCTGCCGAACTGACGCAGTACACACCTGTAAGCCGCAGCGGGCGTGTCAAGGTACGTTCTAACTGTTGTTCTATCTCCTCCGGATCGGCCCCTCTATAGGTCGACCTTTCAAATTGTAACTCCTTTATTTGCTGCTGTATGCCACGTTGCCAAGTGTTATGTTGCTGTGTGAATCTTTCTTGGATGTCCCTGGTTTTCTCCTCTATTTCTGTGCCGCTGCACAAGTCCGTCTTGCTACCCACTATTGTAACCACCGCCCCCGGCACGCGGGCGTTCAGTGTGTCCAACCAAAACCCCACAGCTTCTGTGTAACTCTGTTCAGTACACCTGTATTCATGAAGATTTACTGTCAACAGGTTCAAGGCACCTTGTGTCAAAAAGAACTGATGAGGGAGGTGGTACACATCATAGCCACCAAAGTCGTACACTTCAAACGTGATATTTCTATCAGGTGCCCACTGAGTTATCTCTACACAGTGTGTGCGGTCCTCTTCTTCTGTCAGGGTGGACTGGTCCGTGCTCAGCGTTTGCATAAGGCTTGTTTTCCCCGCCATTTTCTCTCCCAAAACAGCAACTTTTAAATGGGCACTTGTTATAAGTGTTGTGTGACTGAGGTCTATATAAGATTGGTTACTTAGCTGTCCAATTTCCGCGGGTAACGTCTGTAGTGGGTTAGACCTCAGGTCCAGCCATTCTAACTGTTTCAGTCTCCACATTTCAGGTGGGAGTATGCGCAGCTTACACTCGGTCAGATTCAAGTGTTTTATATTAGTGAGCTGTCCACGTGCGATTTCCGCGGGTAACGTCTTTAGTGGGTTAGAGCTCACGTCCAGCCATTCTAACTGTTTCAGTCTCCACATTTCAGGTGGGAGTGTGTGCAGCTCGCAGTCGGACAGATCCAAGTGTTTCATATTGATGAGCTGTCCGATTTCCGCGGGTAATGTCTGTAGTGGGTTAGACCTCAGGCCCAGCCATTCTAACTGTGTCAGTCTCCCCACTTCAGGTGGGAGTGTGCGCAGCTTACACGCGGTCAGATCCAAGTGTTTCATATTAGTGAGCTGTCCGATTTCCGCGGGTAACGTCTGTAGTGGGTTATCCCTCAGGTCCAGCCATTCTAACTGTGTCAGTCTCCCCATTTCATGTGGCAGTGTATGCAGATTGCACCCGGACAGATCCAAGTGTTTAATGTTGGTGAGTTGTCCGATCTCTGAGGGTAACGTCTGTAGTGGGTTAGAGCTCAGGCCCAGCCATTCTAACTGTGTCAGTCTCCACATTTCAGGTGGGAGTGTGTGCAGCTTACAGTAGAGCAGACTCAAGTGTTTGAGGTTAGTGAGATATTCAATTTCAGCAGGCAACGTCTGTACTGGGTTGCAGCTCAAGTCCAATAGTTCTAACTGTACCAGTCTCCACACTACCTGAGGAATCGTGACCATGCCTGTTCCCCTTAGTTTAAGTACCCGGACGTTGGTGCTCATGAGTCCGCACAGTTCATCCGGCAGGTGGATCCCGCTGTTCCAGCTGAGGTCCAGTTCCTCCAGCTGGGTGAGTTTTAGTACTGCCGGTGGAACCGTCGTCAGGTTACAAGCAAATAGGCTCAATACTTTTATATTCTCTAACTTGTACAACTCATCTGGCAGGGAGATCTGATTCATACCTAAATGCAACTCCTGTAGGTTAAGTAGTTGCAGTACAACCGGCGGCAGTGTGCCTAGGTTACAGTTCTGTAAGTCGAGGGCAGTGAGGTTCACGAGGCTGGACATATCACCTGGCATGGTGATGTTCTTGTTATAACCGAGCATCAGTCTTTTTAACTGTTGAAGTTTCATCACAACAAAGGGAACCGACTTAAGGTTACAGTTATTTAAGTCGAGGACAGTGAGGTTCACGAGACTGGACATCTCATCCGGCAAGGTGATCTTGTTGTTGTTACTGAGGATCAATGCTTCTAAATGTGAAAGTTTCATCACGACAGCAGGAACCGACTCAAGGTTGCATCGATGTAGACACAACAGTTTCAGATTGGTCAGTTTGATCAGCTCAGTGGAGAGATCAATGTTCCTGTTGCCTGTCAAATCCAAGGCCTCTATGTCTTTTAATTCAAAAAGTTCCTCGGGCAGTTGAGTCAGATACTTGTTAGATAAGTCTAGTGTCAAGAGAGACATTTTCCCCTTTATATTCCATTCTTTTTGCTTCACCTTGTCTTTTAACCTTGACGTCGAAGCCATGATGATACTTTTGGAAGCTGTAAGAAAAAAGCTTTATGATCAGCCTTCCCTAAGCGACCGCCTAATGATTGCCTTCTATACAATATAGTTCTTCTATGTAATTAATCCCTAAGTGATCATGATTATTATATCATTTCACAAGTAACCCTAACATAGAATAACACCATAAAAAAACGGTTCTAGTGAAGTCAATGTTATGGATACCTACTGTGTATTTTTGTCGAACTATTGGCTATTGCAATATTTCCTCATGGATTATCCATGAAATGTAAATGAGTTTCTGTAATGTATATATTTTGAGTCATGGTATTAATTTGTACAATCTGTATCAACATATGTTCATCTAATATGAACTTATAAGTCAATTCAAATTGTTGTTGTTCCAAATTCTCGCATAGAGTTCCGAACAAGGATGCAAGGGTCCAAACGCATACTATATGTTAAAATACACATGTATCTGCAAGGCAAAAATCATGACCATGTAGCATGTTCAAAACTCAAAAGACGGAAGTCAGCTGCAGTAAACAAAGCGCCGGCAGGGGGCCCAGAATCAAACTTGATACCTACTGACTGTATACCTACGTATACACACAAACCAAAAAGTGGCAAACAGTAAAGATCCAGGATATATCCACAGCTCGGATTATGCTATTCACTCACGATAACCCGCCCACTATCGTAGTTTTCAGTGGTGCAGTGTTACCCTTTTCTTCTCGCTTGTGCTTGGATGCAAAGTATATACCATAATAAGCACCCCACTAAATCGTGGTAAAATATTTGTAAAGCATAAACACAAAGCTGATAGTTCATGTTACGAAAGTCTAACTCGTTATGAAGAAATTTACTACAAAGAGAAAATGTTTGAACTTACGATTATGACTGCAGGTGAAGAAACAGACGTGAAAAGCCGGTGGTGAAGTACAGGTCTTGAAGTTTCTCAGTAGTGAATTTGCCGCGGTTACTAGTAGTTATTCCTCCTTCCAGAAGAAGACGAGTACATATACTTTGAGTCCTTCCAAGAATCTTCAGTTGTCCTTCCGGGAGTCAAAAGTCGTCTACCGTGGATCGCTTGGAAATAGACTTTGCGGAGGGCGGACTACTGGCTAGCGAAGTCCAGACCGGGCCCGGGCCTTGGGCCCCACGGGCCGCCGCTCTACCGCCAACTGCGGGCCCCTCGCTCAGTCCGACTTTTATACAAAACAACATGTAATGGTACCTGGCGTTGTTTGGTCCGGTTGCCATGGAGAGTGCACCTGTCGTCTGCAGACCTGTCAATCAGCACGACCCCATGATACTGGTTTCAAAGGCAACATCAACAACGGCGTCAGCTTTGATTTCTGTATAAACTACAGTGACGCGGCGTCGGGTTTCGACGCCTTTGTATCATGACGCTTTCCCAGAAGACCACCTGGTACAGCACCATGAAGGTTGTTGACCTGCCAAACAATGCAATCTCGAGCTCCCTCCCTCCCTCTCTCCTTCCCCCTCTCTCTCCTTCCCCCTCTCTCCCTCCCTCTCTCTCACCCTCTCTCTCAGTCGTTTCATATACATATGAATACGGTTGTATTTTACAGTGCTTATATCTTTACCCCATTGTTAATCTAGCCTAGTATCTAAATATTACAATTACTTTTAGTACTCCGGACCTAGCGATGATATTATTGGGGTTTTAGGGGAGTAAATAGAATTGAAAACATCGAGAATTGAGAAGTGATATATAACGTTATATATATTACACTGTAATACAGTGCATGTTACCCATTATTTGATTTCATTTGATTTATTCGCTATTGTTAATGTTTCTGTATAAAACATTTGTTTATGCAATGAAAATATGTTTCACCAAAATGCGGTGTTTATTATACATTGCTAGTATATGCAAGGATTACTTTTGGACAACCTATTTACTAGTATTTGACATGAAATATAACCTAGTGGTGCTTTGTGGAACTGCCGTAACAAGTCGGCAATCTCCGGAAGTAAGCGTCGGTGCCGACGTCCTGCCGATAGCACTTTGGCAATGTTCGGCAATCTCCGGCCTCTCCTAAACCACCGCAGTGTCCAAGATGGCAGCAGGAAAGAAACTCACGAAGGAAGAAGAACTTCTGCTCCAAGATTTCAGCCGAAATGTGACCACCAAGTCCTCGGCTCTCTTCTACGGGAATGCCTTCATCGTCTCTGCCATCCCGATATGTAAGTAGACCGGAAAATCCGTCCGAAATTGGCGAAAAGTTGGTGCGAAGTTGGTTAGCGTTGCATACGTGGCAACATGCGTGCCCCCCTCCCCCATATTTCGTACGCAAACAAGTAGTTTTTTCGAATTAAATTCAACACAGCAATCGTCCTCTAACGTAGAAGTAATGCATTATTTTGGTACTTTTCATACCATAGAAAAATATAATGATTTCCTTCTTCGTTGAGAAGAACTTGTGTGTAGAAATTATGAAATAAAATGGCTAAAAATCCCGTAAAAATTATAATCTTTTGCTTAAAAATATGCTGCTTCGGAATCGGTATGACTCGAGTAATAAATCATCAGCTGAAAGGTAGCTGAGGAACACTAGTTGAGGATGACTACTAAAAAAGCTAGTAATTAATTTTTGATATTTACCTTGGAATGGATTAGTGGTGGAACAAGGAGGTTCAACCTCCATCATGGAAGAAATTCTAAATCTGTGACACTGTGATTTGGAATACATTTTGTATCTTGAAAATTGTTGCCTGTTTTGCAAATATTATCCCCTCGCAGTGTATCATGATGGGGCTCCTAATGGTGCATTATGGGAAGTGTGAAAGTGGTGAACATTATAATGAGGGCCTGCAAGGGGGGGTCCCGACAATGCTCTACGCTGAATTCGAAAACCTCTCGATTACGCTTTACGATAAATTCCAAGTTGCTACCACGCATTACGTAGAATTAAAACGCCGAATACGCTCTTCGCAAAAATATTAGAGCAGTCCGTCTACGCTATACAAAGAATTAAAACTGCCGATTTCGCTCTACGGAAAAGGGCTTGCGGGCCCCCTATAATATATCATGTTCTTGTTCCCAGGGCTGTACTGGCGTATCCACCAGATGGACCTGTTCCAGTCCGCGGTGGTGTTCGGTGTCATGACCCTCGTCTGTACCTGGCTCATCGCCTTCGCCTACAAGAACGTCAAGTTTGTCCTCAAGCACAAGTAAGTCTGGCAAGAATAAGACTGTCTAACTAAAGATAATGTGTGTAGACTCAGTAAAGTCAATTAACCATCTATCTGCTGCAATAGCCCCATAAGCAACACAAAGTTTTATCTGGTGCCATATTTGCTACCTTAGTAGACTGAAGGTTAAAGTACTCACATATGTATTTAATTATCTGTCTAACTCAAAGTACTCACTGTACACTCAATGAAAACCTAAAGCCGTAGGGGCAATGAGTTGTTAATCCACTGTCACTGTCTGTGTCTAGACTCTAGTGCACGGTATTGGACTGTGGAGCGCATCCCTCTCCTTTCACTGCCTTTTGCCTCACCAACAAGTCAGTTACCCATTTTACACTTGGCTGATCAGGAGTGAGGAAAGTGCCTTTTCCAGGGACACAATGTCTAGTCAGGGATGCCAGTCAGAAATCGAACCCAAGACCTCTTGATCTTATGTCTGCTAGCTACCCACTCAGCCATTGAACACTGCTCAAAATGTAAAGGAATGTAATTCTGTCCCCCCCCCAGGGTTGCCCTCCAGCGTGAGGATGCGGTCTCCAGGGAGGTCATGAAGAAACTGTCGGATGCTGACTCCAAGAAGATGTCGCGCAAGGAGAAGGATGAAAGGTTTGTCACTTGAAATAATCATTACAACAAGAAGTACCCTTGCAGTTAATTCTGCAGTAATTCTTACTGTGTATGGCAGACCTTGCTCTGCCATTAAAAAATGAGCAGAAACAACAGCAAGTTTCATTGTTTTAAGCCAGAACAAAATTCAGCAACAAGTAGTTCATGTACTAAAACATTTACACTCACTCATGGCATTAAAAAAAAACAAGCTTCTTTCTACACTACAGTATCATATTTGTTTCCTGCCATCACGATTGCACATTTGTAGAGATGTTTGACTTAAGCAATTTGCTAGAAGTTCCAAAATTCCAATGTACATTATTCAAAATGGCCAATTTTAAACACAGTTAAAAGTTTAATTCTGTGGATGGTTATGAGTGTTCTTTAACTTGTTATGTGGACTGGTACATAACAGATATTACAGAGTAGCCTGGGTGCCATCCTATTTGTATGCTGGGCCTCCCATTCTCCCTAAAAAAATTTTAATGGCTGATATGGCTAGCTAATAACAGGAAAAAGTTTTTGAAAATTTTTTACAAACTTTTTCTCCTGCAGGATCCTGTGGAAGAAGAACGAGGTTGCTGACTACGAGGCCACAACCTTCTCCATCTTCTACAACAACGCTCTGTTCCTGTTCCTGGTCATCGTAGCCTCCTTCTTCATCCTACGCTCACTCAACCCCACCGTGTATCCTTTTACATACCGTAGAACTAGTGGCGCATACCTAAACTCAATTTTAGGTTCAGGTCCGGATTCAAGTCCAGAGGTTTAGGTTCAGTTCCGGACTTGTAAGTCCGGACCTAAACCCATGACATATACAAAATTGCATGTTGGCAACCTTGCAATGTTGTCTGGGTGAAACTTTGGCCACATAACATGGAGGCCGGTACTTGACGATGCCCGATGGCAATGTTTTCTTCATTTTGCAGCAAAGATTTTGCAATGTACGGAAGGTTTTAGGTGGTTTGGAAAGAAAAGGGGTATGTGAAATGGTCTTTTATGGTAATAAGTCCGGACTCGGTTCTTGACTTTTAGTTTTTTTTGGACTTGAATCTAAACATTATTACAAGTCCGGGTCCAAGTCCAGTGAACCGGTATGCAGCACTATGTAGAACTGAAGTATTAGGGTTCTCACCAGGATTTTTTCACAGCCTAGGGGTCAGGCACAGAAGGACAACAGTATGAAAGCATTGGAAACAGTGTTATCTAATTCTTTCTTTGTATAAATCGGCCTGCTTTGACTTACATCAATATACCATCAATGTACCAGCCTTCAATGAATGTATGATTTGAAGTACAGACAGGAATTAATATATTATTTACAGACAGGAAATAATTGACATATCCGGTACACAGCTTTGCACGCTCGCATGTGTACCCAGTTTTTGTACCGTCAAGTTTTTGGCCCCTGCATGTAAATAGGGTCATAATCATATGTTTTGTTACAGTCAAGTTTATATTGTCCTTTGATGACTTCATTTTGTGGATGATTCACTTAATACATGTATGTACCGAAATCTGATTGAGAAAAAAAGGAGTAACTGTCATTTTCTAACAGGGTGAATTAGAGTAGAGGTACTGGTACTCATTCCTATATCAATTATTTAAGTGTGTAGTATTAATACATACTACAGGTAGTTGTGGTGGTATTAAAATTAATGGCATTAGAAATTTTCAAAGATAGAGAAGCTGAAGTTATGTTCCTTTTTAGCTGTTTTTTGTGTGATCTTCTATGTTCCTTAACTCTTTCCACAGTAACTATGTGCTGTCTGTGGGCCTGGCTGGTGGACTCTTGGCACTCTTCTCAACTGGCTCTCAATAAAGAAGAAGAAAAAACACCATGTAATAGCATCCTCTCTCAACAGCTCAATCAACTGTTACCCCCATTCAATTAGTGGTAGCTTCCAAATTCACAAGTTGCTGTGATTGGAGTCTCCCATTTTAGAAATAGGGGTGCTAGAGCTTGAGTTGTTGAGACAGTATGGACTGAAAGGGTGGGAGGGGTCAGAGTTTCAGAACATTTCTAAAGTTGGGATGCAGCATCGTTAAGCAACAAAACTGTAGAATAGAAATGCATATGAGCAGGTAGTATTTGATATCGATTTATGAATTATTGAGATAAATAAGCTGATGAAAAAGTGGCATAAAGAAACTTAACGAGTTGTTAGTTTAAGATATTAAGAAAGAAAATTTTGAAATGTGATGCAATATACCTCGATTGTTGCCAAACTGCATCCTCCTACAGAAAGAGTACAGGCCCCTTCTACAAGAGTGAGCATTCCAGTGTGGTGCCATGAAAGAAATAAATGGTTTTTATACATCACAGACTCTCATGCGTGTGTGTTTATCATGTTGCTTCTGAAATGTTGCCTGAGATGAGTAGAAATACTGGTTATCGCTGCAACAAAAAGACAAGAAATCCACAAGTAGACAGTTCAATTGGATGAAGGATGTGGTACATCCTTACAAGAAGGTTATAGTGGACCACCATACCTTGATCCTTTGTAGCACTGTGTACAATATGGATGAAGATCTTTATTGTACATGAGCATACATGTACACTGGATAAGAACGGGTCACAAGAAAGGAATAGCTTAATATACATGACCCTTGCATACACATGACCAAGCTACATTTGTAGCACAAGCATGATAGTCTAAAAAAATTGACTTCTCATAGCTTCTCTGTAATTGTAAAAATATCCTGGATGTCACTCCCATAGCACACTAGCCACAAAGTTATCCAGTGTGCACTGGATATTACTTTGGGCCCAGTGGATCTGGCATCTAGGCTCTGGTAAAAGTATGAACAGACAAGTTGTAGGATTAACGTTAGAGGTTTTCCCAAACTCTTAAGAATGAAAGTGACAATATTTAGCTTGGACGTAAAAAAAATGTTACCAGTTTCACATGTCTGAGACAAAAAACAAATGTTACAGAGAACATAACTTAAAAACTCTTTGAAGAAGACTAGCAGTAGTGCAGTTTGTCCCTCTTACAGTTTCCTGTTGTAGCACTTAAAATGGGAAAGGTAGGAAGAAAAAAAGCAAATATAGGCAATGCAATTTTTTTGTTATTTTGATACTGCATAAACTGATGTAAAATGCTTCAGCTTTTGCATAAATCTTAAGTTGTAGCGAATGATTATTTCATGGCCTAGAGTGTAGAACAATGTAGAAATGGCTTTGTTCATTTGGAAAAGAACATAATTTTAGGCAGTAGTATGATGCAGAATGAAATCCACAATGGCAATTTCATTTTTCCGCATTGTGCTATTGCATTTCTGTTGAAAATACATTAATCTATTGAATAAACAAAATTTTTACCATCAACTGCCAAAATACTACATTTTTCTACCATGTGGCCAATGTCTTGCTTTCTATCTTTAAAGTCTGCAATCTTATCTAATTGCTAAGATGTTTTCTAAGAAATTCTTCTACTATATTTTCTTTCCCTCTTAAGGCTTAGAATTGTCTTTTGTCTTTGTCATGCGATGCTGTCAAAAATGACACATGGTCAAGGCTAAAGAAGCTAACCATCCTGCTTGTCTGCATCTCATTAACTGACTGATGGATTAAGAGTATTCTGGGATGCCCTTTTAATATTAACTCGTCGCTAACTAGTTAATGACGTCACTGTGCGCATGCCCAGACTAATTACATTGATTGTCCGCGGGGGGTCGTCAATTTGGGCGGCCATATTTTCGGCGCAGGTCGCTCATTGTTTGTCCCGGGTGGAAATTTTTTTTTGCCGTCCGCATCGGGCGCCTTTCCGACGAACTGAGCGGAAAATATGGAGGCTGAAGACGAGGAAAACTTGGCGGAAGAAGACGTTGCCGAGGAGGAAGGTATAGAGCGGAGTGTAGAGTTGGAAGAGGCGGTGGTACCAGGTATTGTGGTTGACCGATGCTCCGTGCATGGCTGGCTGGATAGCGGCCCCTGCCTGGCTTATCATGCATGCGGTCCCGCTTGCCCTAGAAAAAAACCTCCCCGCCGTAGTTTTTAGACCAGAAAATCATTCCTACATCCTGTAGAAGTAGTTGATGCTAAGTTTAGCGGTAGGAGTCGCCTTTTTGTGGTAGTTTTTTCGTCAGTTTTAGTGGAACTTTACCGGTCTGCACGGATTTCACCGGTATACACATGAACACATGCACGCTTTGTTTTGGACGACTTCCGCCTACGAAACCGAAGATTTGAGGGCGAAAAATGCATGTGAAGGGCGCAAGGAGACGCCTTGGGTGATGATTTTTCATAATTTGTGGGAAAACGACCATCAGATAAATTCTGGCGTCACTGCTGGTTAGTGATGTGTGGTTAATATTGACTTGGTTAATGACCGGGGTTTGTGATGTGGCGCGATGCATGCTAATGAGGGCGCACCGCATGCAAACGCACGCGCGCCAAGTAGAAAACCAGAAGCCCAAAAATCACAACAACTTCGTCCCTTAAAGTTGTTTTCCGTCGCTCTTAGAAGAAATTCCGGAGCCTGAGCCACCAGAGAAGAAGAAAAAGAAGTCATCCAAGAAAAAGAAGCCAGCCAAATCCAAGAAAAGGAAAAGAGACGAGGTGGGAAAAAATTAATGTCTTCATGTTACTTTACAAATAATTTATAGACAAGCTTGTATATAATACTGTACACTTTTATAATAAAGTCAAAAGGAAAGACTTTACAAAGGTTAATGTTCCATTTTACCCTTTCTGAATGTCTTGTCTTTTTGTTCAGTTGTTTTAATTGAACAGCATTATTGATATGCAAATCACTCTATAGTATACATCAGTAGACAAAAAGGATTCAGTCTGAAAAGGATTGGAATGCTTTGCAAAGTGTGTATTGTCCCGGTGCTCCTGAAAAAAATGATTGAAAATGTTCACCCTTGTACATACAGGAGGATGATGGAGACCACTCAAGTGACAGTGATTTTGCCATTGAGACAGAAACAGTCCGCAAACCAAAAGCCAAGAAGAAATCTGCAGAACCAAAGGTGGGTTGAGTGTCCGTTAAGTCAGAACTTTTTAAACATTTGTACTAAACCATGGTACATTACTGTGCAACTGATAATTTTACTATACTAGGCATAGGAAAAAAGTTATGCTTCCTGTTTCCCGGCCAACCCTAGAAAAAACTGCAGACCCTGGCCTAAGCCCTTTTTGTGTGATCAACCTTGTGCGTTCACGGTAAATCACTGGACAGTTTGACTTTGAGTGTCTGTGATAACCAGGTTTGGTTAAGATGATAACAATTCTACGATTCCATGAATGATCATCATCATAAGTATCCATAGTAAAAGAAAGAAATAATCCCTCCTTTTCAGGTGCAGAAGTCTTCAGCTGAACTCCTTGAAGAGTTTGGTTTTGATGACATAGACTACGAGTTCACTGAAGCTGACTACCAGAACCTCACCACCTACAAGGTCTTCAGCCAACATCTCAGACCCATCATTGCACAGACCAACCCCAAGATGCCTCCTTCTAAGGTATGGTTTACTTTTGAGGAATGTCTTATCTATTTTTGCAAGTAACTTGTTGCAAGAATTTTTGCCTGCAATCTAGAAAGGTTTTTCTGCGTATGAAAAGTAAAATTTGACTTAAGACTCAAGGTATAACAGAGAGAAAACTTATACCTTTACAAAATTTGGCCCTCCAAAAGCCAAAAATAATGTGTCAGAGGGTTATGAGTTTTAAAACTTTTCAGGGAGAATACCAGACCACTTACGTATACTGTCAGACTCAATGTGCAGCTTGTACCATGGTTGTACTGTGAAGTTGTCTTTCTCTATCTGAGAAACTTCTCACGAAAACCTTGTCACTACTCAAATAAAATCCTCACTACACCAGTAAAACCTTTAGTTTAACCGGTTCAGAAACTTTTTGCTAAACACACTTCCACCCCCATCCCCAGGTCATGACAGTGCTGGGTGCGAAGTGGCGTGAGTTCTCCTCATCCCCCGAGTTTAAGGAGGCGACCAAGGCTGGCCAGGCTGCCCCTCCCCCAGCGCCTGCTGCCCCTGCACAGGCACCTGTCCTGCTCGCACCGGACGGACAGCCCATCAGGAAGAAGGCCAAGACCAAGGTATGGTGAAATGTTGTGTCAAAGTTGAACTGTTCTCCAACACACACAAAGTTGGACTCAACAGAATTTTCTCAAATTTCCTCATCTGTTATCTCTCCCCAGTCTCTCAGGACACATGATTGCATGCACTTGTGAAGTCAGTAATGGGTTAAAAGCTATAGTAAGTCTATATCGCCCCCTGTCCCGGTTTAAGTTGGAGAAGAGTTTCATGATTACATAATGGAAACTATCAACTCAGATTTAAGTGTATGAAATGTTAACTTTTTCCAACGTTATGAATGTTAGCCTTGTATATTGTTAAACTTGTGCGCCTTTTGTTACAGTTCCTTTAGCAGCTTTGATGTATCAAAGAATGGTTAAAATTACCAAAATAAGATTTTACTAATTGTGAATTATTCTAATGTTTTTCAGTACCAATTTTGAATGTTACAGAGTGAATCTAAATACAAACACAACACAGTGTTCGAAATACCTGTCTGCAGTCTGCAATCTGCAGATAGATTTTCAAGATTGCAGAGGAAAAATTTATACAATCTGCAATTTTGCAGCAGGAAAAATAGGCTTCAGATTCAATGGTTTTCAATTTAGTAAACTAGAACTCTCAGGTCCCGAGGACAGACAACACTTAAAGTCCTGTTCTTAAACAACAGGAGCTTCTTCACTAATTTGCATCATCATTGTCTTGACTTGACTATCTTTTGTCTCCTTTTGACTCCAATCAATCAATAGTTTGTGCTAATAAACCTGTATTTCTCCTGCAAAGTGAAAAATACCATGAAGGCTTTTGTATTTGCATGCAGGAAGTATTTCCAAATTGCAGAACCAAATTTTGACTCTTCTGCAATATTGCAGAGCACTGAAAAAAAGTATTTCGACCACTGCAACTGAAGTCTGCCATGTAATATGATAAAGATTGATCATTGATTGATTGATTGATTACTGGTTAATTGAAGGAGGGGAAGGGCGTGGCGGCACAGAAGAGGAAGCAGCGACGCAGCCAGAGCCCCGCCCAGGCCAAGAAACCGAAGAAGAAGGTGGTGGCTCCGCTACGGATCAAGATCGCCAAGAAGGCTCGCAAGGGTTCTTCTGTAAGTACATCATCTTAAAGACTGACTCCTGGAAATTTGTTTTTTTTAAACACTGTTATACTGAGAATAAGAATTATGTGTGTGTGGTTTGACTCCCAAATACACGAAAACAACGTTGACCAGCTCAAACTCTGAGAACAGCTAACAACAACATACAAACCCTACTTTACACCTCAATTTCTCATGCCCATGTACTCTGGGCAGGCAGGACCTAACCACTTAGATCAATATATTATGACGGTCACAACTAAACTGGTGAAATGAACAAAACTTGAGAAATAGTAGGGAACTTAAGACCCTACCTGTTACTTCTAGTGCAAAAATCTCCAAATTGGACCAAACCTTTCAAGAAATTACCTAGGGACTAGAATCATGTTCTGATTTTGGGGCCTTCACTGTGTAATGCAGTAGTGATATCAGCCCTGGTGTTGGTATTTAAGATTGTAGACAATGATAGAAATTACATCAAACTATTGAGCTGAGTATTACATGTATCAGACTATTGATATCATCTTGTTTTTCTCCACTAGTCTGATGACGACGGCGTCAGTGACAGTGAAGATTTTGACGATGAGAGCCTCCAGAGTAACCAGTCCATCCGCACTGAGAGCTCTGCAGGTCGCTCCAGCGCTCGCAAGGCCAAGAAAAAGATCAAGAAATCTTCCAAGGGGCCCAAGAAAGGTAAAAAAGGTGAAATCTCCTTTAAAACAAACAATCTCTGTGACTGATGCTTTTTGTGTGATTTTATGACAGAAGGACAGTAAAATATTCAAAAGATTTGTGGTCATGCTTTTCATATCGGAGATATTTTTTGGGATTAATTGATAGTTTCTCCCAAAGTGATAACTCTGTTTTCTGTTTTGTTCCAGACTTCAGTGGTTCAGAGTATGCCCCTTCAGATGGTTATGAGGTGAGGAGATTTTCGCTTTTCATCAACATGCTGTTTTAACAACTACACGTATTAAAACATTACAACAAGAACTCAAGTTTTTATAAGCCTTCATATAAAGGCAGCTATTTCCCACACAAAACGACAGTTGGCTATATGTATAATTTATAGATGATTGGCCAAACTTGTTAAGTACAGACACAAGTATTGCACCTTAACATGTGTACCTGTACCTAACATTTTATAAGGCACAAAACCGCATTTGTTCGGTACAAAAGTGACCGCAAAAACGTGAACACAAAAGTACCATAAAAAATTGTAAATTACAGTATATTTTCAGGCATTAACTCGTTTAACATTTTTATCCTAACATTTTTCTTTTTCCAGACTGACCATCAGGACTACTGTGAAGTGTGTCAGCAGGGAGGAGAAATCATCTTGTGTGACACGTGTCCACGAGCCTACCATCTCGTGTGTCTGGACCCTGAACTGGAGCAGGCACCTGAAGGGAAATGGAGCTGTCCTCACTGTGTAAGTCTTACAGGGGGTGTCTGTAGGGGTGGGGGTGGGATGGGGGGGGGTATGTTGGGGTATGTGTGTTTTTCTGTACGAGACTGTCTGATATAGCACGTCGGCAGAACGTACTGCATCTGTGCAAAGCCCAGGTTTTTCATGTTTTTTGTGGATGATTGGTCAACGTTGCATCAGAGTTTTGCCTGTTGCAGACAATATCTTTTGTAACACAACATTTGAAAACTACAGACGGGATGCCATCTCTAAATATGAGAACAGGACCTGAAATAAGATGTTCTGCTAAAGTGCTTTGCACAATACATTACAGGTTTCAGCCTATGTACTTGCTGACATGTGTTTGACTTTTATGTCAGTCATCAAAATAAAAGTGAAGATTTTGTACCTTCATTTCATTTTGGTTGTCCACATCTTTCCTCACTGTTTGTTTGTTTATTTGTTTACAGGAAGGTGAGGGTGTTACCGTGGAGATGGAGGAAGAGGAGGAAAGTGAGGAGGATGAGCACATGGAGTTCTGCCGGGTGTGCAAGGACGGGGGCGAGCTGCTCTGCTGCGACTCCTGTCCCTCCGCATACCACATCCACTGTCTCAACCCACCCCTCCCAGAGATCCCTGACGGAGAATGGGTCTGCCCACGCTGTTCTGTAAGTATGGGAGGAACAGTCCATTTGTGTTTTAGGAGGGGGTTTAGCATACCACGTCCACTGTCTCAACCCACCCCTCCCAGAGATCTCCGACAGAGAATGGGTCTGCCCACGCTGTTCTGTAAGTATGGGAGGAACAGTCCATTTCTGTTTGTGGAGGGATGTAAATAGTTACTTTATTTGATGCAACTCTTCCCTGAGATCTTTGATGGAGAATGGGTCTTCCCAATCTGTTCTGTATGTATGGGAGGAATAGTCCATTTTTGTCTTTGGAGGGGTGTAAATTAAAAAAAATACATCACCCTTCACCACCATCACAAAAAATGTGTCTTCCCAAAGTGTCCTGTAGTATGCCAAGAATGATGCATTTTTCTTCCAAAGAGGTGTATTCACTGCTTCATTTTGTGTGCTCGAGAAGTGGTTTTCTGAACCTTGAAACACTGTTACTGAATAATATAAGTTCATCATACAGCCAAGGTCTGTAGAATGTACTGATACTGTCTTTCATAAAAAAAAATTCTCAATTTTCCCACCCTTCCTCCCCCAGTGTGAGCCACTGCGAGGACGTGTAGAGAAGATTCTCCACTGGCACTGGTTCACCCCTGACCCTGCACCTGACATCCCCAGTCTCAGCGACCTCAACATGACCTGTGGTGAGTTTTGGTCAAAGATTCTGATTTATTATTCTCATCATACGTTGAATTATGTATAGTTTATAAGTGCCAAGCTGCATTTTGAACTTGACCAGAATAGGTGTTTCAGATATTATTCTTTTCTCTCTTTTACAGAGGAGGACAGCCAAGAGGCAGAGGCTCTGAGAAAGAAGGTATTAATTTGCAAAAAAATTGATACTTTACAGGAAAATTAGATGGTTTTCAATTTGGTGTTATACCTAAAAGGTTATGCAAAACAAACTGTTGACTATTTTTGTTTGTTGGTTCCAGTACCAGCCGCGGCCGACCCGTCAGTTTCTGGTGAAGTGGCGCGGGATGTCATACTGGCACTGCGACTGGGTGACGGAGCTGCAGCTAGAGATCTACCACCCCGCCATGTTCCGTAACTACTTCCGTAAGAACGACATGGACGAGCCCCCGCCGCTGGAGGATGGCGGTGAGGAGCCCAACGACTCCACGCAGGATCCCGACAACGACCTGGAGAAGCGATTCTATCGCTACGGGATCCGCCCCGAGTGGCTGACCATCCATCGCATCATTAACCACAGGTGGGTGGAGACAAACAGTTTTACTTTTCAACCCCTCCTACAGAAAATGGTCCTGCCTTGCTGTTCTGTAAGTATGGGCAGATTGGTCCATTTCTGTTTTTACGGGGTTAAATAAAATAACTTTATTTGACCCAACCTTCCCTGCAAACCTGCACAGCAAATGGGCTGGCCCTGCTGTTTTGTAAGTATGCATATGGGCAGATTGATCCATTTTTGTTTTGAGGGGATGTAAAGAAAATTTCTTTATTTGACCCACTCCTCCCCATAGACCTCCACAAAAATTGGGCCTTCCCACTTTGATCTCTAAGGAAGAAACAGCCCACTTGTTTTTTAGAGGAGAAAATCTACATATTAGTTGTAGTTTGCCCACCCCTCCCAAAGATTCCATATGGACATTGGGTCTGCCCACACTGATCTCTATGTACAGGAGGAACAGTCCATTTCTGTTGGACAGGGGGAAAGCATACGACATCCACTGACTTTTTATAGTCCCTCAAAAACAACATTCTTCCCTGTGTCCGTCCCAGGAGCCGATTTGGGGTGGATAGTTTCCTGGTGAAGTGGCGTGACCTTCCTTACGACCAGAGCACCTGGGAGACCGAGGAGATCCCCGTCCCTGACTTCCAACAGCACATCAAGTCCTACTGGGACCACAGGTAATAACAAAACACCTGCAGTTCCCAGGAGAGTCACTAGGGGACCCAAGATTTTATGTTGTTCAGTTAATTGAAGTCTGAAAAACATGCAATCAAGTCCAAATGGGACCAAAGATGATAAGATAGCAGCAGATCTGAGGGAGGTTGCTAGGTTGCCCAAGCAACTACATGTAGTTGTTATTGTTATCCTGAGCAAAGAACTGTCCATGTACCAAAATTCATTGATTCATTGTTGTTGTAACCCATATCTTAAAGTAAAAACATTTGTGTTATCATAAAAAAATATGTGTCATATATGTCATATGGCTGGACATAGAAACATATATGTGAAAGGGTTAAAGTTTAAAGACAAAAGACATAGAAATGGTTGGCCTTTTTGATTTTGGGTTATTTTGTTTTTCAGAAAAAGTTGGCTGAAGGCTCGGCGGTAGGTTGCACTGTGTTCTCTGGGTGCAAACTATCACAGCTACAGCTTCCTTTTCTTACCCTCTTCTTAAGACTTCTTAAGACTTGTTCTGTCTTATGCTGAACATCTTGAGATGTGCTTAGCTTACCCAGTCATTTATATTGGAGAACTCTTTCGACTGATTACAAATTCACGAAATTTTTCCTGAACTGGTTCAGTTCAGACCTATCTTGAAAATTGTATGAAAGCGTGACAAATTTTAAATAATGTTTGTTTTTGCCAGATAAAACAAAGAGTCTGCAACAGTTGTGAGCCCAAAATTTGTGTTTTCTGTAATTTTTCTGTTTTCCTGTGTGATCTTATAGTTGATGTGGTGTTTTTTCTCTGCTTGTGTGAGATATCAGCAATGAAAACTAACCCCCCTTTTCTACACTGGTACATACCGAATATCTACTGCCTCTTGATTATGAGTGGAGGCCAGGTGGGTTGGTCCACTCTGATAAATAGGGAGGGTGAGGAAAATAATGCAAAAAAAACTAACCTCCCCTCCACTATATAGTGGTAGATACCAAACATGTACTATTTCTGGATTGTGAATGGAAACCTGGTGGGCTGGTCCACTTGAGAAGTAGGGAGGTACAAGCCAGAATGACATTTTAACAAGGCATATCAATGAACTAACTTTTCTTTGATACTGACAGTGCTTTCTATCCTATTTCTATATTTCAGGTATTGCAAACATTTGTTCACAATCTACATTGATGAATATTATAATATGTATACTCTAAGTAAAGTTGATGGTTATTTTGTACAAATTGTCAAATTACCTTAATTTGAATTAAGGTAAATTTGTGATTTTTCCCATTTAGTTTTAGCTGTCTAGCAGTCTGTAACTATTATAACAGTGACTTTTCAAAATGACTTTTCAAAATATTTTCCATTTGTAAATGAAACACAAAACATCTGTGGATATCAACGTGTAACACTTTTCTTAGAAACTTTTTAAAAAACCAGAAAGGAATTTTCAAGTGTCTTACCTTACCTAACATCTTGGATATCTGTTTGTCTTGCAGAGAGTCGATAATTGGCCCTGAGCCCAAGGGTAAGAAAGGAGGGAAGGAGAAGAAAGACAAGAAAGGGAAAGTGAAGAAGGGCAAAGAGGCTAAGGAAAAGGAAGGAGCTGAGAAAGACTCTCCTATGCCAACTATCGATGTGAGTTAAAAACATTCATTCCTTGTAGGTACAGTCAAACCCTCTAAAATATTTCACTACATACCTATACATACTATAGGTATGGATGAAATGCCTTGTTTTTTATATTTCACTCCATTCCATTTATGGATGAAATATAAATTTTTCTTTTCACAGCGTCCAGATTGATTCCGGACTTCCGGGCACTTCCTGCAGAATTCTAGGTCTAGTTCCTAGAATTCTGGCCCCAGTTCCAGAATTCTGCAGAATTGGGTTAACCCCTAAGGGGTCCTCGATGGCTGCTACATATTTCTTACATCATTTTTACCTGTACTTAACGACATTAGCCCATCTAGATGTACGGTTGCTGAGATTTGGGGAATGAAACTGGACTGTCCAAATTTAATCCGGACGCTGTTTTTTGTATCTTTTCAATGCCTTTGACAGTAGTGTCATTGATGCTTGTGTTGTACTTTTTCTGAGAAATATGCTTAGCAAAAACTGATAATCCTTCACCCAACGTCTCAGTACCTTACCGTGTCTTATTTCCACCCTGCAGCCCTCTAAGAAGTACGAGAAGCAGCCTGAGTTTATTGACGACACGGGGGGAACCCTACATGAGTACCAGCTGGAGGGGCTGAACTGGCTACGCTTCAGCTGGAGTCAGGGCACAGACACTATCCTGGCTGATGAGATGGGGCTGGGCAAAACTATCCAGACCATCTGCTTTCTTAACTCACTCTTCCAGGAGGTAAGGCAGACTTAGATAACATCCTAGCACTGTAAGATTTGTGTTCAGGCACCATCCTGAGTGATGAGAAATTATTGATTAATATTTGGTAACTTGGTCATTTGAAATGATACCATTCCTGCTCAGCACTCCCCTTTCGTCTATCATCAACCAGGAGCCCTGTTATTGACGAGTTTATGGCTTGGTTATTGGTTACTGGTTAATATCCGGGTTATTGACTAGTTAATGACCTGGTTATTGAGTAGTTAATGGCTTTTTTATTGACTTCATGGCACCTTCTTACAATCCATTTTGGATCAGTTCTCCCCTTTACACTTTTAACAACTGGGCATTGTTAATGGTTTATCATTGCTTTGTTGATATCTTGGTTCTTAACTTCTCCAGGGTCACAGCAAGGGTCCATTTCTGATCAGTGCTCCCCTCTCCACCATCATCAATTGGGAGCGTGAGTTTGAGTTCTGGGCGCCGGACATGTACGTGGTGACGTACTGCGGAGACAAGGACAGCCGCGGCGTCATCCGGGAGCACGAGTTCTGTTTTGATGACGACGCGGTGAAGGGAGGGAAGAAGGCACAGAGGATCAAGGTGTGGTTTGGACACTTCTACTCCAGCTTGCCAAACTTCATGTGCATATTTTGAAAATACAAACATGTAAAGCCAGTAGAACTAAAGCGTAGGAAAATTATGCTGTGTTTCCTGTTTCAGTCCTGAAAAAAAACTAGGGTTAGTAGGTGGGGATTATATCCTTTTTTTTCAGCTGATTTTAGTAAAAGGATCCAAGAAATAAGGTTTAACAATGCATCAGGACTGTCTCAAGGACCCATTTGCCTGTGAACACATATGATTTACTAAAGAAAATTTGCTTCTGAAAACGTGTTAAATGACATTTCAGACTTCAGAGGGTTTGAAATTCAGATTGAAAATAGCCTTACCAGCTGTTGAGCAAAAAAAAGGCTAGTGTCAGCTGATTTTGCTAGGGTTGGTCAGGAAACCAGAAACACAACATTTTTTTCCTCGGCCTAAATCAGAATCTGACATGTATTCTCTCCGTTTTCCCCCTGCAGAAAGACAGCCAGGTGAAGTTCCACGTGCTGCTGACATCCTACGAGCTCATCACCATCGATGTGGCCACCCTGCAGTCCATCGACTGGTCTGTACTGGTCGTGGACGAGGCACACAGACTCAAGAACAACCAGTCTAAGGTAAACATACAAACAAACACGTGTAAACATGTTCCAGTAAACTTTTGTTCCACAGTTAGGCAAAGATATAACATTGTAGGACCTTGTTTTAATTATAATTTATTATCAGATTTATCACGTGTGTGGTAGGATTTTTCCCCTTGCAAAAGCTGCAGTGTTTGTTGAATGTGTTTTAAAGAATTGTATCTAAATCTTTACTGAGACTTATTTTCTTTCCTTGCCAGTTTTTCCGAATCCTGAACGGCTATAAGATTGCCTACAAGCTTCTGCTGACAGGAACACCTCTACAGAACAACCTGGAGGAGCTCTTCCATCTTCTCAACTTCATGTCTCCTGAGAGGTTCAAGTAAGTACACCACTTTCTTAATGATCAATTAAAGATACCATCATATGTTACAAGTTTCTCTTGCAGAATGTGTCTCCTAACTATATACCAATCCTTACTTTTGCCTATTATCAGGAATGAAATGGTTGGTCAGTGATAGAACTTTGAGTTAGGACGAATCAGATAACCTGTTACATCCCTGCTGGATAGTGTGGACCAATCAGCTAGCATGTTACATTTTGATTTTTCAGTGCCAATCTTTGGAATCCTACATAAGTAAAGACTAATCAGATAATTTGTTACATACCTGTTGATTAGTGTGGACCAATCAGATGGCTTGTTACAATCCTAGTTAAATGCTATGCATCTTGTCCTTCAGTAACCTTCAGGAGTTTCTTGAAGAGTTCCAAGACATGTCGAAGGACGAGAAGATCTCCAAACTACACGACATGCTGGGGCCCCATCTCCTGAGACGTCTTAAAGCCGACGTTCTTAAAGGAATCCCAGCCAAGAGCGAGTTCATCGTCAGAGTGGAGCTGGCCCCCATGCAGAAGTAAGAAATTGTTTTTGGCACCACCTCGGGGTCGGAACCAAGAGTAGTCGGTGGTTAAAACAACTTGATAGTTGATAACAATGTAAGAGGGTGAGACAAGACTGTAAAAACTATATACATTTCTTATGTCACCTGAGAACCAGATAGGACATTCAAACACTTGAATTTAGAAGTTATATTTCAAATGTTGGGTTCCAACATAGCAAGAATTGACTAAACTTCCTAGCTCTTTTGACTGATTGCTGAGATTGTGTATCTGTAAGGTCATCTGACCGAAATGTCTGATCATTAGATGATACATGATGGTAGTGACACCACAAAATTTAAGCAAAATATTTTTGTTGTTTTACTTTCACGTAGTGAAACACACTTTAATATTTTCTCAGGGAACTTTCATGCTAAAATGATATTCTATTCAGTAACAAAACTGTTCTTTCCTTTTGTCGTAGGAAATACTACAAGTGGATTCTCACACGGAACTTCGAGGCGCTCAACACGAAGGGGAGTGGTCACCACGTCTCCCTCCTCAACGTCATGATGGACCTGAAAAAGTGCTGCAACCACCCGTACCTGTTCCCAACTGCTGCCATGGTAACCGCTTGCAAATAAATAAACAGAAATGCGTGGGGCATTCTTAACAGTGATTACACTGAAGTAGCCAATTAGCTACCAAGTATCTATTGGTAATTGAGACAGGGAGAAGGTGTCAGTTATCTGTCTAACTAGACGACTGTCATCATGGTAACTGATGCTATAGCAGACAGCCTATTGTTTTAGATTACATTATGTAGCAAGTGGCAGGACAGGGGCTTGTCACAATATATATATGTTGGGCTAGATCACATGAAGGTAAACATTACGTATATGTGTGATTTCTATACAAATGCTGTTGCTCCTATATCATTGAACCTTACAGGATTTTGTTGTTGTTGTCCTCTAGGAAGCGCCACGCCTCAGCAACCACGCCTTTGAGGGGAGTGGCCTGAAGAAGAACTGTGGGAAGCTGATGGTTCTGGGCAGAATGTTGAAGAAACTGCAGGCACAGGGTCATCGGGTGCTCATCTTCTCACAGGTCAGTGGGTCAGGGGTTAAAGGTAATGCAGGGTTATTGGTTGCTCATCTCACAGGTCAGTGGGTCAAGGGTCAAAGTTAATGCTCAGACATACATGTAGAGCTCAAGTCGGGTCAAAGGTAATGCAGGGTCATTGGTTCTTTTCAGGTCGGGTTAAAGGCAATGCAGGGTCATCAGGTGCTCATGTTTCTCATAGGTCAGTGGGTCAGGGGTTAAAGGTACTGCAGGGTCAAGATGCTGGATATCCTGGTTGATATTTGTTGTTCCCATGGTTACAGATGACGAAGATGTTGGATATCCTGGAGGATTTCTGTGAGGCAGAGGGGTATAAGTACGAGCGTATCGACGGCGGGGTCACCGGCTCACTGCGCCAGGACGCCATCGACAGATTCAACGGTAAGACAGTTGACAGACTACATGTGTAGGTCCTTAAAGACATTAGAATTCAGACTGCAGAGTCATCTACAGCTTGTAGGTCCTCAATGGCAGAAGACTTTAGGAACAGTGTGTTGGATTTGTAACTTGAATTTTCCATATGGTACAATGGTGCGATAGGGGCAAAACGGGACAAATTACCTTTGGTTTTCGTCCAGGAATTGAAGGTTAGGCATTTAGAAGCATTCCTTGATTGTAGCCTATTCTAACAGTGAAAGTGACAAAATATAGAGGAAATATCTAACTTGAATCCTGTTGTAATACTTTTCCAATGTTTTAACCCCTCAGCTCCCGGGTCCCCCCATTTCGTGTTCCTGCTGTCGACCCGTGCCGGTGGCTTGGGTATTAACCTGGCCACAGCAGACACCGTGTTCATCTACGACTCTGACTGGAACCCACACAACGACATCCAGGTGGGAAACTGTAGGGTTTTTACCTCCGTGAAAAATGGAGGTATTGTTTTTGGTATGTGTGTGTGTGTGTGTGTTTCCGCATGGCCCTTGGTCAGGTTGTAATGTATATGGTTACGGGGTCAGTCTGTCCTAGAGGCAGAAAGTCATTAATCGCATCTACATCTGGGTAGTGCTCACTGTTTTCATGGTCGTTTTCATTACATGACCTCCTTGACAGCTGACAGCTGGTGTTGTTTCACAACACACCATGGTTAAAACTGCACATGATTAATTAACGAGTCTGTATTTCTGTTGAACCCAGGCCTTCAGCAGAGCCCATCGTATTGGTCAGGCCAACAAGGTGATGATCTACCGCTTTGTGACCAGGGCTTCTGTGGAGGAGAGGATCACACAGGTCAGTAGGAACTGTATTTTGAAGGATACTTGAGCACTACGTCAAAGTAGTTCACCTACATGGAATTTTTCTGTCCACCCCTTGGCATCAGTATTTTGTTGTGACCTGCATTTGTTGCTTTTCTGTTCCTGTTCTGCATACATATGTCCTAGCTTAACTACACAAACATTGCAAGCTCGACAAAGTGAGTGAGTTAAACCATTGCAAAAAGCATGGAAAATATCTCTCATTGCCTTTTCTATTTTTATTGTCCTTTTTCATGAAAATTGTGGGGTTAACTTAAGTAAAGGATGAAATCATTCTAAACTCTTATATGCCTATATCTTTCACTATAAGCTGTTGTTAGAGAGACTGATACATTGATTTACGAAAAAGCTGTTGTTAGAGAGACTGATACATTGATTTATGAATTTTCAGGTCGTTAAAAAAATATGGCTCAATGGCATGATTGATTGATTGATTGATTTCCAGGTTGCCAAGAAGATGATGTTGACCCATCTTGTGGTGTACCCCGGGCTGGGTGTCACCTCTGTATTATGAATGATTGATTGATTGCTTGATTGATACATTGATATTGATTTTCAGGTTGCCAAGAAGAAGATGATGTTGACCCATCTTGTGGTGCGCCCCGGGCTGGGCTCCAAGTCCACCTCCATGTCCAAACAGGAGCTGGACGACATCCTGCGCTTCGGAACAGAAGAACTCTTCAAGGACGACGCCATTCTGGAAGGTCAGTCCCAGTTTATTCATTTCTTAGACTCAGGTAAATAAACAGATGCTGTGTGCTGTTTTGTTCTGAAGTTGTAAGAAAGGATGGATATCAGAGTATGTCACTTTACAGTTCAATCCATCATTGTTTGTCTCTTGCTAAGTCTCTGAGATATTATAGTACGTGAGACTCGAGTCTGATGTCGTGACTTAGGTAAAGTTTGCAGTTGTTGACAAGGCTGCTGAGGAAACCTTCACATAGTCTTCCTTGTCTGGGTTTGAGTTTTTTGCTGAACTGAGGACCTTTTGTGGGGGTAAGTCCAGTGGCATACAGAGTACATGCCTAAAGAGGGACCTCCTACGGCGGTGAACTTGGTTCTGTAGAGGTGGTACTTGGCATTTGGCGTACAGCTTGCTGTTGCTGATCTGGTTAGAATGGAAGTATCCTAATGTCTTAGTTGTTTCCGATGCCATGTGTATTTTATATGCTAGGTCTTCTTTTAGTCGCCAAACTCCTTAGAAATAAGAAAATAACTTCAGTAAGATCATTCTTTCAATCAGTGACTATTAAATCCTAAGGTACATACCTCCGAATTTTCGACGACTAGTCAGTCGAAGGCTGGGAGCTGCCTAAGCCCTACCTACCTCTACTCCGCAAGGAGGCAGAAGATCCACGCAAGTCTCGTTCTAGTCTCGCGTTCTCTCGCGAGACTAGGATCATGACATGATCAAGACGAAGTGACTAGTCGTCAAAAATTCGGAGGTATGTACCTTAGGATTTAATAGTCACTGATTGAAAGAATTATCTTACTGAACTTGAACTATACGTGACTGATGAATCTCTTCAACAAAGAAAATAACTATCTTTCCTTATGTTCCCCCCAGGAGAGGATGGGGAGGAGGGTACAGCCATCCACTACGACGAGTCGGCCATTAACAAGCTGCTGGACCGCAGTCAGGAGGGGCTGATCGAGAAGGAGTCAGAGCTCAACGAGTACCTGTCATCCTTCAAGGTCGCGGCCTACGTCATGAAGGACCAGAATGAAGAGGTCAGTGTCATAGGTCATAGGTCAACATCATGGGTCAAAGTTCGGTCATAGCATAGATGATAGACCTGTTTACCCTTCAGGGATTCCAAGAACTGCTTACGTCATTGGGGACATGCCGATCTAGAACCCAGAAGTTGAGTGCAGCTTTTGCTGGATGAGGTGGAGCAGGCTTACCCTGACTACTGGGAGAAGCGTCATTATCACTAAGTTTTTCATTTGTTCATTCCTCATTCCAGTGATAAAGGATGAGGTAGAGCAGGCCGACCCTGACTACTGGGAGAAGTTTTACTATCACTTTTTCTTTCATTCCTCATTCTTTCATTCCCTCACTCCAGGAAGAGATAGAGCGAGAAGTGATAAAGGATGAGGTGGAGCAGGCCGACCCTGACAACTGTGAGAAGCTCCTGCGTCAGTCTTTCATTCATTCATTCATTCCTCATTCTTTCATTCCCTCTCTCCAGGAAGAGATAGAACGAGAAGTGATAAAGGACAAGGTGGAGCAGGCGGACCCTGACTACTGGGAGAAGCTTCACTATCAATCTTTCCTTCCTTCATTCATTCATTTCTCATTCTTTCATTCCCTCTCTCCAGGAAGAGATAGAGCGAGAAGTGATAAAGGATGAGGTGGAGCAGGCCGACCCTGACTACTGGGAGAAGCTTCTCCGTCACCACTATGAGCAGCAGCAGGAGGACTTGGCTCGGACGCTCGGGAAAGGCAAGCGCATCCGCAAGCAGGTCAACTACAACGACGCCGCGCAGGAGGAGGAATCTGGTAAACAAAAACAACTGTTTACTTAGTTGTTTATGGCAGTGATGTATTTGTTCATGTTTCAGAAAGAAATTTAAAAAAATCTCAATCAACAGAGACTGGTTTAGACATCGAAGGTCTGAAAATAGCCATGGCTGACTGAAAAAAGTGGTGCACACTGCTGCATGGGGGGGGGTAATTATGGTCATGAGTAAGATAGATTAATAACAAACTTGTCAGAAGATGTTTAACGAAGAAATTATGCTGTTTCCATGTGATTCATTTCAATTAGAACTGTCGCCTATGTTTTTACCCGAATATTCAACTTCCACTAAGTAGTGCCAGTCTTTTCTGTGCAGAACTGGTCAAAGGAGTGAACTGGACCTAGTCTATGATAGGATGGATGTCAGGGTAGAAAAAGAAGTGAAGTCAGAAAATGAATATTTTTTCTCCCTGCAGCGTGGCAAGGCGACCTGTCGGACTACCAGTCGGACTATTCCATTGGGTCAGAAGAGGGGACAGACGACGAAGACTTTGAGGATAAATCGGAAGGTACAACAACTGCAGTAACACAATAATTATGAATTAGTGACACAAACACTGAAGGAATTACGATTCAGTCTGCTTTTGTGTTACGCCTAAAGGTAGTTGACAGGTTATGCGCAACAAACAAACAACTGTATGTTTTGTTTCGCAGCACGTCGAGTGGGAAAGCGAAACTATCCGACCAAGGAGTCAGACAAGCTGCCCCCTCTATTGGCCAGGGTTGGAGGGCAAATCGAGGTAAACTATCTCAAATCCACACCTTGTAGCACCGTGTACAATCACTAGATGGCGCTGTGCCTTGTTAGACTTGACCCATTGCTGATCTATCCAGCCTTGTCACATGATGTTAGCAGCAACAGTTGGCCTTTTTATTTATGACAATTTTCCACCTTTTCAAGGCCACCATACCAACAACATCATTCATGTAATACATTTAAGTCCCACTACACCATTTCTGTACTTGTCTGTGACTTCTTTAGGCTGGTGGAGTTTGAATGAACATGCCCTCTCCCATGCAGGTCCTCGGGTTCAATGCCCGTCAGCGTAAGGCTTTCCTGAATGCTGTGATGCGTTACGGCATGCCTCCCCAGGACGCGTTCAACTCTCAGTGGCTCGTCAGGGACCTGCGGGGAAAATCTGAGAAGAACTTCAGGTTTGTGGTTTTTATAGCTTTTGTTGTCAGTTATATAAGTAAAATGTTTTTGCATATGTGTTTTTCTCTGTGTACTTCTCTATGTGTTTTTCTGTGTATGAGTGAAATGATGTTTTAGGCTTGTTTGTATGTATGAGTCTTGGTTTGTTTGTTTGTGTGTGTGTGTGTGCATGCGTGTTTCAAGTCTTGGAACAAAACAATGTGTAGGTCAATTCTTTATATGCAAACTCCCTTTCAATTTTTCTGTGGAGCTGTGAGGGTTGCAGAGAATTGTGGGTAAGGGGGCAAAGTCTGACATATCTGATTTCCTCACAGGGCGTACGTGTCCCTGTTCATGCGCCATCTCTGCGAGCCTGGCGCCGACAACGCTGAGACGTTTGCGGACGGCGTGCCGAGGGAGGGGCTGTCCCGCCAGCACGTGCTGACACGCATCGGGGTCATGAGCCTTATTAGGAAGAAGGTGGGTCAAAGGGCAACACCTTGGGTCATTGACCTTATTTGGAAAAAGGTGGGTTAAAGGGCAACACATTGGGTCATTGACCTTATTTGGAAAAAGGTGGGTCAAAGGGCAACACATTGGGTCATTGACCTTATTTGGAAAAAGGTGTGTCAAAGGGCAACACCTTGGGTCATTGACCTTATTTGGAAAAAGGTGGGTCAAAGGGCAACAGCTTGGGTCATTGAGCTTGTTTGGAATGTGGGTCAAAGGGCAAGAGATTGGCATCATGAACCTTATTAGGAAGGATGCAGGTCAGAGGGCAACACTTTGGGTCATTAACCATATTTGAAAAGTGGGTCAAAGGGCAAGAGGATGGAGTAATTTTATCTTTTTTACTAATACAATACAAATGCAGAGTATTCTCTTGTGACCATAAGTAAAAGATTCCATATGGTGTTCCCTAGGTGAAGGAATTTGAGCACATAAACGGGAAGTACAGCATGCCGGAGCTGTTCACCAATAACGAGGCGCTGGCAGCCATCATCCCGTCGCTGGCGGGCACGTCTGCCACGCCCAGCGCAGTCAGCACGCCGGGAGAGGCAACCCCCAAATCTCAGCCTGGATCCGAGGAACCTTCTCGCGCTGCAACCCCGCAGGTAACCATGGTGACAAGTTCGAAAAAACATTTTGGAAAACTGAACACCTCACTTGACTTGGGTGGAGCAACTAGCTTCTGCTAGGGACATACTCTCAGATGGGACGTAAAGCCATTGGTTACATGTTTGAGGAGAGCCACACCTCAAGTATAATTGAGACGAGTAGAGGTCCTTTCAGATGTTTACTGGTTATGCGAAACAAACTGTTTAAGTAACTTTAACAGGCAGTTATGACACATTTTCTACCATCCTCTAGTTGTATCGTCTTTCTCTTTTCATTCCTCCACACGTGTACAATATTCAGAAATGTTATATTGAGACAATGAGGGAACATAAAGTTTTTAACTTCTCATTCCAATTTTTCTGCACTGTTAAGGTTGAGTCGTCAGACACCACCAAAGAATCAAAACCTGCTGAAGAGGAAGCAAAGGAGGAAGAGACCAGCAAAGAGAAAACAGAGGAAACAGCAGAGAAAAAGGAGGGAGAGACGGAAGAAAAGAAGGAGGAAAAGACAGAAGCTGAGGCTGCGCCCAGCGATGAGAAACCAGCAGCAGCTGAAGACGCAAAACCTCCAGAGGAAAAGGAACCAGAGAAACAGGAAAAGGTGAGAAGCAACAGTGGTGTTTAAAAAATATTCTGGCGACATTGACTCGTACATCACTGTTATCAAGCAGTGGGCAGACGTATGAAGAAAAATACAATGTATGGAGGACTGAAGGTCAACTGTATTTTGAAACAATGGAATTTACCTTCTAGTGGCTAAAAAATAAGTAAGAAGAACAAAACAATAGATATAGATTTATAGTTTTTTTTAGCTTTTGTTCAACAAACATACAAACCAGTTGCATGCTTTGAAAAGTACGTGCTCCTCAAAAGTACAGGATGTCTTCCCCTACAAAAGGAGCTAATCCACATCTGTAGTGAATCTTGTGGAGAAACCTGAGTTGATTGGTTGATTGATTGATTGAATGATTGAGTGATTGATTGATTGGTTGATTGATTGATTGATTGGTTATCACCTCTGCAGGAGGAGCCCTCCACATCTGAAGTGAAGCCTGAGGAGAAAGTTGAGCCGATGGAGACAGACGCAGATTCCACCACCAAGGAGGAAAAACCAGAGGCTGAGAAGGTGAGAGAAGGAAAAACCGTTAAAATCTGTGATTTCAAACCTAGTGTGAGCAGTAAAAGAAATAACGGCAATGGTTTCTGAACAGTTTTAGTGTGACCCATACTTCCTAAATTCTGAGTGGCACAGGAAAAAGTTATAAATTGTGCATGCAGATTGTTTTTTCAATGTTACCTTTACCAGTGCAGGTATGCAGGATAAAGTATTTCAAACCTCAACCATACTGTAATTGCAACCTACTGAGTTCCTGAAATAGAGAAATATTTTTTTATTTGCGACCTTAGGAGGAAAGTAAGGATGTGAAGGAGGAAGGAAAGGAGGAGGCAGCTGCCATGGAGACAGATGAGAAGAAGGAGGCAGCTGAAGGGGAGGAGAAGAAGGAAGAAACTAAGGAGGAGGAGAAGGAGACTACGGAGAAGAAAGGTAAAATAAGACCTGAAAGAATGAATAGGCTTACATGCTGTCATACTGGTGTAACTTATGTTGGTTGACACAGAATGTAAAATAAAACAAAATTAAAAGGATCTCATTGAGGCTAATGCGTTCCTTCTCCTTTGATATCAACATGTCCAAAGTTCCTACACCAAAACATTGAAATGTTACTAGATAAAACTAGAATAAGCTTCAAAAGAACTAAGTTTTCATGCAGTTAAAGCAAAGGCAGGTTTATCAAGGTCAAAGAATCAGAAGAGGTCTGAGAGGGAAGTTTTTACTTTCTGATAAGATTAGAAATATCCCAGAAGAAAGTACTTTCATGTTAGACATTGCAAATTAAGCCAAAGAAGGTACTTTTTATTTTCTGACCAGTTGTAACCTAACCTCCCGATTACAGAGGTCCCAGCGGACTCTACAGAGGAGGCTGAGAAGAAGCCCAAGTCTGCCGAACCCTCCGAGAAACCCAAGGAGGAGGACGACAAGGAGGAGAAGCGTAACTTCAAGTTCAACATCGCGGACGGAGGCTTCACGGAGCTGCACACGCTGTGGCAGAACGAGCAGCGCGCCCTGCAGCCCACACGGGAGAACGCCATCTGGCACCGCAAACACGACTACTGGCTGCTCGCCGGCATCGTACGGTATCCTTGGTTACGCTGGTCGGCATGGTAACGGCCACTGAATGAGTTCGATGTTGGTCATCATATCAACTTATGCTTTTGCCAGTGTCGGTTCGTAAAATTGTAATTGTTTGAAAAGGTAATGAATGTACATTATTAGGTCATTTGAGGATACGATTTTTAGTTTCACAGAACAACATACCGTATGATTAAAACAAGGAATATTCTGTGATTAAAAAATAGAAGGTAGATTTAAAAACTGAGTGGTAATTTGATGGTGAAATTCAACTTAGATGACATAGCCTCTTAGAAGTCAAAAGAAAACAAAAAATGTCTATATATTTACCGATTGATAGAAAATGGTAACAATTTTTTCTACTCTACGTAGACTGGAACTCGTTGCCACCAAGCACAGCAAACAACTCCTGCAATTAAATGTGCAAAGATTGAGTGTAACAAGTCGATTTAAGCATGTAACTTTCATTACGTAGATTTAGATACTTTTGGAAAATCCACTTCACATGTGGCTGCGTTTGTCGGTCCTTGACCAGTGTGTAGCCATGGTTACGGGCGTTGGCAGGACATTCAGAATGACATCTCCTTCGCCATCATCAACGAGCCCTTCAAGGGTGACATGGGCAAGGGCAACTACCTGGAGATCAAGAACAAGTTCCTGGCACGCCGCTTCAAGGTTTGTAGTGATTTTTTTAGTTGTCTATTAACGTTTCATGATAACACATAAGGTGTAAGAAAAGACAAAATGTTTGCAAATACAGTCCAAGTTTGCTAGTAACTACGTACCTGGAGATCAAGAACAAGTTCCTGGCACGCCGCTTCAAGGTTTGTAGTGATTTTTTAGTCCTTTATCAAGGTCTCATGACAAAACATAAGGTATAAGAAAGGGCAGAAGGTTTGAAAATACAGTCAAACTTGGAGTGTGCTAGTAACTACCTGGCACACCGCTTTAAGGTCAGGGGTGTTTTTTTAGTTGATGATCAAAATCTCAATTAGGAATTCATAAAAACTTGATATATTTCATGTAGTTGTGAGATCCTAGCTTACTTATCACCTATTACATGTACATCTGGGTTAAATTCTAGATTGTCTTCAAATCTGCCAAGATTCAGCATCATAAGGCTGACTAAAACTTGTTGTTTGTTTCTTTGTCTAGCTGCTTGAGCAGGCCCTGGTGATCGAAGAGCAGCTGAGAAGGGCTGCCTACCTGAACCTGACACAGGACCCCAACCACCCCTCCATGGCCCTCAACACACGGTCAGTAACCATGGCAACATGGCTGTAACCATGGTAGCATAGCTGTAACCATGGCAACATGGATGTAACTATGGTAACATAGCTGTAGTCATGGTAACATCTGTAACCATGGTAACATCTGTAACCATGGTAACATCTGTAACCATGGTAACATGGCTGTAGTCATGGTAACATAACTGTAACCATGGGGACATGCCTTTAACCCTAAACAAGTCCAGGATGCTAACCAACCCTTTTACTTGTAAAATTTTGTCTGATAGCAATAAGGAAAATAATGCACAGTAGTTTATACACAGATACATATGATATCTGATGTAAAAGAAGGACCACACCTTTGGAGAATGTTTGTTGACTTGTTTGTTTGTTTGTTTACAGGTTTGCGGAGGTGGAGTGCCTGGCAGAGAGCCACCAGCACCTGTCCAAGGAGTCTCTAGCGGGCAACAAACCGGCAAACGCCGTGCTCCACAAAGGTAAACAATCTGCAAAACAGTAAACAAACCAGCCAACGTCACAAACAACCCCAAAACAATCAACATTGTTTGGAATGGTAAGGCCTCAGCACAGTCCTTTGCTGTATCTATTTTTTTGCAGTAAGGCCATGTTGATTTGATTATATGGATGACATGCGCGCGCGCATGAATTTCCGGCCGTTTCCAAAAAACAAAAAAATTTTCAACCATACTGTAAATCGTACAAAACAGTTGCAAAATGAGCAAAAATATACCGTAAGTTACAAAAAAACCATACCAATGTCGTAGAATGCCAAAATCAAACGAGAAAAGACGAAATTGTAAAGAAATGAACTTGAATACTAGATTATTCGCCAAACCATATTCTGTCCCATTTGTTCAACCCTCATGACCACGTAGATTTCATGATGAAACAACTTTTTTTTTTTGTCAAAACTTTTTTTTTATTCGCACGCGCGCATCAATTTTGGGGTTCCCGGAGGATGTCATCCATATAATCAAATCAACATGGCCTAAAGGGAAAAAGGGGAATGTTTTATTTTTAATCAGTTTGATGCTATGTGATGTGGTGTTGAGCATCAGTGAGTTGCCATGGTGACAGCTCACCTGTGAGACACCTAGACACACCTGTCCACCTGCGCACCTGTCTGCACCAAGCACAGTACAGGCAGGGCTTCATGGGGACATACAGACAACAGTATCATCTGTAGATAAAGGCAGCCATCTTTCATAGTGAGATTTGTGTTACATGTAGCTTTGAAGAAAGCTGTTTCAGGGTACACAGGCATTTACTGGCACTCAAAGCCATTCCAGGGCAGTTAAACTGGGTTTTTAGTCAATTTCCTGGTCCTTATCCCATAGCACACTGATATCGATGAGAAAAATGTGATGTCACTGACGGAAAACAGTTGCTTGTTTTGTATCATAGGCTGGTTCTAGTTATTTATTGGTGGTACTAAAATAGGGCCTGGGGTGGTACCAAACTAATGACTCCTCAGTACTTAGCTGTTTTTTTAGCTATTTTAAACACTTCAAGAATGTAATGACGATGAAAACCTTGTAAGAAATGGCAGTAAATGTCTTCCTCAGATTTCCTGATCCGGAATATTTTTTGTTTTGCCACCATAAATTGCATTGGGTGTCTTTAAATTTCAAGAGTTTGGTGATTGTCAATGCAACTATGGCCTTCTTGAGTATTGTGAAGCACCACCATTGGTGAAATATCAGTAACCCCCTAATGATAAACCCTACATGCTTTTCTTCTCCAGTGTTGAACCAGCTGGAGGAGCTGTTGAGTGACATGAAGGCAGATGTAAGCCGGCTCCCAGCCACCCTGTCACGCGTCCCTCCAGTCGCTGCCAGGCTGCAGATGTCTGAGAGGAGCATCCTAAGCCGCCTTGCGACCCGGACTGACCAACAAGTAAGAATCCCTCCACTTTTCTTTACTTCAGTTAACTTGAAGTTTATAGACTGTGCAGAGTTCAATCCTTTTTTGTTGACTTCTGCTTATATCTTCAGCCTGCAAAGGTAATGTTCTGGCTCCTTTTTCTGCATCCATGCTTGTTCTAACAATAGTTGAATTTTCCCGTTTCTCCAGGGCCAGGCCACCCAGGGTGGACTGTACAACCCTGCCTCCCAGAACCCCTACACCAACTACCACACCCAGGGCTTCGGGCCGTTTGCCACCACCCTGAACCAGTACCGCCCGCAGCAGCAACAGTTCAGCTTCAGCCAGATGCCCACACACAGTAAGTAACCTTTCACCTCTGACCTGTAGGATAACCTTTCACCTCTGCACCTTGCCCTTTGCCTCCCCTTTGAACCAGTAGGACAGCAGTAGTTTTCTCTTCAACTATAGCCAGTGACCTTTCACCTGTATAACAATAACCTTTCACCTCTGACCTGTAGAACGGTATCCTTTAACCTCTACGCCCTACCACCTCCCTGGAACAGTATTGAACCTTTAACCCCTGTCTTGTATCATCTTGGGTAAGGAAACTTCAATGATATTCTGCAATTTGAGATAAAACAATCAGTGTAACCAGACCTGGCCAATAAACACCCTGGTTGTATAAGACATTTTCCCAGATGTTTTTGCCTAAACTTGTACCAACCCAAGAAATAAACGGCTGTATGACAGTGTGTTTTCATTGGTCTGAATTTTCTTTTTAGCCAACCCATCAGTCATGAAAAACAGGCATTAATGCATGGGCCTCAATGAATGAAACCTTAACCGTCCCTGCACTTCTATCCCAGCTCCATCCGTGCAGCAGTTCCCCAGTGGTATCCAGGTACCGGCCTCCGGCCCGCGCCCCGGCCAGCAGCACCTGACCATGAACCGGTCCCAGCCGACCAGCTCTCCCCTGGGCTCACAACCGCCCTCCACGTCCGGCAACTACTACAGCACCATGCTGAACAACGCATCCAGCGCCATCTCCAACCCCAGTATGTCTTCTTTGTCCTCTCTGCCTCCTAAATGCCGTAGCCAATAGAGAATCAGTAACCTAACAACTACTTCAGTAAATATAGAATACAGCACGGTGTACTGTGAATGACTTTGTCATACCTGGGCCGTGATTACGTTCGCTATGATATAGCTGGTTATCACACAGGCCAGAGCACCTGTACTGTATTAAATCTCGACCCAGGTATGACATAATGCTATGATATATTACTTGAAGTGAATTGTCTAGATCTACAAGATAGTTTTATCTTTGTTTTTCTGATTACCCCCTGTATAATATTCCTTCACCCAACAGGCTTGTTCTACTTGATGTATATGGAAGGCTGCAATGAATAGCAAGCATGGCCATATAGGAAATTACCACTTATTCTTGAGACAAAAATTGTATCTTGAATGAGTGTTCATCTATTTGTGTTTTAACACATTCGCTGGAAAACCAACTTACAAGAGGGCACTAGTAGACCCCTAGCCTAACCTTATTCTGCACTATTCTAACAGCTTAAGTTCTGCCTGTAGAAAACTGGTCATTCCTTATTAACCTGCTACTCATCTCTGAACTGCGATCTGACCAATCTGAGCTCTACTATCTGTTCTTAACTGGATGTGAAACGGACAAACCTTTCTGCTAGTTGTACAGTGAGCAAATCAGCTCAGAGTCTGAAATTAGGTTTCTCTGCAAAAATGTCAGAAAAAACATGCATAGATATGAATTTAGAGTAAACAAATATTTTAAAAAGATTGAAATTAGGGTTTTAAAGAACTTGAAAGGATTTAAAACTACGAAGTATGGTTTCAAATTGACAACTAGGTTGTCATTGAGACTACCAGGAACTTGATGCAAAGATGCATTTCAAGCTGAATTTCATGATTTTTCATCTAATCATGGTACAGTTCAGATGAAATTCTGACATGTTGGTGATCAGATATAATCCACAGGTAGCCTGAATTTTCAGTGTTCAAAATGGAGTACCAGTAGAAAAGGTTCCCCAATCTCTTGTCTGTTTCTCTCCCTGTCTCCCTCCCTCCTTCCCTCCCTCACTCACGCTAACTCTTCTCCCCTCCTCTCCTTTCAGTCGGGATCGGTGGGTCGGAGCTGGGCTACGGGCCGCCCCCGCCTCCGCACCTATCCCAGAACTCCCTGTCGGGGTTATTCGGGAGCCGCCCCTCGGCCATGGGTCTGCTGGGCGACCCGAGTTTCGTGCATGGGTTGGGAGGTATGCTCTCCCTCCAAATCACATCTAGGTGTCGTGCCGTCCCCGGCTTCGTTGTTTTGGTGAACGTGGCTTTCTTTGTTTGTGACGCAGCCCGCTTTCTCAAGAAACGAAAAATGACATCCAACTGCAAAAAATACCGTCATTTGCAAAAATGCCCCCATCCAACCCCCCCCCTCCCTGCTGCCATGTGCCGTGTTGGTTGTGACGTATTTTCCATACACCGGCTGGCTTGCTGAAACGTTACATGTATGCAGGTTGCCCTTCGATCTCAAAAGAAACATTTCCCCCAACCCCACCCCACCTTTCCTCTGTGGTGCCAACCATGGCAAAGGTCATGGGTCATAAGTCATAGGCCATCACTTATCCATCGTCTTCCAGGCCGTTTCCATGCCTTTATACCACCCTACAGGTTACTGTGACGTTCACACCATAACTGCCTTTTCAGAAATTTTCCACAAAACTTTTGCCATTCATGTCATTGTGAAGAAATGATGTGACACCACCACAAACTTTTTATTTGAAGCATCATTATCATTAATATCAAAATGTTGTTTACATCCCCCTTTGTTACCATGAGGTACTGGAGACTGAAGCACCATCATGTCCTTACCAGACCTTCATCTACAGGACTTTGTCTGCATAACGTACTGCGCCTGCCTGAAACCTAAAATGTATTGCACATAGCACATCGGCAAACTGTCTTGTTTAAGGCCGTTCAAGGATGACATCCATCTATATTTTTCAAATGTTGTGTTGGAAAAAATATAATCTACCACAGGCAAAGTTTGATACAGTACGTATTGACCAAGCATCCAACGAAAACCATGAAATATCTGGGTTTCGTGCAAGCGTACTTCGTTCTGAAGACATACTGGACTTCACTAACCTTCTACCCTCTCCTCTTGCATTTCCCGTGTATTAGGCCACACCAATTATTTTTCTTGTGTCTTAGACATTTCGGACTGAACATTTAGCAACAGGCAGATGTTAACAGGGGCTTGAGATGAAAATTTTACTCCCAAAAACTGTTTCTGACTTTAGTCTCACACTTAATGTGGATAATGTTTAAAATGTAGCCTTTTTTTAAATCCAAGAACAAATAAAATTGGTGTGGCCTAAGCATACTATTCTGAATCCCATATGCTGGACCTCTGCAAGCTATCACAATGCTCATATCCATACAGGCTTTTCATAAGACTTTATTTCTGCCATGTTGGAGTAAAAGTCTGTTATACACACCAACATGCTTCTGCTGTACTCCAACATGGCCGCCCAGAGATTCAAATATTATTTGAATCATTATAACATCAATGAAAAGCCTCTATAGTGCCATTATCCTTTTCATCCAGCTATTCTCTGAGTATTGCCTATGATTTTGCTAACCTTCGGCATTTTGTGAGTGCACCATATAATATCATCATTATTGGCAGTATATAACCATGTTATATGATGTTACAGTGTATATAGTGGTACTTGAATGTACAGGCTAGTCCAGTCATTTAACATTCCAGGGGTAGCTTGGATCTTGGTGATCTGTGGTTGGCTTTCCTTACACAATTCCTCTAGCATGCCAACACCAGTAACCCTCAGGCACTGGAATTCTAATGCACTGGACAGCCTCCGGTGCACAGACTTGTGTATAGCTGCCTACTGTGCTGCTTTGCTAGTGCCTGTTGCTGCTTGTAACCTTTGGAAGTTGATGCTGCTTCAGCTAGCACTAAACGCTTGCTTTTGGACCTGTCTGCTGCCATACTGTGAGATTTCAGTAGTAGACCTTGTATCATATTATGTCTTCAAGTTAGAAATTTAGATACAAGTGCGTATATATGTACAGTCCTAAAATTAATCATACATGTAACCTGGGCCATAACAATTTATTTCATGTATTTAAAAAGATCACTTTTGTTTTTAAGTTAACATGCCTTTGACTTTTTCAGTTTCATATCCTAAAATGTAAAACTTTGAGGCTAATCACAGCAACCCACATGTGGAAACTTAGACAAACTAACATTTTTAACCCCCCAGTATGAAATAGTACAGTCTTAAGCATATGCTTAATAGTATATTGTGCTTTTATTTTGGATTGTTCACTTTAGTATAGGGGTGTGATCTGTTGTTTTCCTCTGTAAATAGAAACTATGAAATATTCTCTTTGTTCTCCCTACCCAAGATCCCTCTTTCCTATCTTAACAGAGTCGTCGGGGGCAACGGGCGCCTCGGCAACGGTCGTCCCAGACACGTCGAAATCCGACACCGCGAAAGGCGAGAAGGGAACCAAAGGGGAGGTCATTTGCATAGACGATTGAGCCAAGCGGGCGAATGACCTATCCTGGGGTCCTCAACACATCGGCAGGTCCAAAGACATCCACCAGACTACATCACCACTCACCAAAAATCTAAGACAGAAGCAAAAAAAAAAGAAAAGACATGCTAGAAAATTTCTTGGGTAGGAATGAAGGAAGCTCAAGTAAGATGTTTAAGATCTCATGCTTTCTTCAAAACACCACCACCACTCACCAAAAACTTCTTTAACACAAGTATGAAATTGAAGAAAAAGTGTTCAAAATTCTTGGGCAGCACGAAAGAAAACCCAAGTAGATGTCATATGTTGTAACGGTAGCTTGTGTAATACTTGACTGTGCAACGTGGTGTAAGGGAGTGCATCACCCTCTTTTGTACATGTAACATTGGAGTCATAACTGTAATGTGTCTAACGCAATGTAGTGTCGTATTCTGGTAACTTCAACGAGTACGAGTCTAACTCGACAACCGTAACGGAGACTTAAATTCTGCTACCTTTTCAGCAAGCAGTCGGATCCACCCACGAGGTGTGGCCAAAAACGTTGCTCAAAGAAGGTATTCAAGAACTGCCAATGTTTTGGTCAAGGTGCCATAAGACATTTGTGCATGACTGTGTGTCTTACAAGCTTCTTAAATGTCACTGTCTTAAACTTTTCTTTCAGTAGAACACTTAAGGCTTTATGTAAGAAATATTAGTTACTTACTAAATGTAGCGATGTTAGAAAGAGTGGGCAAAAGTGTGAAATATATTAACTTTGTAACGTGATTCTGTAGGGTTAATCTATGATATTATTATTATTAACATTCGTGTAGCATTTTGTTTGTACCCTTGTTACGAAGGTCGACATTCCACTGGAAGTTGTTTCACATGCAATGTAAGTCATAAAATGATGGTTTTAATAAAACCAGGAAAAAACACATCCCTGGCTTCTTTTCCTGTGTATTTCAGTGTGATAGATACATTTTGTAGTAGACTGATATTAGTGCCTATCCCATTCAGCAAAGGCCAGTAGTTGGATGTTACACGTACAACCAAGAACAACAGTTGGTAATGTTAACGGTTAGTTAACCAATATCTAAAACTGTAGTTGCTTTCCTCAAAGGTGAAATTATCAAGGGAACAAGAGCACTTGTTAAGACATTTCTTTATTGAGGATCACATCATGACAAACCTTCAAATTGTCTTACCAGAGCAAAACATTTCAGACAAGCCTTAGTTACACACCATCCTTCACGTTCATGTTAAAACTATGTCTATGACACAGGCATGTACAATTGTACTCGTCACCTTTCACAATCTAAAACAACATCTTCCCTTCACTCTTAGGCACTAAATTTCAGACAAAACTTCATCTTAGCAGTTTAGAATGCAATGTACTAGTACTTATGATATGCTAGAAATACTGGTCACTGGAAGACATGTAAGACATAGTTTGTGACGATGAAGATTTAGACATCCAGGTAAAACATTATGTAATACAAAGTAAATCAAGCAACTGGCCAAATTTTCTGAAAAATCGGATGTTTCAGAAAGCATCCTACCTTTTATCAGTGACCGAGAATGTTTTCTTTGCTTTGCTTTGTATTATGTCACACTATACTCGACTATTAGTCTTGCGAGCGTGGTTATCCAACCCCAGACATGCAAAGCTATTACATGTATGTCAATTAATTTGTCACTTTTGTATTAAACTAATTTGTCACTTCTTACAGTATGTTACATAATATGAAAGTTCTTACAGAAATACCGGTAAGCAAGACAACCTAAGGCTTGCGAAAAGAGATTAAGATCAGGAATTGAATAAGATTATACATGAAATTACGAATGATATACCACAGTTGACAAATATACAATCATACAATCTTGAAAACCCAACCTCTCCAATCCACAGGATTGACACACCCAGCATAAAGTCATTAAAAAGTCCGAAGCAAAACCATGTTTCAGTTGACTTAGGTCTTTAGTAAACATCTACTAATCTACGACAAGATTCTGTGATAACTCATTCTGCACTACAAAGCTTTACAGTGACAGAATTTACTCAGTCCAAACTTTACCATGAAAAGTCTCAAGCAAAAGCAAACATCTGGTACATGTAGAAGAGATTCAGATATGTGTGATTCTGCAATAAAAAACCTTTACTTACCCCAAGCATTGCCTTCAAGCATCTGGCTTAAATTAAGATACCTTTAACATACAATAAATTCTAAAAGTGGGTACAATCGACACCATTCAAATTTGACCAGATCGTCATTTTGTACATGTGTCAGGAAGAGTTGTAGTTACATTTTCCCCTACTTTTTCTGCTTCTTGTCAACTGGAGTTTGCTTTATGTATTTTAAAAATATCAAGGTAAACATCCTTCCCCACATTTTACAACAGGCATGACACTTGGCTTCAAAGATAAACACATGTATGCGACGTCACACAGTTTGCTACATGGCTCAGGCCTGCATGTTGCCGTATTTCCAGTCTGCGAGGGGCACGTGGGATTCCTTAATGGACTGTGGGGAACAGAACTTCAACACATAGTGGGGGCCGCCTGCCTTGTCATTTGTGCCTGGAATATTAAAAGAAAACATTAAGTCACACAAAAATTTTGTTCCAAGATAGAAAGGCATGTAACAATTTCCTCAAAGAACTGAGACTGTGTTCCAATCTATTGCATGCACAGCAAGAACAAGTCCTAGAAAAATGAATGAAAATAAAAACATAATTATGATGGAGCACAGAAACAATTTGAAAAGAACACCTGTCCAGCAGTAGTAAAATGTCACAAGTTGCAATTTCAGATACCCCCTCTTTGCAAAAAGTCACTTGTCATTTGAAACTTTAGAAGTAGGGGTAAAAAAAGCATCAGACTGTATTCTAATTTGTAACCAGGTACTAAAACTCCTGAAAAACTGGTACTGAGATTTGACTAATACTAGTAGCCTGGCACCCCGGGCCAGAAAAGGCAGATATTTGTAACTAGAACTCACCCGATAGCCTGGCTCCACCAAAAGGCTGCTGCATGACCACTGAGCCTGTGGACTTGTCATTGATGTAGAAATTCCCAGCAGACATCTTTAAGATCTCGTGGGCCTCCTTCACAACATTTCTGAAAATTACGCAGGAGAAGAAGAACATCAGGGATCCAATTGTTATAAATACCTTATGTGTGTAATATGAAATAATGATAAAAACTATCTGAATGAGGGAAAGACTAGCAAGGTTGGGTAGGAGGGGACACACGTGTGAGTATACAAGCTTGCTAAATTTTAAAATGCCCCGAAGGAATAGTTACACTAAGTTTCATTTTAGCTTAAAATTTGAATTTCCAATCTACTATTACTAGTACTGTACTACAGAATTGTTTCAATTGCAAAATTCAAAATGCTGACAAAAACTCCTTACCACAAAATCATGTCCTCATGAAAATGAATTTACAGTATACCAATCTTATGGCAGCACAAATTCAAAACAACCAAGCCTGACCAATCAGAAGTGTGTTTGATCCAGCTTGATCAATCAGACCAGTGTTTGTTTGACCGAGCTTAACCAATCAGAAGTGTGTGCTTGACCAAGGTTGGCCAATCAGAGTGTGTGTTTGCTCAAGCCTGACCAATCAGTTTTGTTAATACTCATGCCCGTTACAGGGGGTTCGGCAGAACCCCCCACAAGGCTCAGAGGTCCACTTTTTGGTCCACTTTTTATGTAAAGGTCCAAGATTTTTCTTGAAAAGATGGACTGGAATCGTAGATAAACTGCTCCCTTTGTCATTGAATAAAAATTATCTCTGATTTTTTCTTGGAAATCCTCTCAAAAACGCACGAAATGTCATTTTACAAGGTTCACTTTTCAAAATTTTCCAGGGGAGCATGCCCTCGGACCGCCTAGGAACCTCGCGCCAAAGGCGCTCGAGGGGAAGAACCCCCCATTCAAAATCCTGGCTACGGGCATGATACTTACACATCCTTGGCAAAGACAGCTCCTGTCAGACCAAACGGAGACGTCTCATTCACCATCTCCAACACTTCCCTGTACTTCTCATCAGGGTAGGGGTAAACCGTCAGGACTGGGCCAAAGATTTCCTGTCACGTAAACACAGGTACAACAATGAGTAAACTTTACTGTATAACAACTGAATGGGGGACAGTGCATGGTATCTACTGCTATATCGTATACCGGTATATCAACATGCCAAGAGACTAATCCACCTTGGAAAAGAAATGTAGTATGGAATGAGAATGACTGTGGTTTTACAATTATAGGGGTATAAACTAGCAGGACTGGGCCAAAGATTTCCTATGTAAAGGAAAATATTGAAATTCATTAAAAAGGACATAGTAAAACTACTCTGAGACTCATAGCAATCATTGGCAGTCCTACATGTATACATCAATTAGGTATTTACTGCAAAGAGCTAAGATAGAATACACAGTAGTCATATATATATGTATGTAGCTGTTCCTCTGCAATTTGTTTACACTCAATTTAGCAGACTGTGAATATTGAGACAGTCATTTGCCTAAAGAAATTATAATGAAAATTTTGGAATTTTTCCCATACCCGTACCTCAGACTTGTATTGTTACTAGACTGGCTCTGTCTTGTAGCAGCAAAATAATACACACTGTACAAATAGCAAAACTACTAAGTAACTGTAACTTATGAAAACAGATGTTAATTTAACACACCTCCTGCATGATCTTCTCCCTGGGGTCAGAGGTTTCGATGATGGTGGGCTCCACAAAGTACCCTCGGCTGTCATCACAGTTGCCCCCGGCGATGACATTGAGATTGGGAGACGACCTTGCATGGTCCAACCAGTTCTTGATGCGTCCGAAGGACTAGAGGGGGGGGGCAGAGAAAAGAGAAACAAGGGTTACCAGTTGAGTAGTTTGTTAGAGGAATATAATAATGGTATTCTTTTGTTCTAAGCATCATTGGATTTTCCTCCTATGTAGAAAGTGTGGATTTCGGTTGGGAAGACTGGACCTTTTCCCTTGAAGAGCAATCTTTATCTGTATTGGTATAGCTCGTATAACTGCCCTTCAGCGTAACACACCAGCTTCGCGGCACGGTGGCAGCTGGCTACATTACACCTTACGACTTGTTACACTTAACCCTTGAACATCTAACTCTAAACATTATTTAAAGCTATCTAATGACAATGCCCCTACTGTACTTGGTGACAGTGAGTTCCACTCTGCGAGGCACACCTAAGGTATAGGACTTTCTTACCTTGTCATCGATGACTGCAGAAATGAATGTGGTGAAATCATCAGCCTGAAAATGGCAACATATGAAAGGGATTATTAAAAAGACTAGGTTCATAACAGTCTGACTATCATTGTGCAGGCTGACATTAAGTATCATCTTTATTTTTACCAATAATCATTATTATAGAGTCATAACTAAAAGTTACTCCCCCTAGCTTGCCAAATATGTACTGCAATACTTAGTCTAACTATCATAGGATGCTACAATGACATTTCCTATATTACAAGAATGACAACATTTCAAGATAGAAAATCTCCAAGGTTTCTTACATCTCCCATCTTGACCTCCTTGACCCTGCTGAGGAGTTCATCTTTAAGTTTTGGCCACATGGAGGTTGGCACGTACATCCTCGAGCAGGCTGAACACTTCTGTCCGCCGTACTCAAACGCTGACCTGATGGTGCCGTTCGCTACGCTTTCTGTAAAAAAAGATTGCAATAATTCTCAATTTTGCTCAATGTCATGTACATTGTACATTCTCTCAGTCTGTCATATTCAGGTTTGCACATGCACTTATGAACATGCTAAACTCTCCCTGTACTCAAATACCAAATCTGTACACTACTTACACTTTTTCACAAAAATACAAATTTACAGTCAATTTCTTACCTTCCTCATTTTCCCACATTTAGGTTGGGACATAAACCTATCACATCTGTAACAATTTGCATGTCTGTCCTTGGTATTGAAATGCTAATCAGATACCATAATTTGCTATACTTTTAATATAGAGTTAACAAAAACAATTCTTATGTCTGTCCTAGGTACTGAAATGCTGATCAGATGCTGTTACTTGCTACACTTTAATAGTAAACATTTGTAACAACTCTCATGTCTGTCCCTGGTACTGAAATACTGATCAGATGCTGTTACTTGCTACACTTCTGTAGTAAACATTTGTAACAACTCTCATGCCTGTCATTGGTACTGAAATACTGATCAGATGCTGTTACTTGCTACACTTCTGTAGTAAACATTTGTAACAACTCTCATGCCTGTCATTGGTACTGAAATACTGATCAGATGCTGTTACTTGCTACACTTCTGTAGTAAATATTTGTAACAATTCTCATGTCTGTCCTTGGTACTGAAATGCTGATCAGATGCTGTTACTTGCTACACTTCTATAGTAAACATTTGTAACAATTCTCATGCCTGTCCTTGGTACTGAAATACTGATCAGATGGTGCAATTTTCTACAGTCTCTGCTTAAACTAAATGACATTTTTGCTACATTACTACTTAAATTGTTACATGTATGTACATCCTCCTTACCCATGTCTGCAGAGCTGTGCACAAAGTGGTAGTTCTTCCCTCCACACTCTGAAAGACATCAGAAGGTTAATTCTTAAATTTTTCTTTACCAATTTCTTTCATGATTACATAACACAACTTCACCCTATAAAAGTTGATGGAACCCAGGAACCCAGTATATACAGAAAGAAGACATGTTACATTCACTGTGGTTGAGCCAGTGAAGAACGATATTAAATAGTACAAATAAGACCAATTTTGTCAAAACAAAGTCTGAGTGAACAGAAATAAATATGACATAAAGCTCACCTCCCACCAACCTCGGGAAGGTCCTGTACAGCCCCAGGTTTTGTCCCACCTGCCTCCACAGGTGTTGGAATGTCCTACAGGTAGAAAAAAAGTTTTTAACTCTTGCATCAAACTGGGTAAAGAATTCACAACCATAATTTGGATATGCTTCTGACTGAGATATAGTACTAGTATACAGTTTTTCTTAAACATATAGATTACAAAAATTCACAAAAATTCTAATATAAAAAAATACTTGTTATGAGTTGATAAAGAAAGACATTTGCATAGAACAATGCACATTATAAAGTAAATCAAGCAACGGGATAACTTCTCTGTAAGTGTAAAGTCGTGTACTTCTTACGCATTAGCCTATAGATTTCACAAGTTCTCAGACTGTCAAAGTTAAACGTTTCCTTAATTTGTGTGTCTTTTAGAACTTCTTCATGAGGAAGAGATTAACTTACTGCGCACTCACAGTGAAGTTTTCATATTTGTGTCTCTTCGATATCAGACTGTATAAAAGTCAATTCAATTTTAACTTTCCCTTAATTCCTAGGTGTCTTAAAAGTATCTTGTAGTTTAAGACATCTTACTGGACACTCCCTGTGAAGTTGATGGCTGCTAGGTGGGGAGAGGATGTAATGGTGTCTCCAAACGTGGGGCCGTCTGCAGGCACGAAGTTGATGACCCCCTCAGGCAGCCCTGCCTCCCGCATGATGTTGTAGGCAATCCAGGAGGACAGCATGGCCGTGTCACTGGGCTTCCACAGCACTACATTACCCTGGGACAGAGAGAGGTGGGGTTTGAATTGACCAATAGCAATGCAGGACTCTGGGACAGAGGTTGGATGCCAGTATGGCTGTGTCACTGGGCTTCCACAGCACTACATTACCCTGGGAGGGAGAGAGGTGGGGTTTCAATTGACCAATAGCAATGCAGTACTCTGGGACAAAGATTCAAGCAAAGCTAGCGCTCTGGGACAGATAATTGATGCCAGCATGGCCATGTCACTGGGCTTCCACAGCACTACATTACCCTGGGAGGGAGAGAGGTGGGGTTTGAATTGATGGGGAAAGCATAATTTGAGACAGACTGCTGGTGACAGTAAGGCTTCCACAGCACCACCTTACCCTGGGAAGGAGAGGAGAGGAGTAGAGTTTAAAATTGACCGGTAGAGTTTTAAATTGACCAACAGCAATGCATGATGCTCTGGGATGGAGAGGAATGGAGAAGTTGAACTGGCCAATAGCAATGCATGACTCTGGGACTGAGAGTGGATGACAGTATGGCTGTATCAAACAGCACCACATTACCCTGGGCTAAACAGAGGTGGTACAGTTGGAAGCGACCAATAGTAAAGCACAATCCTACATGACAGAAAGGGGTAGAGTTTGACCTGACCATCAGGGTGCTTGTATATGCTGTAAAAACACTTGCAGAAAACAGAAATAAAAGTATTCCACTATATCGAATTCATATAGCCTACCACATGTTAAAAACATGCCAAGACATGTATTAATGTGTCAAGACATATTTATTTTTCCCACACGGCCAACACATGTACAGTGTGCATGGTTTCCATGGTTCATACCTCATTGTCACATGCTGAGAACTGTGAACAAAGGACATGTAAACATCAGCTGTACATACCTGTAAACATTGTGTCGCGCAAGTGACATTTTGAATTCTATCCCCAGGCAGGAACTGACTCAACCATGCAAAACAGCACTGACACATAGGCACATGACTACATGGAAAGTCCCAGGAGCTAAGCACAGGAAAAGTGCTGACTCAGTCTGTGGGGAAACCCACAAGTTTCACTAGTATAGGAAGGAACACAGATCCGATCTCTGCAGACCAATACTATTGCCAGTACAGCAACAAGAAAAGGGAAATTTCTACAGAGGAAAAGTCCAGAACTCTGACTGGTATAGGTGGTAAACACGGTCAATTATCTACAGAGGAAAACCCCTATACCTCTCAACAGTAAAGAGACTTTGAGAAAGAGGCAAGTCTTTACCCAGAGAGCTTCTGAATCACAGATATGGACTGTCCAGGTAAGATTAAGACAAATCTGTCCATGCAATTTCAATTTTTATGTCTATCTTGTCACCCAATGACCAGGTCAGGTCAAGGGACTATGTATTAGGAACTACTTCTCAGTTGGAGGTGAAGAATTTTGAAAATAAATCCGTGTATTATGTCAGTATTCATGAGACACCCCTCAGAATGTTTGAGGAAGTTAATACTATGTGCAAATCTTATCACAAAGAGGAAGCTTGGGCCACACCAATTTAATTTGTTGCTTCTCGGATTTTTTCAGAAAAAATATGAAGCGACAGGGCGAAAAAAAAAACAGGTCTAGGCATCCTATTGCTACAAAATGGGCCATGAAGTCAACACAAAAGGCTGGGTTAAAATTTGAATTTTGAACTTTTAATCAAACCACTGCAATGATACATGGGAAAACTGTAACAACTAGGAAGAAAAGGACTTTCCTCAACTGTTGGGGGGCAAAACATGAGCATTTTTCGGTTGATTCAGGACCAGAATCAAATTTTTTTTTTTTTTTGCAAATCAGAAAAAAATGAAGAGGTGAATCCGAGAACCAACAAATTAAATTGGTGTGGCCTTGGCAACATATTTTAAGGGATTTAAAGTCTTTGTCAAACAAAAGGTGGTTTGATTTAGAAAACTAGCCCCTTGCTTAGTTACTGGCAAGCTTGATTTGTATCTTGCCCAACTACATGCTATTTAGTAACTTTAAATTTCTTTCACAAATTATCAGACTACAGCAATGACAAAACATTCATATCTGAGTTAACAGTACTGTTTCAATTTAGTATGCACACAGTACTTTGTGAAAACACCCCAAACCTTTAAAGGCATGTAACTGTAATCACTCCATGCTACCAGGTCTAAACCTTGAGTCCTTACTTTTGCAGTTTTATCCTTCCAGTTTGTAAAATATGAGAGAATTACAAAAAAATATTCAACGCTCACCTAGAAGCCTAGCCTATACATGTACATTTTAATTTAATTCAGTAAAATAAAAAAGTCTCATAGAATAGTCCACAATCAATTATTACACATTGTAAAAACCATGTACTAAAGCAACTGATTTTTTTGCGTTTAAGCAAACACACTCTTTTGTATTGAGATGACATAATGTTGTATTTGAGATAATATTAATGTATACCTACTGTGTACTTATTTTCATTCAATAAACATAATGATATGTTACTCAATCTGCATAATAACTGATTCTTCTTTTTTTGCAGAATCTATGTTATGGCTTTAATCATTTGGATGGTATTAAAAAAATAACTGACAGACGAGCCTGGCAAACAGACAGTCATCAAAATGGTCAACCTGGCAAAGAAGTTACAGCATTTTCAGTTGTGTGTCAATAGTACTACTAGTCAAGACGACCAAGAAGTTGTTTTTGTGCATGCACTTAGAGAGGCCATAGTTTGCATGGATAATATCTTGGAGGTAGAAGTCCTGAAAAGTCATGGAGACCTGCATCTTCAGAAAGGCAAGCTCAGTAAAGATTCAGCAGAGTTTGACAAGGCTGCTGCCCTGTATGCTACAGCCCTCATGTACTGCACAGATCCAGACATGGAGCAAATGCTTGAAGATGAATTTGAACACTCAAAACTCTGCAGACATTTACTGCCAGAGGAGCACACTCCATGGGACTCCTTGGGTACTGTTGAAAGTAATGTCTTAAGGGTAGCAGAAATTTGTGACAAATTGGACAGGGCAGATGAAAAATCCATTGAACGGAGTTATACAGAAATGTTGGTGTCTGCTATTGCAACAGAGAATGTGGCCTTGGAGCTTGAGGTCTTAAAATCACTTGGAGATTTGTACTTGGAGAAAGGCAAGAAAACTTCAGATGTAACCCAGTTCTCCAAGGCATCGACCATGTACAGCAAGGCCCTGGCAAAATGTGGGGATCCTGAGACAAATCTGACTCTGGAACACCGTGTCTTGTACATGGTAAAGATCTGGGGAGCAGTGAGAAGGGTAAGTTTCAGCAATATTGCAACTTATAAATGAGTCTTTACAGAGGTGTAATGGAAACTCAGTGCAGCAATTGCCATGATCTAACCAAATTATCTGGTCCTGAGTTATAACCTGGTGATCCATAAGACATCCTGGTATGTACACATTGTGCAATTTGGGCATACCTCAGATATGTGCTGGTTTTAATCTTACAGAAATCATCAGAAAATAAATCCAGAATGAGAGCAAAAAGAGTGCACACGGGGCACAAGTCAAGAAACAACACAAGAACTGATGTTATAAACAACCAGCCTCTCCATCCAAGCAAATCAAGGTAGGAAGAAGATCCACAAAGATAACAAAAATAAAAGATAACTGAGTAACTCTTTAAGCGTTGGTTAATGATAATGATGAATTTAATAAAGCTTTTGTATATTGCAATAAACTCAATTATCAAAAAAACACAACAGAGCCATGGCCAGGAATATTGTAATAAGCAAGAAAAAAAAAAACAGACAGAAAAAAGTCCTAAAATTGTCTACTATCCATAATGTATACATGTATATGAGCACTGTATACTAGTATGTGATTGAACTCATCTTTGCTCTTATGTCAGGTTCATAATGTTCATGTGCCATGTCCATACCAGTCCCCATGCAATAACCATTATACCAGCCTTTCTTTTCTCAGTCAGTACAAGAACAACCTTGAGAAAGGCGACTCCTTCCTTTCCAGAGCAGACCTGGACTTAGCAGAGCAGCACTTCGCAGCTGCACTCAAGATGGTACATGAAAGAGGTAAGTGCTAAAAACAGGTTAAAGCTTTATAGAAACATTATATTATCCATGACAAACAAACATGACAGTAACAAAGCCAAAGTTGTGTATTACGGACTTACTGGGTATCAGAAAATTTCCCTTTTGTGAAAAACAATTAAAAAAAAAGTAAAAACATGATAATTATGTGATTTCTCGGAATGTAAGGCTAAGATCAGCAAGCATTTAAAATCTCAACAAAATAGTGAGTTTATAATTAGTTACATCATGTATGATATAAAGTTGTAGAGGTCAACATTAATTTTTCTTTTTCTGCCAGATCCCACAGCCCAGCAGTACCAAAGAGAGGTGGAGCCCCTGTGCAAGTTGGGGGATGTCTACAGTAAGCGAGGTCAGCAGACAGGAGACGGGGGAGACTTTGTCAAAGCGGCAGCACTCTACAATGCAGCAATAGCCAGGTCAGAGGATCAAGTCCTCAATGGTAATATAGCATTTGCAATGAAAGAAGTAGAGAGGTCATTCCTCAAATGTATATTAAGTATTCCTTGTAATATGAAACACGATTACACAGCAAAACACAAGAAACAGCTGAAAGAGATGCGGGCCCAGATCAAGCTGGAGATGGAAACCATTGACCAGCAGCTGGATCCGTATGTACATGATGAGGACGACCCATGTGTCAAACAAGTAGAGGCAAAACGAGCACAGGCCATTAGGCAGTTGTTTGAAAGAATTGCACAAGAAAGGAAGGACTTCATCAGCCTGCTTGTAGAAGAGTGTACTGGGTTAATGGGCCCCCCTCCCTGTAAGTATGCCCTGATGGGTTTGGGTTCACAGGCCACAGGACTGGTAACTCCATACTCAGACCTGGAGTTTGCCATCTTGGTAGAAGAAGAAAGTGAAAAATGCCTTCCATACTTCCGCAACTTAACTCACTATCTACACCTCAAAGTAGTCAACCTGGGTGAAACCATTCTCCCAGCATTGGGAATAAAATCCCTCAATGACTTCTACTCCAAGGATCCCCTTGACAACTGGTACTATGACTCTGTTACACCACGTGGGTTTGCATTTGACGGCTCCATGCCAAAGGCAAGCAAGACTCCACTGGGTATACAGCAAGGAACAAAGAACAAACCACGAACTGAACTCATCTGCACACCAGAAAATATGGTTTCGGTACTGCAAAATGATGCCACACTATACCTGAAGGAGGGATATCACCTTGCCACTATCTTGAGAAACCCATGCCTGATCGCAGGGGACCAGGATTTGATTGACAAGTACATGGCCATCATAGTGGAGATACTGCAAGTTGATGGGGGTAAGATGGCTGAGCAACTGGCAGAGGAGACACTGAAGGAAAATATCAAAGTTAAAAGCTACAGTAGTGATATTATGGAAACAACTACAGCAAGGATCGTAGATGCAAAGAAAGACCTCTATCGCTTCCCAGCTGTCGCAGTGGACTGCTTGGCACTGTCTTCAGGCATCATACCTACCACAGTCTGGAAGACGATAGAAGTAATGGAAAACCAACAAGTGATCAGTCCCAACAATGCACACCACATGACAGTGCTTACCAGCATCTCAGCAGAGCTTAGGCTCAGAACCTACATTGCAAATGGAGGACAGAAGGAAAACTTGTCAGCGTTGGCCTCAGTGGAAAGAACATCACATGGACATGAATCATACCCACTGAACAATGATGATATGCTAACAGGTGCACTGAAACCTGTTTTCTATCTTCCAAATGAAAAACAGCTTTTCAGATACTACTATTCAGCAGTGCCTCTTAAAAGAGTTCTAACCTTGTTGCTACTGTTACAAAAGAAAGAGGTTCTACACGCATATGGAGAATTATATAACAATTCTCCAAAAGAACGAGGTATAATGTACTCAGAGCTGTGCAAATATAGGCTGGCCATCAGTTGCTATAATGATGCCCTGGAGCAACATGAATGTTCTGACGAAGAGAAACTTCAGCTTTTTAGTTTTCTTGGATATGCATGGCACTGCCTAAGTGATTACCAAAGAGCAATCAGTTGCTATGAACAGATATTGCAGATTAGGTTGAGAATTGCTGATGACAGTACTGTAACAGTACATCCATCTGATATTGCAACCACACTCAGCAACCTGGGATTAGCCTGGGGAGATATTGGTGATAACAAGAAAGCAGTTAGCTACTTTGAACAGGCACTACAGGTGGAAAGGAGTATTCATGGTCAGAGTGCAGCACATCCCAATATAGCCACAATACTTAACAACCTAGGGGGAGCCTGGTACCAACTTGGCAATCATAGTACAGCAATCAACTACTTTGAACAGGCCCTGCATATTTACATGGATAAATATTGTCAGATAAGAGTGCATACCAACATTGCCACTGTACTCAACAACTTGGGTGGAGCTTGGAGCAGTTGTGGAGATCACAGAAAAGCTATCAGCTTCTATGAACAGGCACTGCATATGCGCAGAAGTTTCTATGGTCAGAGTACAGCACACCCTCACATTGCATTGTCACTCAACAACCTTGGGTCAGGTTGGCGCTATCTTGGTAATAATAGTAAAGCAATGGGCTACTTTGAATGGGCACTGCTGATAAATAGGAGTATCCATGGTCACAATACAGCACATATTGACATTGCTAGGACATTATACAACCTGGGGGAAATCTGGCTTTCTCTTCGTGATGACAGGAAAGCTATCAGCTACAATGAACAGGCACTGGAGATGTACAGAAGTATCTATGGTCAGGGTATAGCACATCATAACGTTTTTGCAGCACTCAACAATCTGGGGACAGCATTGGTAAACCTTGGTAATTACAAAAAAGCCATCAGCTACTATGAGCAGGCACTAGAGATGAGCAGGAGTCTCTTTGATCAGACTACACCAAACCCTGAGATTGCTAGCTCATTCAACAACCTGGGGAATGCCTTGTCTAAAGTAGGTGACTACAGGAAAGCAATCAGTCACTTTGAAGATGCACTGCAGATATTCAACAGTGTGTATGGTCAGAGTACTGCACACCATGAGATTGCAGCTACAAATGTACATGCAATAACTTGGGAGGAGCATTCCTGTTTCTTGGTGATCACAAAAAAGCAGTAAGTTACTGTGACCAGGCATTACACATGTACACCAGTATCTATGGTCAAGGTACGGCAAATTCTCATATTGCCACTGCACTTAACAACCTGGGAAGAGTTTGGCTCTCTCTTTGCAACTACAGAAAAGCATTCAACTACCTGAAACAGGCCCTGCAGATGTTTAGAAGAACCTATGGTGAGACAACTGACCATCCTGACATTGCCACCATACTTGACAACTTAGGTGATGCAAGGAGGGAGCTTGGTCATCACCGGGAAGCAGTCAGGTATCATGAACAGGCATTAAAGATGTACAGGAATATTTATGGTAAGAACAAGTCACATCAAGACATTGCCATCTCACTTAACCACCTGGGGGAAGTCTGGTGTACTCTAAGCAACTACAAAAAAGCCATAAGCTACTATGAGCAAGCATTACAGATGAATCAGAATATCTATGGTCAGGGCAAAGAACACCCTCACATTGCCGGTTCACTCAACAACATGGGGTCAGTATGGAGACATCTGGGTGATTACAAAAAGGCAATAAGCTACTTTGAACAGGCATTACAGATGCACAGGAGTATCTATGGTCAGACTTCAACACACCCTCAGATTGCTAAATCACTAAGCAACCTGGGAGAAGCCTTGGACTGTGCAGGTGATCACAGGAATGCTAATGTATTCCTGGAACAAGCACTGCAGATGCACAGTAGTATCTATGGTAAGGGTACAACACACCTTGACATTGCCCACTCACTCAACAACCTGGCAGGCAACCTTTACCACCTTGGTGATCACAAGACAGCAATCAGCTACTTTGAAAAGGCACTGAAAATGTACAGATGTATCTACAGTCAGAGTCCAGCACATCCTGTCATGGCTACCATACTTAGCAACCTAGGGGGAGTCTGTTGTGAACTGGGTGATCACATGAAGGCAAAAAGCTACCTCGAGGAGGCACTACAAATGGACAAGAGTATCTATGGTCAGAGCACAGCACATCCCAACATTGCCTGCTCACTGAACAACCTGGCAGACACTATTTACTGCATTGGTGATCACAGAACAGCAATCAGCTACTTTGAGCAGGCACTGAAGATGTACAGGACCATCTATGACAAGAGATGTCATCCTAACATTGCTAGTGTACTGTGCAACCTGGCAGAAGCTTGGTGTGAACTGGGTGATTACATGAAGGCTATCAGACACTATGAAGAAGCATTACAAATGCAGAAGAGCATGCAAGGTCAGAATACTGAACATTCCAATATTGCAAAAACACTCAATGGCCTTGGAGGAGCCTGGTGTGAACTGGGTGATTACAGAAATGCTATCAGCCACCATGAACAGGCACTGCAGATGTTCAAGGGTGTCTATGGCCAGAATACAGCACATTCCGATATTGCTGCCTCACTCAACCTCCTTGGGATGACCTGGGGTAATCTTGATGATCACATGAAAGCCATCAGGTACCATGAACAGGCACTTCAGATGTACAGGAGTGTCTATGGCCCAAATACACCACACCCTGACATTGCTGTTTCACTATACCTCATGGGCTTGACATGCGGGTTCATTGGTAATGACAGCCGAGCAATCAGTCTGTGCCAAGAAGCATTGGCTATGACAAGGCAGATTTATCCAGAGGACAAAACTCACCCAAACAGACTAGTAGCATCAATTGAAAGAACCCTTGCCGGAATGAGATCATGGAAACATAGTCTTAGATGAGAATCAGTCAATCTACAACCTACAGAAAAACTGAGCTGTAAACTTAGAACAGTTACTTTACAGATAAATGTAAAATAATCATCCTCACCATCATAGCAGGAGCCCCAGACAGGTTTCCTCCTATGGCTGTGAAGTTGAAGGGAGACACAGCAGCAACAAAACCCTGTAAAACAAATAATGATTTTTACAAACTGCAAATTCAACACCTGACCTTACAGGCTGAAATATGTTAATATTAGTAGGATTTTTTATATTTTTATTGATCTTCACAGGTTTAAAAAATCTGTGAGGAGCTAGTTTCTCTATGAGGCCGGCTCCTCGACAGAAATACATAGCACCGAAACCACTGTAACAATTATCTTGGAGCAAAACAAGTTTCCTTTCTTTCTAGTTCTCTACAAGTAAATGGGTTTACAATCTTAAATAAAATCAACAAAATTAACCTAATTAAGCTATTCTAAACAAGAATGAATAACTATTGACCAAAACCACCAGCCAAACCAATTCAAATCATTGGTTCTCTGCTTAAGAAAACAAGATGAAGGAGCATATCAATTTGAAAACATATGCATGTATCTAAAGGGAAAGTCTGTATCTTTGTACACTATACTTTAAGGTGTGAATATACTGGTAGTCAGACACTGTTTTCCTCTGTAGTTTCCCTCTCTTTTCATCTTGTCTGCTTGCTTAATTTTTTTTATAAGAGATGTGTCAGAACCAAGAAAATAAGGTTGTGTGGCATAACAAGGAAAGTTGCCCACCTCCAGTCCCCTGTATATAACAGAGTTGGTGACACCCTCAGTAGAGATCGGCTGTTGCTTCTGTAGGTCCAGAGAGTGTTTCGCGTTCCAGCGCCAGAAATCAATCAGTTCTGCTGCTGCATCAATCTCAGCTTGCTGGATGTTCTTACCCTAGGTATACAAATTCATCAATGAATAATTGACTGCACCTTTACTAACTTTATCGAGTCACACACTGCAAACCATAGAGTCTACAATTAAGAGAGGGGTTCAGAAGTCTGTTAGGCAAGCCTTGAATTCAAAACCCCTTACGTTTAATGATTTTACTCTGTATTCAAAACAAGTTGGGCACTAGAAAACTGCAAGCTACATAGAGGACTGGCACTGTATGTATGTAAATACAAGTCTATGTAATTATGATACAAGTCAGGTTTATTGCACAACAATTGCAACACATACAAATTAAGGCAAGATGTAAGACTACTTGTTAGTTACAATAATCTAGCACAATCTACATTTGTATGTACATTGTATATTATAAGTTGTGCACAGTGTAAGCAAGTTAAGACTACTGGCTAGTTACACTAATCTAGTAAATTCCAATGCTACATACATGTATGTATACAAATGTATACAGTTCTCATAGATGACACATGTCAAGAAGAACTTGTATGTCCTCAAACATGTAATACTATATAGAAACATGAAACATACTGGTAATATCATTTTTGGATAAGATTCAGATATTTGGTTTGGTTTGTACTGATGAAACTCACTATAGATGTATGTACTGTCAGGAGTGGTAAATAAAACAAATAAACCTATAACATCTAAGAACAGATAAGGATGGAAAAAAAACTCACCTGTCCAAGCATGGTGGCAGCCAGCATCTTGTACCTGTACTTCTCACTAAGGAGACGGGCAGCCTCCAAGAAAATGTCTGCCCTATATGTAAATGGAAGATGGTAGAAGACACTTTGTAAGAACTTGAGTGATTATGGGTGGTCTTGAAAAACTTGTTCCTCTAGACTGAGGTTCCAAATTAAATTCTAAGAACATTTCAATCTATCTAATACAACTTGTTATTAGTACTACCGGTATCTATGATTATGACCAACATATAGACAGAATATAAGTTTAAAATGTAAGAAATAGTGGATTGTCTTATTCCCAAAGCAATAAAAGAGAATGAGAACCTCTCTGCCATGGGTCTTTTCTCCCAGCCTGCTCTGATGGCCAAAGATCGATCAATGGCTAGCCTGATATGGTCCTACAAAACAACAAGGGGAACTTCAGAAGTGTTCTAGAGTAGTATTGTTGATATACGCAACACTTTCTACCAGGAATAATTTCATCAGGTTGGTGTAAGACTGAATAGCAAAGTTCTCACAATGACTTGTTCAACAAGAGCTGACGTTTTGATGACCGTCTGTCATCTTTATCTGGGCAATTACATGTACGAGTAGTTCACACAGTAAGTACTAACACCTCACTTCAGTGTACAGAGAACCAGTCAAAATTGCCCTGATGAAGATGACAGACCATCATCGAAACGTCAGCCTGTCTTTTAACAAGTGGTTGTGACGTAAGAACTTTGCTATACATGTACTATGCTCAAGTATCTATTCCATTGTTGTACCACATATTATGAATAAATAGCTACATTATACATTTGTAAGTAAGAAATCAAAGAAAAAACATGCCCTTATTGTATTTTATGTACTTTAATTTTCTTTCTGTCCCTTGTAGACTTTTTTATTTTGCAAACTTTACAGTGATCACAGTCCCTTTTACTCCGCCTGCATTCTGTCTGTATTCTAACAACAGCCCTAAGAGTGGAAGGTAGAGTTGTGTGTTGTACTTACCGCACTTGCATAGTGGAACTTGGCAAGTTTGTGCTGGTGATTGTGTGGCTGAAAAGGCAATGCAAATTGGCTGTTAGACAATATCTTACATCTACTTAATGTCCACTTGTTACCATTAATATTTGTAAAGCACTAAATGTAATGGAGATCTAAATAAAAGCAAACAGGCCAAATTTGTGTAGTATTTCAGACAAAAATCGGGAGTCAAAACAGTTTTAAGAAGCATAATATTTCAATCTAATAACACTGGTAAAACAGTACTTACTGAATGTCTTTTATTTATTGGGTTGCCTGGTGCACAACTACTGCAGAATGTGACCTTTTTTACTTCATTATAAAGATTCTTTATTGACACAACAAAAAAGTACAGAGACTTTTTTATGATCTTCTACAACTTAACTAAAGATCTAACAAAGCTAAATACATGTGTGGATAACATTATCTTACGTACAGAGTATATGTATGATGTAACAATAAAGGTTAACTATTCTCTAACATGTGTTCTCTAAGATCAAAACATTCTTTAATGTATTTTCCTATTTGAACAGTGTATTGGTTATCTCCCCTGAGAATGTAGTTGCATTTATCTATAGGATCTAACGTATTGAAATCAATTGAACAAGCGGAAAGAAAGGTGAACAGCAATAGGCGCTTATCATTGTAGAGTGTACAATCCATTAAATAAAATGGTGCTCATTTTCAATACTTACACAGACTTGATAGTGGATATCTCCAGTGAAGATCTCCTCTCCACCTATCACACACGGGATCTCTTCTGTCTTTGATCTCAGCTCTTTTAAAGCCTAGTCGTGGGCAAACCAATAATACATGTATAATATGTTTTTTTAGAACTCAAAATAGCATTTCAACAATGAATTCTGAACTTTTCATAGAATGAATGCATTGATAATGGGTTCAAACAAACAACTATATATATGAGAACTTTCTTCAACTGTTGGTGTCAAAATAGGAGTATAGTACACATGCATATACTTATTTCTTGCAAATCATAAAAACTGAAACAAATCTAAGAACTTACAAGTCACATTGGTTTGGACTTAAGACTCACCTCCTCAACTTTCTGGCGTTCTTCACTTCCCTTCAGGTAGTTCAAACATGGTTCATTCTCCACCTCTACTGTAGCAGCACTGGACAGGTGGCGAAACCTGAAGACACATGTAACAATAAGGGTTAGCATTGCAATTGGCAAATAAAACATTGCAACAATAAAAGGTCATTTTACAGTGCCAATGTACGTACAAATTTGACCAAGTAAGAACTATTGAAAAGGCACTATAGCTGCAATTGGTACATCTGACGCATGGTTTATCTTCTTAATCTTTTTCATACACACCTGCACTGGTGCAAGTAACATTGAAAATTAACATGAGTGCACCAGACAAATTTCTCCTGCACCACTTAAAATTTAGGAAGAATGGATCGTACTAAAACCCAGGAAAAAGCCCTCTTCATTTGATTCACATACTAGCAGGCAATGCCAGATATAAATACAATGTACAAAGCCTTAAGCTTGCTCAGACAGACAGTGCCCCTATTCTGTCACCTCCCACAGTTTTACCCATCAATATCTCTCACAACCGATTATCCAATTGCTTATTCATGCTACTGAAAAATGCTGAAAAAATTTGTTGACCACACAATTTTCAGCTATCATCAATATAGAAAAATTAACAATATGGTCTGCTTCTGTTCATGACCAAGAATATTTTACCAAACTTAATTCACCAAATCACTGCACTGCAGCCTCAGGCTGTGTTTGGGTTTGTTAATTACAATAGTTGTCTGCATTTAAGTAGGCAGACTTTACCTATCAGTATCACTATAAAAACCAAAGGCAGCTAAAGAACCCTACTAGTAAAATGCCCATGATCATATTCACAATTGGGGGGCGTGTCAGCTAAGCGATTTTGAGCACAAAGCACCCTTGACCTAGAAACACAGCACCTCTACATTGCGCTAATTTACGCTATTTCTAGGCTTTACAAGCATGCACAACAACCTGTAAGTATTCTACCACAGTAACACATTGTTCACTCACATATTGCAAGCTGGAAGGTTTGTGGGTTTGCCAGAAAAGACAAGAAAAGAAACCACAGTTCAGACAACACACTTGGATCAGCTCCCGAACAAGCCGGAAAGAACCAGTCACATGCAGTAACTCTGATTGGTGAACTCTGCACCCGGACTGTGCCATTAGATTCAGTAGGGAGAACAGACCAATTTAAGGACAGCCACCCTTTAGTGATAAATGATAGTGATTGAGTTAGTTAATCACTTCTGAACAGTGCAAATTAATATCAATCAAAATGGCCTGAAAGTGTTATCATACCTATTATAAATGAGCCCTTTAATGTCTTTGTATGAAATAAAAGGCAACTACAGGTGGCTATACAAAGAATTAGATTAATTTTGAACAATACTATATGTTATGTCTATTCATATAATTGTCCATTTCATAAAGAACTGTTGACTTATTTGGTCCGATTATACTTAAACTTTTGATATACATTCCTTTTTTACACTTGCACAATGTTGGCAGCAAAATTATTGCTGCAATTTGATACAACTGGTTGTGGTGTTAGAAACATTACTACTTGTTTTGCCAATAGTGGAGTGGACAACAGTCACAAACACAGCGATTCTGGCTTTCAACAACAAAACCTTGCTGACAAGCCACATTCCTTTCTGCTATCTGGTCTCCACAGAAACAAGAGTACAGGTAAACTGTAACACAGGTGTGTGGGGGGCGTGGTGCTAAACAAGCAAGCTGATTGGCAAATACTTCTGCAGCTTTCAAAACAAGATTGATCCTTGACCTGTAACAACGTGCTACAAGTCAGGCACTTAACTTGCATGGAACCCAATAATACCATGACAAAACTTAGCTAGTATTTGTTGATACATGTTAATTAACTTGCAATTGGCTCTTTCATAGCAAGATTTGAAATTACAAACACTTGCAAGTTTTGACTAATGCACAAACTGATATACCTCAACTTAAAGGCACTCTATGTAGTTTTTTGCGCAAAAAATTGAAATATTCTAATTATACTAAATTTCAGTGTTATTAGCAGTTACTATCACTTTTCAACACATTTGTGTCATTATTTCACATTTTTTTCGTATATTTTGTCCGTTCAAACAGTCCTTCTTCAGTTCCCGGTGCCACCGGTTTGCTCAGAACAACAACAACAACATACAGGGGTTGCCCCCTGGGGTGGCTAATTGGCCCGGGCATGCCAGGCTTGATAGACAGGGGCACATGTCACAAGATATACCCTCCTTAGAAAAAACTCATATCTTTCACATGAGGTGGAATATAATTATCAACTTAGAGTATTTTTGTTGTGCATGAATAAACTGTGGTCATTATCCCTTCAAAAGAGATAAAAAATCTGGTAAACGATTAGGTATTTCAGAAACTGGTAAGCTATCAACTGACACCCCACTGGGATGTAGGTCAAACCACTGGGAGTGGACCATATGTGTGGTTTGGCCAGAGGTTGAATAGAAGATCATTCACAGTTTTCTAAGCTTCTAAGGAGCAAGGATGTTGTATTTTTTGCTGTGGAGTATAATTTTGGAATACTAATGGGTTAAGCCAATGTACTATGTAAAGAAAAGAATAAAAAATATACTTTTTGTATTGTCAAAAAACTACATAGAGTGACTTTAAGGAATATTTAGTAATCAAAACAAAGTCCAGACATAAAAAATACTAGCATTCCCTAATTTTCATCCATCTGCGAATACAAAGTACAATAAAGCTATGCTATCATATCCTAAATAATTTTTTTCATGTATGCTTTGTTAAAAAAAGTTCAGAAAACTGTTACAATACAATAGGAGAAAATGTTCCACCAAACAGTTTTAAGTGTATCAAGTGCTTTTTAAGTACTGTAGTATAATGACTATGGAAATGTCATGAGGCCAAAATAGTTTCTCCATTCAAGCATGACCACTTAGCTATTAGATATCCTGGTTAGGAATAAATCATTTGGACTGTAGTACAGACGAGAATAAAGGCACATACATTATGATGTTCATGACTATGTACAATGTATGACCAGGTAGATTGGGAAATATCTCTGCAGATAAAAAATATTAAACCTAAATAATGATTTATATTGCAGTTACTTGCTTTGGTTGGTACAGAATAACAAACTTGACAGTAAATTCAGCACTTGTTGAATCTACATGTACTTTAATTTAGCATGAAAAGGCTGCAAGACCTGATCACCTCACGGTCCCATAGCAAGACCAGAAATAAATAAATAAATAACTGTATTACATTTGTTCATCATTGTTCTTTCTGGTTACTTGAATGTAATTCCCTAAAATGTGCTTTACACCTGCCAAAAAGAGCTATGATGGCGACACTGATATTTCTAAAACGTAGATTTGTCATAATGCAATGGTTGTCAGATTTTATTCATTCATGGTTGTCAGGTGACAGCATCTTTTTCCTAAGTATCCCCTGACAAGGCATGGCATTTGTGCTCAAGCTGTGGCACATTGCAAAGTTAACATCTGTTACCAGTGCATGGTAACATGCACTTTAATAATACATTGTACATAAATTTATATTCAGTGCTTCAGCCATATACATTGTATTGAGTCCATCCAGCTCCAAAATGTGCCTCACAGAACCCAAAATTGATCATTAATCTTAGAATTATAGACCTTACATATCTTTTCTTGCTAAGCCATCAATCTACAAGTCACACTGCAGTCATATGACAGAGCATAAATAGCATGTCAACATTCCAGTATGGCCTCAGGGGGGCTAGACAGCATGGCATCTGTCTTTCTGTCTTCATTACATGCACAGTTCAAACAATCCATCTTTCTGTCACTGTCTGAACTGACAGATAATGTGTGAAGCCAGCCAGTTAATTATTATATGGTTTATTGAAGTGTTAATACAGAGTTTTATTAATGACTTGTTGGACTGTGAGTTGTCAATTCCTATGTGATGATACAGGCAGCTCCCAGCTGAAATTAGTATAAATTTCTTCATAGGCTGGTAGAATAATTTGATAATGATGATAAAAATAAGGTTTGCACACGAGTATGCTAAGCAATATTTGCTTGTGCCTTTTTCTTTTACCCAATGCTTGCTTGTGCTGATAAGACTAGTGGCTGTTGGCATTACAATATCAGTTATTCTTAGAAAGCAAACATTCCTTAGTATATGTACACTGTAATGGGTACATGTGTATGCCTAAGTAACCTTGTAAAATGTAATTTTCTTCCATCCTGTTTTAATCTCATTGCTAAGATTGCCTTGTCTTGTCATTACAAGTTTGTGAACATCATTTCCTGGGTTATACAAGTGCAGTAGGTCTTGAGCAATTATAAGGTACAACTACAAGTAATTTTCAGAACATTTCAATGAATCATTTTCCCCTTAAATTTAAGGCTGTTAAAATTACTTCTTTCAGTGGGGTCTGAGAGTAATTTACCAGCACATTCCACATGTCATTCCTTGGACTTCTAAAAGTAGGTCAGAAAGCTTAAGCCTACATAAAGGTGCCCAAACTGCAGTACAATTAGTGAGTACTACTTAAGTATGTACACATATTTAACAAAAAACATTTCTGTACTAAAGTAAGACTAGTTTTACTTTTAGTGCATAAACCCCATCATCTTGCTTCCTTTGGAGGTTGCAAAAGTTCTCTCAAGGGTGAGATTTCTGGTGCCTTGATATCCAAAAGGGCATCTGGTAATGTCTGCAACATGTCTTTGTTCTTGCATAATTCATAAGGAATTCCTAATCTCCAAGTAGATATTGGCTGTGGAAAACCGTAACCTTTTCTGGATGGTCTGTCTTATTTTACTGACATGCAAGCACTCAAGTTGGCAGCCAGAATGGTGAGAATTTCACATTGCAATATCATAACTGCTTGAAGATGAGGAATTCCCTTTTCTCCCAGGTCTGTATTAATTTTAGACAATCTAATGTAACAGGCCTGCAGGCTTAAAAAATATTTAATGGTGTAATTAGAAATACACCATACTATGCCTATGCATATAATTTAAAAAAAAATCTGCTTTGTCATGTACCATTTTTGCTGGGGCATCAAATTTCAAGTAAGCTTACGAGAAGTTGAACAACCAGTTCTAGACGTTCTTAAATTTGAGACACAAAAGAAATTCCTAAGCCCAGCCCGTGGCACTAATTTATCATCAAACACGTGGCTTCATTCTGAGAAGTCTGTGGCGACTTAAATAAACTGAGAAAAAATATGCATAATAAGATTAATATTCTGGCCACGGCTAGTGTAAGTGGGGAGGGGGGCACCTTATTGTACGTGTTTCTTTGAATATTCGTGACCATGAGGTACGACTACATAATTTCCGTGAACGTTTTAAAATAGGACAACAAAACATCAAGGGAGTATGTGACGTCGAACTTGAACGGAAGTATATAATGTTTTTTGGGGGGAAAATAGAAAAATGTCTCGAATCTCTATTCAGATATCAAGGTCAAGGAAATAAGGAAAGAGCCAAGTTTCAAGGTCAAGCTAGCAGCTGTTGTCTTCATACGTCTCATGCCGAGTTTACAAGACCTATGTGGGGGAGGGGGGCGAACTAAGGGGTCTAGCAGACGACCAAAAATTTTCCACGCGATCGTCTGATTTTTGCAAAGGGCGGCAACAGGAAACGTTTTTACCAAATGTTCCGTCAGGATTTCGTTAATTCCGCGGCGTATCGCTACAAAAGTGTAAAATTGATCTGATACTCACCAAACGACGCATCTGACTAGCGGTCTTCTGACGAGTAGCATGATGTTTTTGTAATAATTTAGGACGCTGTTTTATAACGTCACGGCTTTCCTGTTTGCAATTTTCGCGCGGGATGTCATCCGGCGATTTATGGCTGTATCCTACCGTACTACACAAAATAGTGCGTCATTTTTCAAGCATGATTTTGGACGATACACTCACCCTTTCTCCAATGAATTAGACATTTGATAAACGGAACATAATATATAAAATTATATCTGAGGAAAAAATAGGCGAAATTTGTTGTAAATATGTGGGTTTTGTGTTGCTAATGTCACGTCACTTTCTGTTAAAAATAGTGATCCGCTAATGTCCTTCCGGAGGTGTGTCCCTCTCCACCAATCATAAATGAGATTACAAAAGCTCGTCCTACCCCAACCAATCAGCAATCGGATCTTATTTTCAATGTATTTGGCGCCAAATGGACCTACCAGCTGACAGAAACCATGATGAAGAAAAATGTGTTTGTACAATGTCCTGGGTGTGTTTTTCTTTCCTTTGTTGCGAGGAAAGGCACAAGTACCTCACGACACAGCAATGTTCCCGACGTAAAATGTAGGAAGGAGAGACCATGTTTAAGAAACACGTTCTTCTGGCATACACGGATTTACAAGCTGCTGGAAGGTAACCATAACTTAAGGAAACTCAAGATCACCTAAAATAATATAATATATGAGATCTCTTTGTGATCTTTGTATTCCTTCGTTTGAATTGTAGAATGTTGTTACTATGAGAAAAATAGTTACTAGTATTGGCGGCAGCAGAGCTTTATATTGTGATGGATTCAGAAGCCTAACGGTAGTAGATTAGCCATTTTAAATATATTAAAGGATGATGATGTGGTGATATTAATATATTAATATTTTATGGTTAAGTATAATTGTCTTTGGCTTGTCTGTGTATGTGTGACACAGGCTGAGTGTGTTTGTGTATGTGTCTTTGTATAAAGTGTGTGTGTGTGCATGCATGTGCGTGTACCGTGATGCTTGCATGTGTGTGTATTTCTGTGATCAGCAATGCAGCATTTTCATACATCCTAATGCATAGACATACGGGTAAAGGGTTGAAGTCTGCCATCTCTCTGATTGCCTTGTTTAAAATTTTCAACAGTCGCGCTCTGCTGGGGCTGGACCCTGAGCACCACAAGTATGAGTACAGGACCCTGCCTGTACCAGAGGTCCCGGGTTTGAAGCCCGCGTGTGTGAGGGGGAGTCCCTGTGCACCGGCAGAACAAGAGTTCCAACCCATCCAGGTCCTCAACTGCAAGTACGAAGAGGTGAAACAATTTGCCATCCAGTAGATACCTACTTTCGTTAAGAATTATTGCTTTTGCTTATTCTGACCCAGTAACCAATACAAATTTGTTGCCAAACAGCTACATTAGCAAGCTGAAGGTTAATGGGTTATTTAAGGTAATAATAAAGGTATGTACAGTTTTTACCCTTTTTACTGACTGTAAATGACAATGCAGGTCAGTACTGTTAAACTTAAACTTAAACTTTATTCATCAAAACAACATTGCAGGCTGAAACAGCCTGAATTGTGTTGTAAATTACATGTACATTCACATTAACAATTGTAACATTTTAGCGTTAAAAGATTAAGTGTTAAAAGAAGTATATCCGATAATGACGTATTGTATAAAATATCGATAACACATAGATATAGACAATAATTGAGCGAAACAACTTTAGGATACAAGTACAAAAAGGCAATAAGATTTTTTTTTATCAAAATTAAATTATCTGTTACAGTTTTCAGTGGTTGTGGTGAATGCAGTAGTAAGAGGTGACGTTTGTCACCATCTGGTGAGCAGACTGCTGGACGAGTGTGAGAGAAGTGGAGTGGAGAAGATAACAACGGTGACAGCGCTGCACTTCCCACACCCAGGAGAACTCCTGTATGAGACCACCTTCTTCTCACAGCCAGGTATGTCTTCTGAGAGTACTGAGTAGATTTTTTATCCACTTAATTTGTTGTTTCGCAGATTTTTCTGATTTCCAAAAAAAATCAGGCTTTTATTGGTTTTAATCAACTCTGAAATGCTTCTATTTTCACCCCAACACAATTGCAAGAGTTGTTATAAATGTTTTTCTGGAGTAGGTCAACGTAGCGAGACCTGTGCGTCTTCAGTTCCTGATGCTCGCGAATGATTGACTGAAATATAATCATCCTGTCTGCTCCTCCTTCCTCTACAGTGACCTCTGCACCTGCCCTTCCTGATGACCTGCAGGTCACTGACCCCATCCTGAACCTCCTGGTGCAGTTCCTTCTAGTGGATTCCCTCCCCGCAACCTTCCTGGTAGTGCCCGGTCACAAGACCACTGCAGGGGCAGCCAATGTCTCAGATGGCTCCCTGGCTGTAAGTGGTAATTAATTAATTGATTGATGAACGTAACAAAGCAACTGATTGATCAATTTTATTGCATCTTGATAACAACATTTAGCAACAGTTGGGAAAGATATCCTTAATTCAACAGTGATATTTTGCATGACCAAATTCTTTTTCATCCTATGTTGGTCGAAAGTCAAAGTTACCAAATGTGACATTGCATCAATAGACCTGATACATGAGGCTTAGATTAAACAATCCAGTGAAGCTGTTCAAAGAAAAATGGAACATAACATCCTCCCTTGAACTCTTGAAAAGCAGCTGAAGGTCAAAAAAAATTGTTAGATGTAAGATAAGGGTGAAGAATGTACTTTGTATGTTTTCAAGGTTAAATTAAGTTTAGAAATAAAATTGCTGAATTATATTGTTCCATATTTCAGAACATCACATTGCTCCAAGACACACTGACCAGCATCACAGGCCTGAGGTTCAGTCAGGACATCAGCTGCTCTCTGGTGAGATCAAACAACTACAAACTGCATATACAAATGTAATAAACAAATGTACTATTAACTTGTTAGTTTTAATGTTAAAATTGTAACTGTTATTTTTAAGTATGTCAATGTATAATGATATGGATTTTATTGATTAACTAGTAATTTTAGTGTGTTATGTCATGATATGTCAAAAATCAAAATTGTACAGCAAGACACAATTTAGCTGATGACTACAAGTACAAGGTTTTGTTTTTACAAATAAACCATTTGATTATTGATTATTGATTATTGATAAGGCTTTTTGGAAGTGCTAGTAATAGCTTCCAACAGATTATTCTACCAAAGCTAAATCTTTTGAAAACCTTGCACTTTGAACGGGGACATCTAGGATGTCAACATGGGAGACTTCTCCACTCGTCCCTGTCCCCCATCAGTGAGCAGAGTTCTGCTGTGGGGACATTTCTGATCCCAGTATACCGCTTCAAAAATAGTGACATTCAAACTAGAAATTTGATTAAATATTTACTTGTACATGTATTATCAGAAAGAAACATTTGAATATTCATTTATAATTACTGCCTCCAAAGAAGAAGTCAAACTCTTTTATAATTGTGTGTTCCCTTACTTGGCTTGGGTCAAGAGTTTGCAAGGTTGAACTGAAGGTCGACTATACCGTATTACATGTATGTTACCTTTCTCTCCACAGTTGTTCAAAGGAGCAAACAACCCCCAAGAAGCTATGGTTGACCTCATCTATATGTAACAGCACCTCCATCCTATTGTCAGAAGTACTGCAGCTAATAAATCATACAATACTTTGCATGAATACATGTATATACAAATCCTGTTTGAATGTGTTGTGGGGTGATTTAATGACAGATTTTAAGAGGAAACCACACTGTGGCCACAGATAACTGTTGAACAGTACTTGTGGAGACTAGCTTCAACAACTCGACATTCAAGAGCCCTACAGACCAGCACAAATACCACTTCAGAGTACTCAGCTTCTCTTAAGTTTTTAGTTTCACAAACAGGTTTTGGAAAGAAGTGTTTGGAGTCAATCGATCAAGTTCACTTGAGTCCAATCTGGCCCCCAGCTTTGAGTGGTTTGGTTTAACAATACCCAACTATAATAACAGTTATGAATTTTTCCTTTTTTGTGAGCAAAGTGTACATGATTCTGCACCACATTTCTGATGGTCTCAGAGTTGTTTCTGTATTCCAATACAAGCGATCGCCAATTCTGTTCACATCATTTATTCAAATTATTTGAAGGCATATGCAAGTTATCGGTAGGCAAATCATCCGTCACCAGCTTTTTGCGATGACTCGTATTGGCGCTGATTATTCGATTATAAGAATACAGTCAAACCTGCCCGAGTGACCATCTCTGTAACTTATAAGCGGCCTTCATTGCTACATGTTCACTTAGTATAATTACATTTGTTGACCGGTACACTTTACATTTACTGTACTTAAGACATCTAATGTCACCACTTGTCACGATTTCTTATTCCTCCTGGACAAAGTAACCCATGTAAGTTACTGTCTAGATCTACTTTAGCTACACATTTATATGCATGACATTCATGATTTTATAGGTGATTCACATTATCCAAATTCAAATCTACCCAGAAGGTACAGGTTCAACCATCCAACATGTTGGACAATGCTTGCAATAGAGTCACGTGAGTGCAGTCAGCCTACTGCAGTTGTCATGACCGGCTCCATCTGGATCTGGCCAGTCGTCACAGGTTGGTAGGACAGGCACACCAGGTGTCCCCAAAGTTTGTCCAGTGCACACCTCATCAAGCCCCTCCCACGCAAGCACCATTTCCTTGTGAAACAAGACATGAGAGATGTCAGACCTCCAGGCAATGTTTTGGGTTTTTGTGAATGGAGCTGGGGATTGTTTAATGCACAGTGTTATCCAACAGGTCACACCACTGAATTCCTGCACATACTTCCACTTGGTGTGGCCTGAAATGTCTTAAACCCAAACATTCAAACCGGGCGGGCAGCATACATTAGCACCATCCAAAACAATATTTCCTTCCCGGAAGAAATAAAGAGTACACAAATCCATGAATGGTTTCCCTGGGTCGGTATAACACTAGGTAATGTTTCTTTAACACAACCACGAGTATTACCAGGTGAGTAGCTGACACTTCACAAACTTAGACAAGAATTGCATGTAATACATAATACCTCTTTGAAGAAGTGGTGTTGGTGAAGCCACAATCATTGTAACATCTGTGTCCATAATATCACCAGGGTCCATAATATCACCACCTTGAGAGACAGTGTGCTTAAAGATATTTTTACTGCAACATACCCTGGGTGTGTACATTTGATTTGTGATACCAAAATACCAAAAGTATGTTGCAGTAAAAATATCTTAAAGCACAGTATTTCTCAAGGTGGCGATATTATGGACCCTGGTGATATTATGGACACAGATGTTACACGTACATGTACCTGCAAGCTGAGCGGTGTGGCAGAACTTCCACCGTCCACTACTTCCCCACCCAGTGGAGTATCCGGCATAGGCGATGGGTAGAGGGTCAGGGTCCCTCCACTGCATGAACGGCTGAGTTTCTCCACCCCTTCCAACAGCAATGGTTCCATCTGCGGACCAGGTTATCCAGAAGGTTCTGTACTCTCTCGGGGAGTTGATACCTATATATGGTTGAAAAAGTTCAATCAATCATTAATTACCAAGTATCAAAAGCACAAAATACTCCAGTGTTGAGAACAGAACTGGGCCTTATCTAGAACCATGCTGAGTTGGTTCTGCAATACTAGTAGTCCATGTGTATACAAAACCATCCTCTGATGTTTGGGGGCAAAAAAAAACAATAATCTACATTCTTGGATACGCGGAGACTACTAGTATTCAGAACCATGCCTGATCCAAACCATAACCCAGTCAGGCATACATGTAACGATGTAGCTATAGAAAGACATGCCTTGGATACAATAGAAATCTTGGAAACGTACCAGGTGTCCAGGTCTTCGCATAGTCGTAGCCTTGCATGCTGCGGCGTATGGTAGACCATGTGTTAGCCCAGGCACCGATGACGATTTCATACATGTCAGCCAGTTTCTGTCTCTGGGATGAGAGCGCCACATGGGCATCACTGTTGGCCTGCACTTCAAACGTGAAGCGTGATCCCGCCAGGCGGCGCTGTTTCCAGCGGTACCGGTACTGGGAGCCTGTGAGGGCAGTCTCACAACCTGTAAGACCACAGACCAAAAACATAATAAATATCTGTCGATGTTCCCCTTGTTCTCAATTACAAGTGTTTCATCGTCCTATTTTTTAAATTGATTTAGAAAATGTCCTCATTAATTATACAAATGAGATCCTAGTTTTGCATAACTGTCATTTAATCATGTCGAGCATCATTTTAGCTATCTACATACCAAAAATCACGACAATCCATCAACCGGTTTTTTAGTTATCCTCCCTTTGAAGATTTTTTAAGAAAGGGTCCTGCAGTTCCAGAACAAGCCGCTGAGGGGTTCCAAGTAATGTCACTTTTCGTAGCCAAAGAGCTATCTACCATCCAAAATTTGTGACCCTAGCATGTCTCTCTCTCTCACACACACACACACAAATGGTGTGGAAAACATAACTTTCCTGGCGAAGGTAAAAAAAACTCAATGAGTCAAGTGCCAATACAACAACTTTCAAGAGAAACCTACCGTCAACGCTGCAGCCTAGAACCTCCACCCTCATACTCATATGGTCATGCCAGGATTGAGGCAGGAAACGCACGTACCGGGCAGCAATGGGACTGTCCAGCAGGTTAGTTACAGGGGTGTTCCTGTTGGTATTGCCTGGAAACACCTAGACATCACAACCACGATAAATACTAGCAGTTTTTACCTCCATGAACAAGAATTCGGAGACCTCATACCTCCATGAAATATGTAGTATTGGGGGGATTTGTCTCATTGTATCTGGAAGTAAGGTCGCAATTAACAGTTAAATTTATGGTTTTTACTCAAATTACAATTTTTTGCGTGAGGAATTCCTATCCTTTGGCAATATTTCATTTCAACATGTCCTCATTGATTATGCAAATTACCTCTACATTAATATAGTATATGCATAGTGACGTTAACCTTTAAGTAACCTACACATGTCACAAGGTATGAAATTCCCATCATTCACCATTAGTAAATTGCAAAATTTTCACATTAATTATGCAAATTAGCTTATTATTTTCATAATTGGTATCTGTTGATGTTTCGCCTGCTATAGATTACATACATTGCTATCATGTAAAACACTGTAATTGCAGAATTTCCTACTTAATTATGCAAATTTAGCCTTCATTTGCATAATTTTCATTTAATCATGTACATCTCTCTATGAGCTACCTATACACCAAAAATGATGAAACTACGTTGTTGCTTTCTTGACTTATCCGCTTTAAAAGTTTTTACCAGACAAGCTGCTAGGGGGACAAAAGTTACACCACTTATTCCTGACAGGTAAAGCTATCTGTCACCAAAAGCCGATACATTTATTGAGACAAACAATATCAGTGGTAAGTCAAGCCTAAACCCTAGTAGGTAACAGCCGCTATGTATAATGGTTCTTTTTCGTAATGGTTTAGGACCGACTGGATTCTTTCTTCTGTTTCAATCTAGAAAAAAGGGATATCTTTGCATATAACCTACCTTTTCATAGCCATCGCTACTTGCACACGTGATCCAACTAAGGCCATCTTCACTGTACTGTAGTTTGTAGGAGGTCACCCACTGGTCGTTATTATGATAGCGACCCTGGATGATGGTGCCTGTGACGTTCATCATTTCACCTAAATCCACCTGAATGCAAAGATGTTCTTCGTTATAGAATGCATGTGAAGTACAAGCTGGGAAAAATCTAACTACATACCTGGATAGCGTGCACTGCTAGCTAGAATTAGCTCACATTGTGCACAGTAAGGTACTGTCAGTGCAACAAAGCGTTCACATTTCACATTCTAAACACAACAGATTCGAAGTCATCAACATAGGGTATTGTTCGGAGAAGGGAATTCGAACTTATCACCTTAGAGAAACAGCGAATTTTATATCGTGTGTGGCGCAATAATCCAAACAAAAAAAATCGGGGATTTCAATAATATGATTATGGTAAAGTATATAGTTTACGATATAGTTTGTGTTATTGAAAAACACATCATCAAATGTAGTATTACCCATTCGATTGTATGAGGGAACTTACTGTACTATCACACCATGGTTTCCATACATTTCTGGCGATCGTATGCATTGCACATCCGTTCATACGGACTCGTACCCCTGTCAATCAAACTCAAAACCCAAACTCCACCTACTCACTTTGGAACTCAAACATACAAATATGGCGCTAACATAAATTACCGACACCTAAAATAATACGTCCCCATTCCGGAAGTAACAGGTAGAAACGTGGTTATTTAATGTACCAAAATGTCTGCCAACCTGTAGCCATTCCCCGATGGTGTTGAATCTGGCTGCCCAAGCGCCCGCACCAGCAACTCCGTTCAACCGAGCGCGGTAAGGCTCGCGACCAACACTCCAAAAAGAGGATGCAGTGATGCTGTCATCAGGTATGTCGCCAGATTCCATTCCAAGGGGATACCTGCAGACTGGAAGGACGAGAAATCTCTGTTCAGTTTGGTTAAAAAAAAACAAAGGTCGCCCCTTACTGTGGTCGCCTGTTAAGGGCATGGTCACATTTCCAAGCCGGGGCCCGGCCGGGTTGTTTGCGTGAACGAAAAATAAACAATTTGTATTAAGAAGAGTATACACAAATAGAGTATACAAAAATAAATGCGGAGTTTTTCTCACCCCATTTTCAATTTCAGAAATTTATGAAAACCAGTTCCAATCCAGAGTTACCCAAACCCTTCCCGTTCCAATCGAGAATTGCTCAAACACTTGACCTAGTTCTAACCTTGATAACTCAACCCCAGTACTCCGTCCACCTAGCCAAGTAATGGCCCGTCTTCGGTCGCCATGTTATCTTTGGGAAGTGTGATTCCAACATTCCAAGAAGCAAAAAGCAAAGCAATGCATACTGTTTATCTTCGCATGGTCTGCTCTAAATCCCTCCTGCTATAAAATTGCAACATGATGTAACAACACCAGTCACCATGGTGATAGACCGTCTGGTTCAGGTCATTGACCTTTTTGGTTTTGAGAAGAAGAGGAAACAATTCGGTAAACACAAAAAAATGTGATAAACTGACCTTGGTTCTCTGTTGTCTTGCAGAAGGTGGTGCGTTGTTTCCCCAGTTTAGCTAAGATTTCCTGCATCTTGATACGGAATCGTCGCTCTAGGTTGAGCTGCGTCTCCAGTACCGATACCTGGCTCTGTAGGCGTTTCATCAGGGCAGAGCGGGCCTTGAAGTTGTCTTCCAGGGCCGACACTTGACCCTTAAGACGGCTGTCAAGTTGCGTGTGTTTGTCAAGGCGTCCTTTAAGAGTTGTCACTTGTTTTCCTAGACGGGCTCGAGCGTTTTGCGCACGTCTGTTGTTGAGGCGTTTTTCAAGAGTTGAAAGTCGGCCTTGTAGACGTCTTGCCTGTGCTACGCCGTCCCCGCTGTGGTCTTCAAGCGTAGATACTTGGCTTTTCAGACGGCTGACCAGCTCTGCTTGGCTGCTGAGACGTTCTTCCATGGTCGTTACTTGTTTCCTCAGACGATCGTTTCTTTCACGACCTTTCTTCGTGCCTTCTTTAAGGGTTGTTACTTGGTCTTTTAGACGGGTGTCCATAGCTGAGCGGTTGGCAAGGTGGTCTTCAAGCTTCAATACTTTATCTTGAAGACGAGTGTTTCGTTCACGGTCTTCCTCGTGGCGTTTCTCAAGGGTCGATAGCTGGTCTCCTAGACGGAGGACTAGACCTGTGACGTTCTTCCCGAGACGTTCTTCTTGGTTGTTGACTTGCTCTTCCAGACGACTGATCAGTGCGGAGCGGGTCTTGAGATGTTCTTCAAGGCTTGATACTCGGCCACCTAGCACTGGGCGGTCGTCAAGGCGTTTTTCGAGGGTCGAGACTTGGTCTTCAAGGCGGATTACCAGAGCTGAGCGGTTCTTGATGTGTTCTTCAAGACTTGAGACTCGCCCGTCTAGTACTGAGTGGTCGTCAAGGCGTTTTTCGAGGGCCGAGACTTGGCCTTCAAGGCGGGTAACCAAAGATGAGCCGTTCTTGATGTGTTCTTCAAGGGTCGACAAACGGTGGTTCTGTGCACGGATGTGCTCGAAGTTGGCGGATACGTTCAAGTTGTTCTGTAGGCTGTTGCGGTGTTCCTGAAGTGTCGATTCTTGTTCTTCAAGGGTCAATACTTGGTCCTTCAGACGTGTGACAAGCGTTGAGCGGTTGTCAGGGTGTTCCTCCTTCAGACGTGTGGCAAGCGTTGAGCGGTTGTCAGGGTGTTCCTCCTTCAGACGTGTGACAAGCGTTGAGCGGTTGTCAGGGTGTTCCTCCTTCAGACGGGCGACAAGCGTTGATTCGTTGTCAGGGTGTTCCTCCTTCAGACGTGTGACAAGCGTTGAGCGGTTGCCAGGGTGATTCTCCTTCAGACGTGTGACAAGCGTTGAGTGGTTGTCAGGGTGTTCCTCCTTCAGACGTGTGACAAGCGTTGAGCGGTTGTCAGGGTGTTCCTCCTTCAGACGTGTGGCAAGCGTTGAGCGGTTGCCAGGGTGTTCCTCCTTCAGACGTGTGACAAGCGTTGAGCGGTTGTCAGGGTGTTCCTCCTTCAGACGGGCGACAAGCGTTGAGCGGTTGTCAGGGTGTTCCTCCTTCAGACGGGCGACAAGCGTTGAGCGGTTGTCAGGGTGTTCCTCCTTCAGACGTGTGACAAGCGTTGAGCGGTTGTCAGGGTGTTCCTCCTTCAGACGGGCGACTGATGTTGAGCGGTTGTCAGGGTGATGGTCATGGGTTGTGACTTGTCCCAACAGACGGCTGGTCAGTTGGCATTCGCAATTTTGCTGTACCAGAACGATAATTATTCTATAACATAATATGTGTATTGCAAATACCCGAAGGCTAATTGCAGACAATAAGAAATCGCGAACAAACAATGAAGCACAATGCAGCTATAACATATGACACACGCTGAGTCGCACTATTTCACGAATAGGAAATGCTGCTTTGTGTAGTTTACTAATTTCTTTCTTGGATAGCCTGTATTTCAATATCACATTGCATGTAAACTAACAAAGTAACAGATAATTGGGCAATCTTTGTATCATTAACTTCCTAGCCTGAATTTTGACATCCCTTGCGACCTTCCTGTCAGTCTACAGTGACACAATTTCTCCCCTCACTTCCCTTGACTCTACTGTGTATTATACACTGCACGAAAAGGTGGATTTACCAAAAGTAGTAACTTCAGGTAATGTTTACTTTGTATATAATATCTGGCTTCACAGTGGTAGTAAAAAAAGTCACGTCCGGTAATTTCATTTACAAGGCTTGTTAAATCCGAAATCACCGTACTTGACTTTTATTTACTACCTTTGTAAAGTCAAGTAGTGTTCATTGAAAAAATCAGAGTAAACATTACCTAACTTAACTGGTATTTACTGCAGTTGGTAAATGTAAGGTTTTGTGCAGTGATACGTACACATACAGGCAAACAAACTAACAAACAAACATTTTAGAGCAGACAAACACACCGAGAACAAAAACTCACTGCACGGAGGTAAAAAATACAACAACGAACCGTCTGAAATCCAGGGTGTGGAGAGTTGATATGCACCAGGACAATAATCAACGTTGCCATGACGACAGTCGTCTTGACAACACCAAACAGACGAGCGAATGGCACTTTCTCTTTCACCCAGCCGAAAGCACGAGTAAGCCGGTGGCGCAAACCATTCTCTTCCACCACGTCGTCTAAAACAATAACGTGTGATGGTCGTGTAATACTCGTACCTTAACAGTACTAGTGTCGGTTAAAAATATTGCTAAGGGGTCCAAAGCTATAACATTTTTTTTCACTTGGCCAAGAGATGTGTCCTATCCAAAAATCATGACCCTGGCATTACCAGAAATAGAATTGTGAAAAAAAGGAAGTGGTAAGTGAGTTGTACGTGCCTATTACAACGTACGATCTCTGTGCGATTGCAACTTTACCGTAAGTTTTACATGCACTTAAAGTTCTACGGCGTGTCTGCGTGTTCCAAAATCCGTAGGATTCCGTACGGAGGCGGTACTCACCACGCACGGATGGCCTATGTTTAGCCACGTTTTTGCACGTAGACAGCACGCAGAAGCACGTACGGCGGGTTGTGACCAAGGCTTTACGTATACATACTCGTACGTAATATACACATAAATGTGTGGGAATTAATGTTAACGTTATCCCACTAGCTACAAGAACAACTGATCATGAGTACTAGTAATTAGTTTTCTTCAATCTCTCGAATTTTAGTAAATCTTAGGAGCTAACCAGTAGTGAAGCTAACAAACAGGCAAGACGAGGCAAACTACCAAAAGAACTAACCCGTGGACTCAGACTCAGAGACGTACAGAGCGTTGGGATGAAGTTGCTTGATGTTATCTGCTACTCCTGGCTGATGACCTTCTGTCGCCGCTTTCTTCCTTTTCTTGTCCGGCTCCTGTCGTCCATCATTTGGTCCACCGAGATCGGGGTCGTTGCGTCGCCGGTCCGCTGGAGAGTTCCCGACGGGAGGCCTAGGACACTCAGCCCGCTGCGCCATAGCACGAAGACTTTCTACCGAATGATTAAACTATGATGTACACGCGACTACATTTATTCTACTGTTGCCCTGAGCCCGCTGGAATTCTCACTGAATGATTAAACTATGACATTTATTTTATCGTTTCGAAAATGAAATGAAGGCACAATTGTCTGGCTGCTTCTACACGAGTGTTCGCATGAAGGTATTCACATTAGAGCACCATGTTTGTGATGAGGGTCTTTGAAGTCATGTTTGATGTCAGAACAAACAAATTTCAATTTAGCTGAAATAACTGAAATCTAAACACTTATAAAGTAATCAGCTCTCAAAATGCGGGGAGTAGTATTTTAGACATGTCAAGGCTGTGTTGTCAGCTGAGCATGACAGCGATGTTTTTGTGACTAAGGCCACAGCAAGTAATTTTTATGTATGACATCAGCGCGCACATTAATTTTTGAGTGATTTTGGAAACAAAAAGAAGAAATTCTGTTGCCCTCTGATGGTGATCAACATGCCGAAAATAGTTAAAGATTATATGTGATATTCCCACTCACTAATCATTGAAAACTTTTATTTCTCAAACGTAGCTTTAGTGACAAATGGATGTTATAGTAGTTGGCAGTAAACTTAGCACAATAAAGGTATCATTTCTTGTTTTATAACAAGGTTTATGATGCCAAAATTTGTAAGTGAAGAATCATGTTTTGCGGGGACCGCATTGTTTTTTTCCTTATCGCATTAGATTTGGAGTCCATAAAATTTACATGCTGTGGCCTATACAACTAGCTCTGTGCAGTACTTATTCTTACAATTAGTGATGCATACCTAAACCCAATTATTATTTATTTTAGGTTCAGGTCCGGATTCAAGTCCAGAGGTTTAGCTTCAGGTCCAGACTTGTAAGTCCGGACCCAAACCCATGGCATATACAAAATTGCATGTTTGCAACCTTGCAATGTTGTCAGGGTGAAACTTTGGCCACACAACATGGAAGCCGGTACTTGACAATGCTGTTTTCTTCGTTTTGCAGCAAAGATTTTACAATCTACGGAAGGTTTTAGGTGGTTTGGAAAGAAAAGGGGTATGTGAAATGGTCATTTATGGTAATAAGTCCGGACTCGGTTCTTGACTTTTAGGTATTTTTTGGACTTGAACCTAAACATTCTTACAAGTCCGGATCCAAGTCCAGTGAACCGGTATGCATCACTACTTACACGTGAATACTTCATGTTGTTCTGGGTGTCTATATCATTAGTTCTGAGAGAAGAGAAGAACACCATAAGTAAGAATTAGGCTTTTAATGCTGAATTACACCTCAAGAAAGCTTAAAATCTATTTTCAAATCTCAAAATATTCCCAATAATCATCTTAGCTTGTGTAATCATTGTGCGTGAAGGCAGTCTCTATACATAGGTTCTCATTATCAACTGTTTATCATTATCAATCTTATAATTATCTCCTTTTAAGACTTAAGCTAGAATCAGAAATACCGACTAGACATGCCCATGGAATTCTGGATAAATTAACAGATTGGATAAATTCTCAACATAACTTGTATTGTTCAAAGGGATTTCATTTCATGATATGAAAGAAGGTTCTTGTGTTTGCAATGTTTTAAAGGCATCCAATGAAATTACACGGTAGTAAAACTGAAGTTTCAATGTCATTTTTTTTGGTAATTCTTTTAATGTACATGCAGTAAGATGAAATCAATCCTATTTCATAGCATACTCATATCTGTGAGGCAAAAATGCAATGTCACTGATGGAAAACAGTTTCATTTTTTTGTATCATAGGCCGGTTCTAGCTATTCATAGGTGGTACCTAAAAAAAGCAATGCCTCATACATTGTAGTTTGTTTTGGGGCTAATGCTTCAAGTATGACAAAATGTGCTTAAAAATTACTGTAAATGTGAATATCAGATTTCCTCATCCAGAATATTTTTGTTTGCCACCCTGAAATTGCATTGGACGCCTTTAAAGTTCACACTTCACAGATGAAACAACCCTAAAAACCATGTAATTATATAATGTAATTAAAACACATATGGAGCCATGAACATTCATATGTAAAACACATGAACATTTCCAGAATTAATTAAAGGGAGGCATTTATGCCATATTCAGTTCTGTACTTGATCTTTGGTGTGATACAGCCATTAAGTCAACTGGGTGGCTTTGGTGAAGTTTGGAACAAAAACCACGGTGGAAAACTTTGTTCAACCTTCCTGACCACTTAGATTTCAAATTGAAGGCAACTTTTTTTCTTCACACTCACACATCGGTTTTGAGGTTCACAGAGAATGTCATCCATATCATAATAAAATCATTATGGCCTAATACTAAGAAATGAACATGTGCCTGTTTGGAACTAAGAATTGAATGTGTGCTTGTTTGGAACAGAAGCCAGGGCAGAATGCAAATTAAAAAGGCTCGTGGAAAGGCCAGTCGGGCATGAAGTTGACCCAGTCCAGGTGGCAGGCGCGGTACGGGATGTTGAACCCGTCGATCACCACCATCTCCTCGTCCGTCAGTGCGAAATCGAACACGTCAAGGTTCTGTCGGATCCTTGCCGGCGTGACGCTCTTCGGGATGACGATCGTGTCGCGCTGGACTCCCCAGCGAATAAGGACCTACAAGAACATGAAGAAGATTATTTGTAGATTAGATCTATTAGTTGTAAGTCGTTAATGACAGAAGACAAAATACTATGATAATCAAAGTGATCTTGATCCAGTTTAGCTCACTCGAAAGCTAATCTTTCACCTGAAAAATCATGCATATTATCAAAGAAACCCCACTTGTTACTAGATATCAGTTTTGTGACCAGGCTTTAGCAACAACAGCAACACTGAGATTGGCACTACCGTAAGGTGTGGGATGGATTGCATCTGAAATGAGCCACAGACTTGCCATATTTGTCTGCAGTTTAACACACATCACTAGCAGTAGACTAACCCCCTGCTGTAGTATCATCTGTGCTTGCAAAGCTATGTGGCCAAATGGCTATAGAAACAGAGAAAGGTGTGGGGAGGATTTCATCTCACCTGAGCCACAGACTTGCCATATTTGTCTACAGTTTAACACACATCACTAGCAGTAGGCTAGCTCCCTGCTGTAGTCTTATAAGTGGTTGCAAAACTGTGTGGCCTAAGGGCTACAGAAACAGAGAAAGGTGTGGGGAGGATTTCATCTCACCTGAGCCACAGACTTGCCATATTTGTCTGCGATCGGCTTGAGTTTGGGGTCCTCCATGATGGAGGGGTCTTCAGGCTTGGCCCAGGGTCTGTCAGGGGAGCCCAGCGGACTGTAGGCCGTGAACACCAAACCCTTCTCTTGGGCAAACTGTAGCAGCTGTTTCTGGTTCAGGTAAGGGTGGCACTCCACCTAGAGTTGTTACACAAAGTAGCCCTAGTTAACACACCTGTACAGCCCTAGTTCATACACCTGCACAGCCCTAGTTTACACGCCTGCACAGTCCTAGTTAACACACCTGCACAGTCCTAGTTAACACACCTGCACAGCCCTACTTAACACACCTGCACAGCTCTACTTAGCACACCTTTACAGCCCTAGTTAACACACCTGCACAGCCCTAGTTAACACACCTGTACAGCCCTAGTTAACACAACTGTACAGCCCTAGTTCATACACCTGTACAGCCCTAGTTAACACACCTGTACAGCCCTAGTTAACACACCTGCACAGCCCTAGTTAACACACCTGTACAGCCCTAGTTAACACACCTGCACAGCCCTAGTTAACACACCTGCACAGCCCTAGTTAACACACCTGTACAGCCCTACTTAACACACCTGTACAGCACTAGTTAACACACCTGTACAGCACTAGTTTACACATGTGTAAAGCCCTACTCAACATACCTGTAGGACAGAAGGTTTGACCTTGGCGATGTCAATGACAGCCTGAATCTGTTTACTGTTGAAGTTGGACAGCCCGATGTTCTTCAGCAGTCCATCTTCTACACAAGCTTCAAGGGCCTGAAGTCAATGGGAAAAGGCAAGGCTTTGTCATTCATTTACTCATTTATTCACTCACTCACTCATTCATACATCTAGATTGTTGCCCCTGGTATAACTGGTGCAACCCACTGAAAGGCAAAAAATAAAAGCAGAGGTTTACAAGTAGTAGGCTTCTGTTTATTTTTACCAGGCTTTTTTGTACGGGTATCTTTCTTTTCACCAGCCAGTGGTATATTGGATACTGCCCCCTGCCAGCTTGATACTGTCTTGCAGCCATCAAAAGAGCTGCTTGGAGATTTGTCTCCCCTGGCAACAGAGAAATTCGGTCAAAGGTCTGTGACCACACACCTTTGACACATCTTAGCCAGGACACAATGCCTGGTTAGTGCACCCTGTTAATCATTAAATAAGATTACCAGAAAGCGAGAGGAAGTTGAAAGTACTTGTGTACTATAGCCGTTTTATTATCAACATTGATGTACTTTGTCAATATGTGACCTGTCTTTAGCCCAGTGGGGCAAAATGTACAATAAAGGTCTTCATTCAATCATTAAAAAGTTGATGGTTGTTCCGTGGCCTTTTTTAGGCCATAGGGGCAGTGGGCCTTTAGGCCTTCAAGCCAGGCCTTTACCGCCCCAACTGAAGTCAGGTACATTTTACACCTGGGTGGAGGGAGGAAAGTTGTGTTACCGATAAGTGCCTTTCCCAAAGACACATCCTTGGGAAATTTTCAAGGCACTTCACAAGTGATCATAAATGATGTGCATTTGAAGAAATGCCTGTCGAAACTGAAGTGCTGAAGGAATGTGTTAAACATTGTATTTGGTTTGATTATATAGCCATTATTTTCATGAATATAGTACATGTTTAAAGTGTTGTCAGGACCCCCTTCCCCATGCAGGCCCCTACAAGAATCCCCCCCAACTAACCTTCCATGTGTCGGTGAAAGGGATCTCCTCTCGTATAAACTTCCCGTCCGCGTCCTTGGGAAACATTTCTGGGCCGCGCTTGTACGCCATTGGCCAGTGGATGAGGTAGAGATCCAGGTAGTCTACCCCCAGGCCTGTTAGGCTCTTCCTCACAGCCCCCTCCACATCGTCTGGATGGTGAAAGGTGTTCCAGATCTTACTGAAGAATGAACGAAGAAACAAACAAATAAAAAAATGACTGAATGAATGAATGAATGAATGGATGGATGGATGGATGGATGGATGGATGAATGAATGAATGAATGAATGAATGAATGAATGAATGAATGAATGAATGAACGAACGAACAAATGAATGAGTAAATTACTTACTTTATTGCATGACAATCACAATTGATATAATATAAGCAAAGAGCTAATAAAAAAACAATCCTGCAAGGCTAATCTATCCTTCCTTACCACCTTTGGTGGGAAGGTACTGTTTTCGGTCGTGTTCATGTGTTTGCAGCTATAACTCATGGTGGGTTTGACAGATTTCTTTGATTTCTGGTATATGATAGCCTCCATAGCAGGCTTATACAACTGGGGGTTTGGTGGTCTTCGGCTGTTTTCTGATTAGCCAAAAATGGGTAACTCAACCAGGCCCGCTATGTTGTCTATATGCAATCAGAAAATCGCACATAAAAGCTCCTAAAGACCCTGAAGACCCCCAGTTTTTAGCATGCTATGGAGGCTAGGTATATGATTGGTTATAGTCAACTTGACAACGTTACAAGTATAGCTGGTTTTGGTGCACTGAGAAAGAAAAAGATTATTGCTTCCATAGTTGCCATGGCTACAAGCCCACCTGGTGATGAAGATGTCCTCCCTCTTGATGACCCCTTCGTCGAACTTGGCCTTGAGCCCGGCGCCGACTTCGTTCTCATTACCATACACGAAGGCGCAGTCGATGTGCCTGTAGCCCGCGTCGATAGCAGCTTTCACGGCTTCGGTTACCTGTGCAGAAATCAGAAAAATTTAGACTGTACTAAAGTAATAAAAGACTGTGGTCACAACATTGGTATTGTGTAAGGCCTATTGTATTTATACATTTTGTTTCTATTTTCTTTAGCCAGGGTGGCTTTCTTCGTAACTTCGTGGGGGTCTGCATGGGGGATACTGCCAACACCTCTATGCTTATAATTCCAAAAGGCAGCAGCTAACGTTATACGTGTATGTATCATGTTGAATTTGAGCAACCTGGCTACAAATTATGTGGAATTAAAACGGCTGATTACACTCTGTAAAAACCCCATGCAGGCCCTCCTCAAATTATGCTACGTCACTGTTTTTCACTGAGGTCGAGGGGGTGTGCTTTGGGTGAGTTTACCGGCGTTTTCTTTTGCCCCTCCCCCCTAAAGTAAATTATCAGTCTGTGACCGAGTGTGAGAGTGTGCAATCGTGTCACCAAAGGAAAAATTAATCATCTAAAGCACATAGCAACATTTTCTTTGGTTGCTACGGTGGGATTGTATTTATGCAATGGAGTTTACGGAGTTAAGCAACTCGAGATATTATATAAAGGGCGTCTTTTCCAGAAAGTACAAAGGTTCATCCAGAGGCCGGTCACACTACTTTTTTTGTGGAAAGGAACTGATTTTTAGCTCTTACCTCTCCTGGTTTGGATTTCCATGTACCAAGTCCGAGAACCGGCATCTTTGCACCCGAGGGAAGCTGGACAGAAGGCACTGCCATCTTTCTTAGGAGGGTCTTGTGAAGTCGGAGAATCTTGGGGAAAAGTCAGAGCGTGTACCTTCCTAACCACCTCCTGTTTCGCGCCACGCTAGCAGCTGTGGGGTCAAAGTGCGGTCAAAATCTGGGCATCCGGCAATTTAGCATGCAGCTACTTTGCATATAAGTGAACCAATCACAATACGGGTTGTTACATTTTGGCGTCCTTTACACCAATCAAAGCAACGTATGATACATGCTTTAACCAATAGCAGGGACAAAGGCCGATGACATACAGTACATCAAAAAGAAGAAAGCAACATGGCCGGAGAAGTCGTTTTGATCGACGCTTTGCCGTACTTTGACCAGGGCTATGACGACCCCGGCGTTCGCGAATTGGTAGGTTTGTGTGTGCGAGGGAGCTCTAGACTACAGAGAACACCGTCAGATAGAGTGAAGTAGAATCATTGATTCCTGTGGTGCAAAGGAAGCGATGAAATGTGGGTTTCAATTGTGGGAGGGGGGCTTTTGTGTCAGCATGGGTATGGTGAAAACACTACATGTGTTGTGTGTCTGGTCAGGAATAAACTAGACTAAAATGTTTATAAATCTTATATATTCAGTTAACCTTTGCCAACTTTGCACTTTTAGTAAGCACTTGGCATTTGTGTGTACTACAATATCAACATAAAGTCATAAGGTAATATAAATTATGGCAATAAAATTATGACAAACCGTTTTACTTTTAGATACTCTATGACGCGTTATCCTCAACGTTATGTTATACCAAATAGAACGTACTTGGTTATACTAACTATAAGTATATGGATGAATATTTATCTGAGAATTAAAATTGATTTTTCATGATTGAAATGTATCATGCATAAAATATTCACTTTAATATCTTCAGAATAGTTCTTTGTTGAATTACTAATTAGTATATCATTTTAAACAGTGGTGTATTGTATACAGCATAGTTTATTTATGTATGTCGATCCTTAGAAATTAACCCAGTGACTTTGTTAACTTAAACTTGCAGGCCCAGGCTCTAGTGGAGGAAGAAACCAGACGTTATCGACCAACAAAAAACTACCTGAGTTACCTGCCAACTCCCGATTATTCAGCTTTTGAGGTAAATGGTTCTAATCTCTTATGAATTCATTAAAAAAGATTTCCAAAGTATGATATATAATAAAATGCAATAAATCAAATCCTAAGATTGTTTGATGAAGAAATAATGGAGATATGATAGAGCAAAATTAACTTTCCAAACCTCAGGTTTTTTCATGATTTTAGATGGTAGTGGAAATCACTTAACATTCGTGGTTCATGTACACGTGTGTACTTTTATGTTTGCGGTTTTTGAGGTCACTTCTGTACCATGAATTTATCATTACCACAAACAGATAATTCACCCACTTTATTTTGCACCTGCCACCACTGCAAACATATAGTTCTTGACTTTGAATCTGTCCATTTTTCTCAGTCAGAATGCGAAATTTTGCTTCCAGGAATAATAAGTGAATTACAGTACTTATTGCATGTCTTTGACAGTATAAACTGGTATCAAGATCTTTGCAGGTTTTCTTACCCTACTTTTTATTAGAATAGAATGTCATTGATTGATAATGACTGGCTAAAATGGACTTAATGCCCTGTTGACAGACTGAAGTGATGAAGTCAGAATTTGAAAGACTGGAGAAGAGACAGCCCATGGAGCTTCTCAGCATGAAAAGGTAAAACAATGTTACATACTAAATGTTTCTTGGTTCTTGACTGATAGTGATACAGCAAAAAAACTTTTTTTCTGAATCACCCTTGGTCCCAGCCCTTATTGGTACGTCAGGTGATACAGAATGCACCATTTAGTATTCTGTATGAATGACCTTTCTCACCTATCCTTTGACCTTTGCACATCAGTCTAACTTCCAACATTGTTTAAAGCTGTCTTGTTAAGATGCCTCTTGTTAGCAGCAAAGTCTATGGTAGGTCTAGTTCTAGGAAAATTGATTTTATTTGATTTCTTTTGTTATGTACTTTGTATGATTTTTTATTCTTTTACTTATTGTACCCCCCTGGGCCTCCTTGGAAATCAGCTTTGGCTGAAGGAGCTACCCAGGTGTCTTTTGTCTTTGAAGATTAAATAAATAAAATTAAAAAAAAAGAGATTTCAACACCTCAATCCTTGGTTGATGACTCTAAGTATGATACTAAAGGCATGACTTTCTTGTTCGTGCAGGTATGAACTTCCTGCTCCGCTGTCTGGACAGAGGAACGACATCGCAGCCTGGACTGAGTGCGTGGAAAATTCCATGGCGCAGTTGGAACACCAGGCAACGAGGTATGGGAGGGGATGAAGTTGTCATGGAAAATTGAATTTATGTCAATGACTCACATGTCATGAAAAGTGTGGAAAAGTCTGGGAAAATTTCATATCATTTGACAACTCTTGCAGTTATAGGCAAAGCAGTTTAATGTAGACTGAAGTATCTTCCAAAAATCTGTATTTATTTATGTTTTGTAAAACCCATGTCTAAATTGCTATGTTCAGAATCTGTTGTTGTAACTGGAAAAGAGTGTCTTACTGACAAGATGTATTGTTTCTTTTTCTTTCCACAGAATAGAAAATCTGGAGCTTATGTCCACATTTGGGTCAAATGCCTGGAAGGGACACAACAAGTAAGTGTTTTTCATACATTGTATAGTAAAAAGTAAATAAAATACAGTAAGTAAAGTACAGTATATGTTATATTGTATTATGGTCAAGTATCTCTATGGTAATACATTTGTACATGTACAGTACTGATATATTTTTCCATCTATTTATTTTTCCCCATAGCCTGCTAGTGAAGATGGTTGAAAAGGCACAGAAGGAGCTGGTATCTTTAAGGTAAGTGTGGTTTCTTCAAGATACATGTGGGTTTCCTTCAGGCAATGTGGTATCTTTTAGGTAAATGTGCTTTACCATAAATATAGTCTGTACATTGTAAAAGTGTAATGTTTCCAGGTGTATTGTAGGTAACTGACTTTTTTTTTCAAAATTTATTCGCAGAAAGCAAATTCAGGAGGTGAACTGGCAGAGAAAACATGGCCAGGTTAGTAAGAAACAATTTCCAATGTTTTCTAAATCTACATGTATTCTACTTGTCAATAAACAGGAACTTCCAGAACATTCTTGTGCCTTGTGTTGTACCCGTAGTATGACCTTTCCCTTTCTTCTAATACCCATGTGTAAGGCTAACCCTTAACCTTCTCCCTGTTGCCTAAACCCATAACCTATAGGGAATCAGTAGTCAGACAGCTACTTCAGTGCTTTAAGGTTTATGTTAGCCAATGGCTAGTGTTGCAGTATTTATTGGTCAGTTTCAACCAACAAAAAGATAAAGAGACAATCTTGTTAAACACCTGGGCCCCAAATGGCAAAAAGCAACTCCGGATGGAGTCAGCACATTGTCAGCATGTACTGCGCAGAACCCGTATTTTGCATAAAACTTCGGCAGAACATTTCGTTAAACTTTAAGGTCATATTCGGGTATTTATAGATGACATTCTGTCTATCTGAAAAGATAAGTCTGCAATGGGCAGAATTCTGATGCAACATTGACCTAACACTGAGGGGCAGAAAAAAAATCTAGGTTCGTGCAGGCGCAGTACATGTATGTTCTGCCGACGTGCTGGTGGAGTCAAAGAAAGGGTTCCTCCTTGAGAGATCTTACACCATGAGATGATGATAATTTAGATGATGACGGTGTATTAACAGTTCTTATTCCTTTGTACACAATCTACAGATGGCTGCAGGAAATCAGCTCAGAGAGTTGGAAGCCAGGTACATTTTCTTTTTTTAGTCTTGAATAACTGTTGTTGTGTGTTATCAACTGGTTGGCTGGTGTTCAGCAAGATTGACTACTGTTTGGCTGTGCCAACCGAATGTTTCGAAACATTTGAAAGTAGATGGGTAGTTCAGCTATGGTTGGTTGGTAGCAGATAAAGTACGGGTCTCTTTGTGTTTAGCCCATCACACATTCAGAGGTTGGCTGGTGTTTGGGAGTATATCATGGTGTGGTTGGCAGTCAAATTTGATTCAAATTTCAGTCAAATTTGCTTTGCCTCGTATAGAAAGGTAGGCATGACTGCTCCCGAATGCCAGCCGATTTCAGGGGAAGGTTCTGAATGTGTGCCAGGGTCTTAACTCAAAGAGACCAGTATTTACATGTAGTTTGCTAGTATTTCCTGACATGTTGTGTTCCCTTCTGTGTTCTCTTTAGCTGGGTGGGCCTGGTGAGTAAGAACTACGAGATTGAGCGAGCTTGTCTGGAACTGGAGGCTGAGATCACACAGCTGCGCGGACAGGACCAGAGACTGGTCAGAAGGGAAGACGACAAGGAAAACCAACCTATGGAGTACTAAACTACTGGACACTAAAGCCACCATAAAATGTTCAGGACCTTCCCTCAATTCCTTAATTGCATACTAACATACTAGACATGTATATAAAGCCTGAATGGCATTGGTATTTACAAATCAAGGAAAAAAAAACACATGTACAGAAGTATTCAAACACTGCCAGATGAGGCAGTTCCTATTCTCTTCTTACAGAATAACTTCAGTTGTCTGGTTATGCAGTTTAATGCATTTGTGAAGAAAAAAGTTCTTCTGGGAGGTCATGCAAAATAAAACCTAAACTCTGGAATTCCAAAGTTCACTATATTTTTGAGTCTGTGTCATGAAAAGTGAACAATACTTAATAAAATGCCATTATCACTCCTATACCAAGATACTTACTCTCTGCTTCCAAACCACATAACCAATAGAGAATTGGTAGCTAAAGGGCTAAATGAGTTAACCAAGTTGAATTCAAGTTTTGTCTTGCAGTGAATAACATTTTGTAGAATAAATCAACGAGAGACACTTATGAACAGAAGGGAGATTCCTATACATTGTATCTCTGTACGTAAAGACATTGAAGTGTGTTTTTTCTAGTTGTTAATCAGAGGCGAGAAATTCTTGTGTACATTCCTGGATAATTTACAGTGTGAATGTGTGATGTAGTATTTTTAGGATGTATGTAGTGCTGTATCGCAGACTGCTACGAGTTCACTGGACATCACACACTACAAACAAAGAGGTCATGGAACGCATTTACACCTTGCAAGGCCCACTCGACAGCTTCCTGGCCACAGTTAAGAAGAAAAAGTTACAGTGGTTCGGACATGTGTCTAGGGCCAAAGGCACACTGTCACATACAGTTCTCCAGGGTAAGGTGGAAGGCGCACGGCCGCGGGGACGTCCCCGTCGGTCATGGATTACAGACTTAAAAGAGTGGACTGGTGTAACAGCCAACCAGATGGCCAGACTGGCGGAGGACCGCCAGCAGTGGAAGAACTTGGCCAAACATCATGCTGCCCCGACGGCTGACTAAGCTATGGGAGAGAGTGAGTGAGTGAGTGATGTAGTGCTGTTACATAGCAGAATATGATGTCTGCATCTGTGTATGTGTTAGCTTTGAGGTGCATTCAATGAGCATGCGAAACCTGTAACATATCGTGCATAGCACTTTGGCAGAACGTCTCTTTCAAGGTTCTGTTCCTGTTTTCAAGGATGTCACAGCCCATCTATAGTTTGCAAAATGTGTCGGAACAGGCAAGACTCTGGCACAACGTTGACCAAACATCCAACAGAAACTGGAAAATCTGGGTTTCGCGTAGATACACTTCGTTCTGCTAACATGCTCATTTAATGGACATTCTGGTAAAAAAAGTATGGCGAATTTAATTGCAATCTTAAGAACAGATTATGGGTGTACAGGCACTCAGTAGTCCAGTAACAAACATACACAGGTTTAATTTACAAGAATTAAAACAAAGATGAACAAACTTGCCTCAGAGTCTTCAATATCTGTACGCTGTTAATCTTTAACATTCAAAATATATCACAGTGTTGCTAGATTTATTTTTATGTCTACATACATGTATACAAAATTGTTAACGATTTGCAAACAAAGTGTAGCTAAGATACAATGCATATAAGAAACATGCCATCATAATCTAAGGCAATGATGTATGTGTAAGCTGTACTTCTGTGTAAAAAAACTACTTTTGCAGGATCACTAAGATCAATACTGTAAGAATGATATGTGCACTGCAGGAAAGTCTATACACAGTGTAGTCCTTGTGCTATCTGCCAGTCTTGTCACCCTCTTCCACATACAACTGCATCTGTTCATAACAAAACAAGGAATTTTATCAAACCAATACGATTGATGTATTGCCATTACTATTCAAAAACAGGTGTTGCAAATATCACACCTCACAATGACATGAAAAATGATATGAAAATGTCCATTTCTCACAGTACATATTCCACACTCATTCAATAATTCCCAGACAGTAAGAGATTGTTAGTATTAACATAGATTGGTAGGCAAATACATCTTCACACTCTGAGGTGAATTTTATCTAGGATCACATTGCTATACATGTTTCAGAAATAGCTACTTGAAATGCTTACTTTGATGACATTTGAAGTCATGGTCTTGAGAGGAATGATCCTGGCATTGGGCATTCTCAGGCTGTCACTGTCTGCCTCTACCCAGGGGAAATTCTGCGTGTTGTACATAGAGACACATACTGTACATGGTTAATGATACATCAATAGGATGTCATCTTGCAATATTTAGCAGAAAAATGCTAGAATGTAACAAAAGGTGATGGCTATGCAGGGTTTTCAATCCTTCTTTCTCAGTTGCCCACTTGGCAACGTAAGCCAAAAACTACCGTGGGTTTAACAGTTTGCCATCAACACTGGCAGTTTATTTTAGAAGGCAACCTGTAAGCCAGGATACCTGTAAAGGTACAATGTGTTGCTGGCAGAGCAATATCTTTACCATATCTTTACTGTTAAGTTAAAAAAAGGTCACTTTGTATGCATAAAATTGCTAGTAAGTTGTGCATATGCGTTATATACAAAACAAACATTAAAACTGTCCCACCCACCTGTACCAGCTGCTGCTGCTCCAAACTTGCGGCTGCTGAGTCTTGTGTGTAGACATGGATACTGAAGGTCACATCTAACATATAGGGAAGGAAAATCAGCCTGTTGTTCAGTGAAAAGCAAGTAAATACAAATTTGACAAGATGAATATCTTGCAAGGATTTTCCTTAAAATCTATGAAGTATTAAAGAAATAATGGCAACTGTTTCTGGACAGTTTTTAGTATGATCCATACATTTGTAGTTCCTAGATTCTGAGTGGTGCAAGTAAAATTTTTCTGTAACACGAAATTTTCTGGAAAAGATAAGTTTTAAGTATAATCCTTACAGTTGTACTTCCTAAATTCTGAGTGATGCAAGTAAAATTTTTCTGTAACACGAAATTTTATGGAAAAGATATGGTCTGCAACACACAAAATTTTAATATAACATTAATCACCAACCATCCAACAAAAAAAAGGAAAAATTTGGGTTTCATGCAGGCGCAAAACATTCTGCTGACGTGCTCTCTAGTTACATGTATGTTAATACATGTGCAATGAAAGACAGGTTTGTTTCACCTTGTGGAAGTGTATCTAGCATGGAGTCACACACGTTAATCTTCAGGACAAATGCCCTCAGGGCCTGCTCCAGTCTCAGCAAGTAGCTGTCATCACTAGTAAAGCAGGAAGATCACAGTTAAAATCTCCACACTATAAACAACAAGGGTTCAAAAACAGTAAAATTTAGCAAAATTGAGAGAATAATTGGTCAGACGAGTTTGGTCTTCTAAGGGGAAATAGAAGCCCTTAAGATGGCCAACCTACTCCCCTTGCCAATTATGGATCCTCTTTTTGTTACATTTTGCCATCCACAACCCCTAAGGAAGGCCTTGTGGAGGCTCCTTTTTTTGCTGAATTATGCTATCCATATTGCCTTAGAAAAGCCTGGTGTAGGCTACTAGTTTTACCCAAATTCTGTTATCAATAATGCTTAGGAAGACCTGACAGAGGCTACATCCATAGCCCCTTAGGAAGGCCTGGTAGAGGCTACTATTTCAATCAGTGTGGTAAGCAGCCAGCAGGTGGATTTGTGTATATCATGAATAAACATGATATACAAGATTACTTCAAGAGAGGCATAAAAGAGGCCATATACATCAGGGCACTTCAACCATCGCTCAACTGGGACGGGGGGCGATATCGACTTCAGACAACCTTTGACCCTTTGCTGACGTCACACGTGGGAAAAATCGTGTCCACAGCATTTGGGTCAGATAGCTGAGGAAGACTGAGTGATTCAGTCGAAAATTTCTGGTGAGTCAAATTTTGAGTTGGAGAACAGTTTAAGTTTTTCATAATGAATAAACAAAGGCTCAAACAAACCAAGGAGGTTGAAAATGGGAGCACTTTCATTTCTAGAACCTGAAGGAAGAGATATTTTAGGATTTTTAACCTGAGACCTTGAACAGACAAACTTCTGCGTACACTTACTTGACGGAGGGTTGGACAGGAGGTGTGACTTCAAACACGAACCTCTCCAGGGGACGGGCCTGGCAGTTTGTCACGTTCAGGACCACCTTTTCCACCTCCCCCTTTTCCACCAGTGGTCTGATGGTCTGTAGGGTGTCCTGTAGGTACTGGTTCACATCTGGGTGACACGACATCTGGAAATATGCCAAATAACAGTTACTCAAACAGCAGTTATCTCAGTATTAGTATCTGTACTGGGTTTATATATTCATGTACAACATTGTACAATATAGGTGTACATGTACACGGATTTTTATTTACTGCATTTTTATTTTTATTGACTGTTGCCAAAAATAAAAATATATGAACTATAAAACAAATCATGGCGATGCTTTCTGAACAGTTTTCAGTATGATCCATACTTCCTAAATTCTGAGTGGTGCAAGTAAAATTTGTCTGGTGCAGGTAATGTTCAATGTTATCTGCACCAGTCCAGGAATACAGAAAAAATGAACTTCAAGTATTCTATGTAACAGTGGGGGGTTTATAGGCGCTACCAACTGACCCGGCAAACGGGTCTAGACCTTTTACTAAGTTTTAGCGGAGTGGTTAGAGCGTCTGGTTATGAAGCTCTGGTGCCCGGGAGGTTGTGGGTTCGAACCCCGGCCCGGGACCAGAAGGGTTTTTACTGTCTCCTCCTGTTTCTTACATCTATAACGTTATAGATAATGCACACCTGAACAGGTATGTTGTACTTCTTCCTCCTCTGGAAGATCCCAGGTGGGTACACCTGTCTGATGTACAGGATCTGGTGAAAGGCAACTTCCAAGAACTCGCACACGATGTCTGCCGCAACTACAGTGAAAACAGTAACACTGTATTATCAAATGTCCTATTTTCGAGTATTTCAGCACATGTACAATGTATATCAAGGCCAGTCTAATTTGTTTCCTTGGTTAACATCTGTGTCCATAATATCACCAGGGTCCATAATATCGCACCTTGAGAAACAAGATATTTTTACTGCAACATGATGTTCGTCTATATACCCTTGGTATATTGTACATTTGATGTGTGAAGGAGTGCATACCAAAAGTATGTTGCAGTAAAAATATCTTAAAGCACACTGTTTCTCAAGGTGGCGATATTATGGACCCTGGTGATATTATGGACACAGATGTTAAGGTTCTCTGACATTTTGAATTTGACTTCCGGGTATGGAAATGTTGTTTTGGGTGGCTGAGCTGTGGGTTTGTGTTCATTAATTTTTCAGGACAGAGTAGCTACATGTAGGTTGACAGGATGTGGGTGGGATTGTGATTGACAGACAGAATGACAGTCAAAAGGTCACATGGGAAGGTAAACTTGAAGGTCACAAAAAATCGAAGTACAAGTACAAGGCCATCCCAATTCACTTGCTTGGTTCTAGGTTCAACATTAAAAAAAAGTAACGTTACAGACTTTAATTCTTCTGACGAGTTGAGCGGAGAAACAGCCACAACAATAACAACCACATTTCATCTTAGATTCTGTTTTCATGTTCATCTTGCTCTTTAGGAATCCGTGAACAGACAAATTAAATTGAACTGACCTTATATTAACACAGTTATACATAAAAATTATGGTCACCATAGAATGTGTACACATAATGTTACATACTCTGAGCTACATTGATGTCTTGATGAATAGATGATGATGCCATCTCTTCTAGTCTTGCATCCACTGAAAAAAAGAAAATGTTAGCTCTAATTACCGGCATCAAATTTCCTTGAAGAATGCAATAAACTTTAGCTAAAAGCAGGGTAACGGGAGCATGGTATTTTCCCATATATGCAAATGTAATTCATTAATATATGCAAGATTTATGCATATATGCAAGCACGTGCATGCATTAGTACAACTTGTATACCCTATATGTATCATAAGCAATTCATTCTACATATAACGTTACCCCTTTGCACACTAATTCTTTCTACCTCAACCTAAGGCTCTCCCACACACCCCTGCACACTCTTACGCACCCTGTGCACTCTCACGCACCCTGCGCACCCTGCGCACTCTCATTCAACCTCCCCGAACCTGATGCACCCTCACGCACCCTGTGCAACCCCATGCACCCTGTGCACCCCCATGCACCCTGTGCACTCTCATTCAACCTTCCCAAACCTGATGCACCCCACGCACCCTGTGAACTCTCATTCAACCTTCTTAAACCTGATTCACCCCCACGCACCCTGTGCACTCCCATTCAACCTTCTTAAACCTGAGGGACCCCCATACAACCTGTGCACTCTCATTCAACCTTTTTAGACCTGATGCACCCCCATGCAACCTGTGCACTCTCATTCAACCTTCTTAAACATGATGCACCCCCACGCACCCTGTGCACTCTCATTCAACCTTCTTAAACCTGATGCACCCCCATACAACCTGTGCACTCTCATTCAACCTTCTTCAGCCTGATGCATCCCCATACAACCTGTGCACTCTCATTCAACCTTCTTATTAAACCTGATGCACCCCCATGCAACCTGTGCACTCTCATTCAACCTTCTTAAACCTGATGCATCCCCATACAACCTGTGCACTCTCATTCAACCTTACCAATCCTGATGCACCCTGTGCACTCTCATTCAACCTTCTTAAACCTGATGCACTCTCACGCACCCTGTGCACTCTCATTCAACCTTCTTCAACCTGATGCACCCCCATACAACCTGTGCACTCTCATTCAACCTTCTTAAACCTGATGCATCCCCATACAACCTGTGCACTCTCATTCAACCTTCCTAAACCTGATGCATCCCCACGCACCCTGTGCACTCCCACTAATACTGTAATTCTTGATTTTTTTAACATTCACTTGAGCAAATTCAGCAGTCAATATTCCACCGCTGTAATTTTATTACTGCAACTACTCGAAAACTCCAACTACAGAAATAATTACCTTATTTACACCTTAAAACGTACGTGCCAGGTGCTTACCCCTTTTCCTCAAGCCATTATATAAAGAAAGAGTAATAAAGAAAGGGAGTAGACATAGACGTTTACCGTTTTAAGGGCTATTCGTGAGTAGGTTTAAGAAGGTTGAATGAGAGTGCACAGGTTGCATGGGGGTGCATCAGGTTTAAGAAGGTTGAATGAGAGTGCACAGGGTGCGTGGGGGTGCATCAGGTTTAAGAAGGTTGAATGAGAGTGCACAGGTTGCGTGGGGGTGCATCAGGATTGGTAAGGTTGAATCAGAGTGCACAGGGTGCATGGGGGTGAATCAGGTTTAAGAAGGTTGAATGAGAGTGCACAGGTTGTATGTGGGTGCATCAGGATTGGTAAGGTTGAATGAGAGTGCACAGGGTGCATGGGGGTGAATCAGGTTTAAGAAGGTTGAATGGGAGTGCACAGGTTGCATGGGGGTGCATCAGGATTGGTAAGGTTGAATGGGAGTGCACAGGGTGCATGGGGGTGCATCAGGTTTAAGAAGGTTGAATGAGAGTGCACAGGTTGCATGGGGGTGCATCAGGTTTAAGAAGGTTGAATGAGAGTGCACAGGTTTAAGAAGGTTGAATGAGAGTGCGCAGGTTGTATGCGGGTGCATCAGGTTTTAAGAAGGTTGAATGAGAGTGCACAGGTTGCATGGGGGTGCATCAGGTTTAAGAAGGTTGAATGAGAGTGCGTAGGTTGCATGGGGGTGCATCAGGTTTAAGAAGGTTGAATGAGAGTGCACAGGTTGCATGGGGGTGAATCAGGTTTAAGAAGGTTGAATGAGAGTGCACAAGTTGCATGGGGATGCATCAGGTTTAAGAAGGTTGAATGAGAGTGCACAGGGTCCGTGGGGGTACATCAGGTTTAAGAAGGTTGAATGGGAGTGCACAGGGTGCGTGGGGTGCATCAGGGTGCATGGGGTTGCACAGGGTGCGTGAGGGTGCATCAGGTTTGGGAAGGTTGAGTGAGAGTGCGTGGGGTGCGCAGGGTGCGTGGGAGTGCACAGGGTGCATGGGAGTGCACAGGGTGCATGGGGTTGCACAGGGTGCGTGAGGGTGCATCAGGTTCGGGGAGGTTGAATGAGAGTGCGCAGGGTGCGTGGGAGTGTACAGGGTGCGTGGGAGTGTACAGGGTGCGTAAGAGTGTGCAGGGGTGTGTGGGAGAGCCTTAGGTTGAGGTAGAAAGAACTAGTGTGCAAAGGGGTAACGTTATATGTAGAATGAATTGCTTATGATACATATAGGGTATACAAGTTGTACTAATGCATGCACGTGCTTGCATATATGCATAAATCTTGCATATATTAATGAATTATATTTGCATATATGGGAAAATACCATGCTCCCGTTACCAAAAGCAGCTTCCTCCTGTGACGCGCCGGATTGAGTACTTAGAATGCTCCATACAAAAAGTCGTAGTAAGGTCACGATACGTCAGATGAGACCATACAATGTATCTCCGTAATCAGAAAGGTACAGAGAACCTTGTGTAGTTCAAACAATGACTTCAACTTATACTGCATCCACGGATTAACGCGTCAAAGTTCGCCCTTACTCAGAATTTACGCGGTTTCCGCCATGTTGTTTTTGACTGAAATACGCACCACATGGGGGTTTCGTGGCTACCCGGTTGCGCATCTGTTTCCGGGTCACACCAGGGGTCACACTATCGAGTACACTGTCAGACGACGTGGAGTAGTACTCGACAAATTACGAATAAAAAAAATGTTTTGCAAAAAAAAAGTTGCTTTCACTATGAAATCTACGTGGTCATGAAGGTTGAACAAATGGCACAGAATATGTTATGGCGAATAATTTAATCTTCGAATTCATTTCTTTTACATTTTTTGTCTTTTTTCCTTTGATTTTGGCATTCTACGACATTGGTATCGTTTCTAAATGTTTTCCTTGCAACTTTATGTTTANATTTTTTGCTC